AATGTTCTAGTATGTCAACCAAGGAAAATGGTCTCATCAATGGTTGTAAAAACTTAAAAGGGCACGCCATGGTGCGTTTATCACGCTTGCTCATGCATTATAAAAATAACACATTTAAAATTAAAAGTATACTCCCCTCTGAATATCCCTTATTTACATCAAGTCCCCTGGATGTGCTTCTTCTGCCGGGAAAATCTCTTAGACATGGAAACAATTTTAGCTAATCTTAAAACTTATCTGTGAATAGAAGTGTACACGTGTGCAACTGACCCATTCATAAGATTTCATTCATTAAAAAAAAATGAATGAAATGCATCATCCACAGTCCTTATTTTAATTGTAATTTGTGTGTGGTTTACACTATGTTGTTTTTTTTATATATTTTGATTCAAGTGATTAAATACTAAGAAGATTCTATTTATATCTGGATCGCTGCAATTTATAGTCTGACGGAATGTTTTAACGTATGTCATTTTTAATGTTGGTGATTCCACACACTATATATCGTCCTGTTACAGTGCACCACACTCCTTTTTCCTGATTTGTTTAGATATTAATTTAGGTGTGCAGCGATTTTATAAGGAGAGAGCATGTAGTAGTGATGGGAGAACTATGAGCTAATAGGCATTATTTTTAAATCCATGTGCTTGACATCATGTATAAAAAAAAAAATCAGTTATTCTACGCATGATCCTTATCAGATGTTATCTTGCAGGTTAGAAGGCTGGACCGTCCATTTTGAATCAATACCACGGTAACAAAGACGCTGCTATGGCAACAAATCATTTCAACCCATCTTGTATAGCGTGAACGCAGATTACAAATTGATTTGGCCCAGAAACGATATGAATGAGAGAAAATCTGAAAAACACAGTAGTTATTTCTTGTCCAGGAATGTACATCAAAAAGTCATATGGATCGTATCTCAAATGCTATCGTCAGATATAAACACAGGCTTAGATGAAACTGTACCTAAACATTATGAATGCGACATAAAGCTTTTTAGGGCTGTTCATATTAAATACTATTCGAATGCCCTTGAGCAATCACCTATGTAAGAAACATTAGCAAACACTCAGTAAAATCTCCTTTCTGGCAACTTAGAAGTTAGGAGATAAAAGGGCTGGTTCCATGGAGATAAAAACTAAGGCTATGTTTTGGCCATATCGTGGAAGCTTAATGTGCTACCTTTTCTCGATATTGCCACCTAAATAAAATAAAAAAAGACAAAAAATAAATTTACATGAATCTTACAGGACCTGCCTAGTGGCAACTAATAGGTTAAAAAAAATCTTCTTGGAGAAAGAACTTAAAGGTTATAGTTACTCCATATTCTGTAACCTGCAGCCCATTAACCTGGGGAGCAGAGGGTGCACCACTTCAATAACTTATACACAGAAATTTCCTTCCACCTAAGAATGCGGACATTTCTGTGATAGCACAGAATGGGGGAGGATCACAATCTTCTTATTTACGCACACCAAGAAAAGAAAAATAGTGTTTACTAGTTGGCACAACTCCATTTCAGTCTCCACTAGGTACTAAGGTTGGCATATTTCTCTGCAACTCCCCCGACTCTTATTTTTCACACGTGGGTTTTTGGAAAGGTCAAAACATTACTTTTCGTAAGAACGTAAAATACAGCAGAGATGCTTAAAATGTCTTATTAATTTAAATGGTATCGTAGAATTTAAAGGGTTACACAATATGTGCCTAGTAAGCTGGTAATTACAGCCAAACTATGACAGCTCTATTTACTAGGCAGCATAAATAGCCACGCTGCAGTTGAATGCAGTTACACTTGGAAGTTAGTTGAAAGATCTGTCATCTTTACTAAAATGTGTGGTATGTTAGCATCTGAATGGAACTGAGCTCAACCACCCTAGAACTCTACAAGACCTTGGCATTTCGTACGAGAGACCCAATCCGATCTCTCATACAAAGTAAGCCAATCTGATCAATCCACTAAATAAATATATATATTTTTAAAAGCATGGGTAACTTAAAAATAAAAAACGAATTAGAGAGTAGAAAGACTACTTACATATGTTATGTTTTGTTATTTTGAATTATTAATTATTAATATATTTTTTATGGTGAGACCTGGTGAGACCTGATCAGCTCTCATTGAGAGAACCAGGTAGGTCTCTGTAATAAAACGCTGATAATGCAAGTAACATGCTAGGCTTCCTTTAGTTTTTTTGGCCACGGGGGAGTGCAGTGCATAGCCAAAATGTTTAATTTTACAGGCATACCCTACCTAGTAAGGACTGGTCTATGTAGGAGTAGCATTTACTTGAGTTAAAGGGCTTTTTTGGAGCCAAATGGTATGGCAATTTCCATGGGTTCCTAGGGAACGCTCATTCACCGGTTATAACACATTACTAACTACATACATTAGTAAATACCGATTTTGGCATTACTTTGGTGTTATGCCAAAAAAAAAAAACTAGTTGGACTCTAGTAAATTAAGCTGGACATCATATTGTCATGGAGTGAAAGGTGCTTTTCAGAAGTGTTGATACATCCTATCTAGGTCAGAAACATTAGCAGGTTTCAGGAGACACTGATCCCTCATTACTGAGCACATTTATGCAAACGCAGACTTTCTTAAAAGCTAGCTCATTTTTAATTATTTCTTCTATGTCTGTATTAATTATATTAGAAGAATTAAGCTGTGATATAATAATAGCCAGGGATCTGTGGCTCCCAGAATTTTCCTTTGGCAATCAAATCCATCCTAAATTTAAATTCATTCTTTTTATGGATTTACTGAAATCCTTCAGGATAAAGTCTTATGACATCAGCATCAGCATTCCAAATTCTCCTGGTTCTAAACTCCTCCGTTTGCATTCTTTCGCAAACACGTCACCTAAACAGGGATCCCTGGCCTTCAAAACTTGGAAGATATCTCTCACGTTTCACAGACATGAGATATGTTTAGTATCTTCACTGACCAGATATTAAAGGGACACTTAGCACAATAACCACTACTGCTCATTTTAGTAGTTATGGTGCAAGGAGACTATTGGGTACAATTATTCTCTGGTTTCTGTCAAAATCCTTTTAAAGAAACACTGTAGCGTTTGGAATACATATCTTTATTCCTAACCCTACAGCCCAGTTGCCCCTTGTGAATCAGCCCCCCCCCCTCCCCCCCAACTGTATAAAAACCCAAAATGAAATAAATTATAAATAAACTAGGTACTCTCTTTTCTCCAGCACGGCGCAGCCGTGACCTCCTTCTAAGGTCAGTCATCCTGAAGGCATGTCTCCAGGATGACAGGCCAATCCAATGCTCCTCATCATGATAAGCACCGTGCATGCGCCTACAATTCCTCCATTGTACTCAATGATTCTTATTGGCAACCATGACGGCAGTGCGCGTATGTGATGTCACAGTAAGAAAGATTGCCCAGAGGGCTTGTAGGTAAGGCTTGAAGCCATGATTCCAAGTCTTCTAATTAGTTTAATATTGGGTTTTGGGGGGAGGACAGGGTGGCCAGCACTGAAGGCACTATAACAACCTCAATAGGATGACGTTATTAAAGTGCCTACAGTGTTCCTTTAAGTTTTAAATTGTCATTGATTGTAGGGGAAAACACAGATTTGGCAGCACAGAAAGAGCTAAAATAATATGGCACTGTCACATGTTGCATTGGTGGCCAGGGGTATGCTCTGGGTACAGTATCATCCACTGTTTTTGAAGCTATTTTACAAAAACTACAGGGACGGCCTCCGTAGTCTCCTTACATCATAACTGTTACCATATGCTCCTTAGTTTTTCCTTTAATTTAACCCTTGATGCCAAGGTGTTAGACAAACTATTTGCCATGCAAAACCATGTGCCATGAATGCATTAATTCCTTACCAAGGTGGAAAGCAATACATTGTAAGCAATGCCATGCAAACAGACTCCAAGATGTTACAAATTCAGGCATTTCTCTGCAGGGTAACAAATATAAAATACCATATGTAGCAGTGAACCAAATATGTGTTTTTACTGCTAAAGGACCACTAAAGTCACCCAGACCACTTTATCTCAATGAAGTTGTCTGGGTGTAGTGGTCCTGTGTTTTTAACCCTTTAATGTAAAACATTGCCGTTTTGTAGAAATAGTAATGTTTAAATTACAGAGTTAAGCAAGCCTGTAGTGGATATCTTCATCTGTCTCCATAACCGAGTAAAAAAGCTTTTTCCAGCATGTGGTTAGTGGAGCACTGCATTTTGCCCCGCATGTGCTCTGCAATCCAGTGCTTTTCTATGAAAAGCATTGTATTGGATGAGATTGTGGGTGATGTCAACATGCTTGGTGACATCACAGGAGGCAGAGCTGGATGCTGCAGCGGAAGAGTCCTGGTGCTAGAAATGAGGTGAAGAATATTTATTTAAATTCATTTTTACAGGGCAAAGGATGGTGGACAGTGTACACAGTGCAGGAAAGAAGCCTATAGCCCAAAAATAATGCATGTTTTTTTTTCTTCAAGACTATAGGTTTAACAACAAAACCTTTTATTCAATGGCAAGCAAATGGCAAACCTTTTTTTTTTTTTTTTTGCCTGCTTTGTCAGGTGGGTGTTCTGGCTAGATAAATAAAGGGTTTTAATACAATGCAGTTTTCCAACCGATCTGAACACAGCATGTGACACACGACTACATAAAAAATAAATAAAAAGATATGCTATATATATATATGTATATATGTATAAAAAAATCACTTATTCACAATAAAAGCATAATTCTGCATCATGTAAAATGAACCAACCCATGGAGTGCCGTGCTCTGCAAGGCCTGGTAAATACTCAGACATATCCAGCCTAGTCCTTATCTCATCATTTCGGAGTACCTTTCTGTCTGTGGCTGGAATAGCCTCATTAGTCTTAAAGTCATCTATGCAACCCTCTACTTTTTTTTTTATTTTTTAAATCCTCCTCCACTACCCAGGGAATGGTTCTCTTGAAGTGGTGGAAGAGCTGAACAATTTTCAGTATGTTTGATCCTTAAAATCCGGCATCCCGCAGTCCTTGAAGCAAGAGGGAAAGGGCTGGTTCCTCCTTCTCAATAAACAATCCTCTGCAAGTGCAAGAAAACACAAGAAGCTGCAGGTGGGAGATGGGATGTTGGAAGATTAAAGCGCGTCGGGTACTGTTAGGCACGGGCAGCTGTGAATACTCTTCGTGCTCATCGGATTCTGCCAGAGCTGGGAGGGGGATGGAAGTGAGTTGAGAAAGGAAGAGGCCAGGCTTGGAGGGATGTCCTTTCCCAGCTCGATTTGGGAGTGAAGACAGGAGGGAAGCAAGCTGCGTTACTGGCATGGTCTGGTGGCACAGGACTGATTTTATCCAGGGCATCTAAAAAGACAAGAAAGAAGAAAAGGTTAGGGGTATTAAGTCAAACAAGAATTTACTTTCTGACAAGATCAACAAGATATATGGAGGCACGCTTCCTAATAAGAGAATCATACGCAGACTTATTTAAAGGGACTACCAAAATCAAAATTTACTATTGATAAACAAGTCTCATAATGCTTTGCCAGCATCACTTTTCCAAACATCACTTTACTGGTTTTTATTTTGTATATGGAGTCAACAAATCAACATAGGGACATAGAATGTGATGGCAGATGAGAACCATTCGGCCCATCTAGTCTGCCCAATTTTCTAAATACTTCCATTAGTTCCTGTCGTTATAGTTAGGATAGCCTTATGTCTATCCCACACATGCCTAAACTTCTTCACTGTGTTAACCTCTACCACTTCAGCTGGAAGTCTATTCCATGCATCCACTACCCTCTCGGTAAAGTAATGCTTCCTGATTTTATTTCTAAACCTTAGCCCCTGTAATTTAAGACGATGTCCTCTTGTTGTGGTAGTTTTTCCTCTTTTAAATATGGTTTCCTCTTTTACTGTGCTGATTCCCTTTATGTACTTAAATGTTTCTATCATATCCCCCCCGTCTCGTCCTTTCTCCAAGCTATATATGATAAGATCCTTTAACCTTTCCTGGTAAGTTTTATCCTTCAATCCATGAATCAGTTTAGTAGCCCTTCTCTGAACTCTATCTAAAGTATCAATATCCTTCTGAAGATACGGTCTCCAGTACTGTGTACAATACTCCAAGTGAGGTCTCACCAGTGTTCTGTACAATGGCACGAGCACTTCCCTCTTTCTACTGCTAATACCTCTCCTTATACAACCATCAATGATACTGAAACATTGAAGAAAGGGCATAAGAAGAACGTTTCCAGCTTATTCTAATAATGAACATTGTTATTCAGAAAAAGCGAGAGAACAGTATGTTAGATGAAGATAACATTTCTGATGTGTTCTCTATTATCATATTAATCAGTTACACTGCCTTAAAATTTCATTTTGGGTTATTCACTATTTTTGGGGGGAGTCAGTAAGCTCATGTAACATTTTAAACTAAAAAATTTCAAAGTAGGCTAGTCTGGCCTAAAATGTTAAATTGCCATGTCAATTCTCAGCTATTCATACGCAGTGGGGTTTAGTCGCAAAACGGGGTGTTGTCAGGAACGTACAAAAGAATTGCATATTTAGGCCAAAATACCCGAGATGCATCACAATCAGTTCTTCACAATTCTAGGTTTACTGACTAAAACCTTTAATCGTTACCCTGCAGTTTCTGTTGCTTACTATCTGTTACGACACTCCTTAGTAAAATGCCCTTGTGCAGTACTCACACTCACCACTGTTTCTCATTTCTTTTCGTTAAAGGACCACTATAGTGCCAGGAAAACATACTCGTTTTCCTGGCACTGTAGTGCCCTGAGGGTTCCCCCACCCTCAGGGACCCCTTCCCGACGGGCTCTGGGGAGAGGAAAGGGGTTAAACTTACCTCTTTCTCCAGCGCCGGGCGGGGAGCTCTCTTCCTCCTCTCCGCCTCCGATCCTCCTCTTCGGATGAATGCGCATGCGCGGCAGGAGCTACGCGCGCATTCAGCCTGTCTCATAGGAAAGCATTCATAATGCTTTCCTATGGATGCTGGCGTCTTCTCACTGTGATTTTTTGACAGTGAGAAGCACGCAAACACCTCTAGCGGCTGTCAGGCTTTAGAGGCTGAAACTGCTATGTTTATAAAAAAAATAAGTAGTACAGAAGGGCGGAAATGACGTGACGCCATTCCGAGGATACCAGACGTAATTAATACAAACGAGGAGAGGAAATTTTTGGCGGGAATTTCGAACATTTAAAAGGGGACTCAACCCATGACACCATCAGGAGCTGACTGAGGAAGCCGTTTTTTCGGTGAAACGCGTTTTGGCTAACCAGGTGGACCTGTTGGCAGACCACTCAATACATTTGTATTACATTTATTTGTTTTTATTATTTTCTAGAAGTATGTATACATTTTTAATAGTTTCTTAAATAAATATATATTTTTTATCCACCATTGAATTACACTCTGCGCAAGTGATTCCAGGAAGGGGAAGTGTCACCCCTATTAACTGACACTAGGCTAAAAATACTTAGAGCCAGTTACCACAGGCTCTAAAGAAGGTGAGCAATTCTGTATTTTATTTACATTGATTTATATCGGTATCTAAAATACTACATTTAGATTGGGGATATCTGTGTCTTTTTTCTATGCAACGTGGAGAGGAAGTTACTCTCTTTTTCACCTTGAGAGACGGGTCGTGTGATCTACCCTAAAAAGACACAGACACCTGGAAGTTTAGAGCCTTATATCTGTAAAAGGCTCTAAAAAATGTGAGTTTATTTCAATTAATCATTCACAACTAAAGGACTTTATTGGATATTTATTTAACATACTACACTATTATTTGTACTTTTTCTATGTTCTCTATTTTTATATATCACTAAGAAAACTAAAGCACAATATATAGGGTAAGTGCGTGTGTTAGCACTGTCCTTTCACTGAAAATTTCACTATATATTTAGCGCTACACTCATGAGGAACTGAAGATCTGGGAGATATAAATATCCACCTAGATCCAAAGTTTTCTCTGTTCTTTTTGGTGTTTAATTATAAAAAAAAGGGTTTATCCTAGAGGGACAACTCTAGGCACCCACTCTAGGCACCCAGACCACTTCAGCTTAAAGGACCACTCTAGGCACCCAGACCACTTCAGCTTAAAGGACCACTCTAGGCACCCAGACCACTTCAGCTTAAAGGACCACTCTAGGCACCCAGACCACTTCAGCTTAAAGGACCACTCTAGGCACCCAGACCACTTCAGCTTAATGAAGTGGTCTGGGTGCCTGGTCCATCTAGGATTAACCCATTCTTTTATAAACATAGCAGTTTCAGAGAAACTGCTATGTTTATGAATGGGTTAAGCCTTCCCCCAAATCCTCTAGTGGCTGTCTCATTGACAGCCGCTAGAGGTGCTTGCGTGATTCTCACTGTGAAAATCACAGTGAGAGCACGCAAGCGTCCATAGGAAAGCATTGTAAATGGGCAGCACCCCTTCATGTCCTTACACTATCTTTGTATCAGTGTTTTACCTGTAAATTTCTATCTACATTGTAAATGCTTTCCTATGAACTGGCTGAATCCGCGTGCGGCTCCTGCTGCACATGCGCATTCAGCCGATGACGTCGCTATGGAGGAGGAGAGGAGGAGCTCCCCGCCCGGCGCTGGAGAAAGGCAAGGTTTTAACCCCTTCCTCTCCCCAGAGGCCGGCGGGAGGGGGACCCTGAGGGTGGGGGCACCCTCAGGGCACTATAGTGGTCCTTTAAGCACTGCACCTGGCCCTTGTTTAGCACCTATATATTCTGGTTTTTCCCCTCACTCCCTATCAGATCATTATCCTACATCCTTTATCCTGTACCTGCTGTTTTCCTGGTTCCCGTGATTCTGACTCCTTGCTCCTGTGTCTTGTATCTTGTGTATCCTGATCCTGTGTTCCTGTTCCGATGTCCTTATGGTCCTGTGTTCTCGTCTCTGCCTTGTCCTGTGTCCTGTGCCTCCCGTTCCAGTGTTCGCTTGCAGGGTTCCCGCCTATACTTCATTTCCAGTGATTCTGACCTTGCTGCCTATTTACCTGTGACCTGCTTTGGGCTTTGCTCCTTGGTGTTTATTTAGTGCTTGGTGGCTTAGGATCTATGCCCCACTTATATTCTGTGGTGGCTGCACGATCCTACCTAGGAGCCTCCTGTGAGAAGTAGGGTGTCTACACTTATCCGTATGTCTCTTAAAGAGATATCACATAAAAAATCTGTCATATTTGCAGAAACAAGTAAGAGTAATGCACAATAATTTTGTTGCCTTATAACCCGAAGTTCAATTTCTTATTGATCTTGTACAAGAAAGAATGACTGTCTTTATGCCTGTTAATGATGATGGTATTCCCTTTTCTGATGTACATAGCATAACTAATCCTCCTGACTCTGACTTGGGCAAATGGTTTGTTGGTCCTCCCGCCTGCAAAACCGAAGTTCCTCATGAATTAAAAGCTGAAAGCTTTTCATCCCAAACTGAAGAAGACGATATGGAGGGGTTGTATAGCACTGGCGATCTCCTCATGGACCAGATCTTCGATGATATTGGCGCTCGCTGTATAGCAGCTCTGGATGACGAGCAGCCTGAACATAAACGCTGTACCAGAGACCCACAGTGCCCTTATGCCACCGTCTCTTTTCTGCAAGATCCACTCACCTATTCCCAGAGTGAAAATACCGACTTCCATTTGTCATTCCTCCTTGTTTTCCTCACTTAGTTGGGTGACCAGGGTTCTCTTCTGTCACCTGTAGGGGGTCTTGGAGGTTTGGAGCGCCAGGAGTCGCTCCTTAACGGGGGGGAGGGAGGTACTGTCACGACACTCCTTAGTTAATATGCCCTCGTGCAGTACTCACTCACCACTGTTTCTGTTTGGCACTGTTTCTCATTTCTTTTCGTTAAGCACTGCACCTGGCCCTTGTTTAGCACCTATATAGTCTGGTTTCTCCCCTCACTCCCTGTCAGATCATTATCCTTTATCCTGTACCTGCTGTTTCCGCTCCTTGCTCATGTGTGTTGTATCCTGATCCTGTGTTCCTGTTCCGATGTCCTTATGGTCCTGCGTTCTCGTCTCTGCCTGGTCCTGTGTCTCCCGTTCCAGTGTTCGCTTGCAGTGTTCCTGCCTATACGCCATTTCCAGTGAATCTGACCTTGCTGCCTTATTTACGTGTGACCTGCTTTGGGCTTTCCTCCTTGGTGTTTATTTAGTGCTTGGTGGCTTAGGATCCGTGCCCCACTTATATTCTGTGGTGGCTGCACGATCCTGCCTAAGGCCTTTACTTTTGCCTAAGGACTATCAAGTGTACTCTGCCTGCTCTAATTGTATTTATATTGATTTTGTGTGTGTGTGTATATATATATATATATATATATATATATATATATATATATATATATATAATATGTGGCATTGTACATATTTTTTGTATATTATATCCTTTGGTTTTCTTTAATACATATTTTCTTAATTGCTCCATTCATGGTGTCCTTGCATTATTTCTCTGCTAAGTTGGTTCCCACATTTAAAAGGACAGTGCTGTCGCAGGGCAGCACCCCTTCATGTCCTTACACTCTTTGTATCAGTGTTTTACCTGTAAATTTCTATCTACATTTAAATAAAATCAATGATATCTAAAATTGTGTTTTTAATGCACCACGTTCAGATGACAGTTCCATAGTACATTAATGCTCTGTAGTCATGCTGCTGGATGGAGAGCACCCCCTAGTGGCACTACAATCTTTGCATATTAGCCTCCCTCTGAGATATTCAGGGTAAAGCGGCTATTTTAGAGATTCATTATAAGTAATGTTAGTGAATCACAGTTGTTTTCAGCCTCACAAGATTTTCTATTACCTAACAGAAACAAAGATACTTTAGTCTAATCATGTCTCTGGGGCACACATCTGGACCTTGAGGAGCACACTGTTTTATGGTAGGATCTAAAAATTCAAGGAAATTGCAACTTTGTATAAAGCATTGAAAACCATCTATAACAGTGATGGCGAACATTTTTGAGCCAGAATGCCAAAACCGCAATACAAACCAACTTTTTTTCCTTCAAAGTACCAACACGACAATTATATACACTGACACTCACAGATACACACTGACACTCACACACATTTCCCCCAACACTCACAAATTACTATTTTTTTAATTTTAATTTAACTCACCCAGCCTCTGTGGGAGAACTGGAGTGGATTTTTTTTCACCTGGGGTCTAGTGGGGCTGCTGGACAGACAGGGGACGAACTGGCAGAGTAGGCAGCGAGACAGGTCTGATCTTCCTGCTCAGCTCCCTCGCGCCGCTTAATGATGCCGGGAGCCAGTCTGACGTCATATTCCGGCTACCGGCATCACTAAGCGGCGTGCGAGGGACCTGAGCACTAAGAGCTCAGACTACAGCACTCAGTCGCTGCCCGACCGCAAATCAAGCTGCCGCCTGCCTTGGGGGTGCCCAAAGGCCAGCTCTTGGCAAATGCCTTGTTAGCCTCGCTGTGAATACACTGCTGGGCACCCTACCAGCGATCTATGGCCGTGTGCCCACAGAGAGGACTCGGCATGCCAGTTGAGGCACACATGCCATAGGTTCGTCATCACTGATCTATATAACATGTGTTGGCCTATTCTCACATGATGCTTGGCTTTGTTTTAAATGTATATTAAAGATTTTGCAAACTAAATTACAATCCTGTGCGATCCTGTGAGCTGCTGGAGTTCCGCCTGTTTTGCACGTCCCCGGGAGTGAGGCTTCTGTTCGGAACGTACACTCAGCATCACGCTGTCCTCACCGGCAGCCGGAATAACAAAAAACTTACCAACAGTATCCAGATCCATCCTCCTATAATCCCAGGGTCCTTGCTGGCATTTGACATACTAGAGCCTCGTAATGCACTTATGAACAGTTTTTTTAATATATATTTTTATATATATTTTTAAACTTTTATATATTTTTAATGTTTAATAAACTGGACCTTTTTTGCTAACTCATCCAGTTATATGTTGCTTCAGTTCATCACGATCTTAATACAGAGTATCCAGGCTTGCAATTCCATATACTGTAACGCTTGACAACTTGATTTTGTTACTTTTATCTTTGACACTACAAAGTATATTAATTTGAAATAGGTACCATTTACCCCCCATTTCGTTGGGGATTGAGATACCTGTGTTGCACATTTCTCTCCAAGGGGTTTATTCTATTATTTTGTGGTTTATTTTTATCTTTATACACATCTGTTTTGATTTATTATTCATCATTTTAATTATTCAAGACATATATCTTTCACTTTCACTATATTTTCACCTTATTTATACTTACCCTTTCTTCTCTCCTATTACCTACTTTATATTTTTTCACCACAATATTTTAAAGGTACAGTACACATTTTTCTCTCTCTCTCATTATTTTTTACCTTTATCTTGTTTTTTCCTACACTTTATTTAATTTTTTTGTATTTTCCACATTTTTATGTCCTACACCACTCACTGTTTTTATACCTATTAGGTTTTATCACATATTTGGCCATTAGTCACTAGCCAGCTCCTGGAGTCCACACACTTTATTCTTAAGGTGATTTCTTATTAGTCTTCTTTATAGGTTTTTAGTGAATCCCTATTTCTCCCAGTTTGAGCAGCTTAGTGCTAGTCTGTCTCCCTCTTTCCTGTGTGTTACACTAGGTACACCAGAATAGTTCTTCCATCTTCATTTTAAATTACAATTCAGTTCAATCCTGGCACAGCCAAGGCACACATTGCACTGTAAAAGGAATACAAACTTTGGGGATTAGGTATAATGAGTTATTCTATGGTAAACTTCTAGAGGTGGTCCAGTTATTAGGTTTGCCATTGGTTTCCAAGCTGATTGTGCCTCTTTTAATAACTACTTACTTTGCCCCATGGAATTATAGAAAGATTAATGTGATTGCAACAAGAGTTGATGGGATTATGTAATGGGGGATGGGATTGGGAGTGGGGGTTAATGGGATTATGGTATAGAGTAATGTTATCTCAGTATAGAGAGATAAGATTATTTGATGGGTAATGTGGTTGTGGCTAGGGGGGTATGGGATTACTCATTTTAATTGGGGTTGAGTGATCTCATTGTCGGTAGTAGGTGATAGATTAGGGGCAAGGGTATTTAGAATTACTAGAGGAATGAGATTAACCAGGATTATGGGACAGTGGTTATTGATGGGATTGTGATGTTTCAGTGTGAAGCGATTTACGGGGTCTTGTATTTGAGTTTTGTTCAAGGCCTCGTTAAGCAAAGCCTGGTTGTATATAAACAACAACCTAATTTATATGTATGGAAACAAAATGCCATATTCAATAAAATAAAACTTAAAGGGACACTATAGTGACCAGAACATTACAGTTTATTGTATTTGTTCTGGTGAGTATAATCATTCCTGTCAAGCTTTTTGTTGTAAACAATGTCTTTTGAGAGAAAAGGCAGTGTTTACATTATAGCCTAGTCTATTTCCACTGGCCATTCCTACTAGAGGTGCCATTCAGTATCTCCTCCCTCTGCATGCAGACACTGAACTTTCCTCATAGAGTTGCTTTGAATCAATGCATTTCTATGATGAGATGCTGATTGGCCAGGGCTGTGTTTGGCTTGTGCTGGATCTTCCTCCTTGACAGTCTCAGACAATCCAATGCATTCCTATGGGAAAGCACTGCGAGTGGCTGAGAACACCACTTCTGATAATGTCATTAAAGCAGGCAGATCAGTTAAGAATTTACTATATTTAGGGGGAAAGGGTAGGCTAGGGGGGCTAGATGATGATCTTAACACTATAGGGTCAGGAATACATGTTCGTGTTCCTGAACTTATAATGTTTCTTAAGTCTGCATACAAAATCATATAGTAATAGTGTGATAACGAATAAAGTAAAATACCAAAGCCGTCTAATATAGAGGTCCACATGGCTGTGTTAAGAGAAAGATCAATGTATACAATTACAGGTATTAACGTCAAATGGGTTTATGGAGTTCTCAAAGCAGAGAAACTCTGAATCACACTGAGTCACAGGCCTCAAGGTCATCTGGGGATCTATTAGCGTGTCCACTAAAATACAGTTTGTTTGTTTTTATTTCTTTTACCCTGTCACCTAAGAATATTTATTTTTTCTCTCTCGTGATTTAATGCTTAAATGCCCTGTAGATGATAATGGACACTAATGGCAATGCTGATTTTCCTAATTGCTCTGCCCAGCTTTTGCTAATTAACATTAGTCAGACAGTCCAAATGGCAATTACCAATGACTATTGACTGACTGAGCTATCTACAGGCCAAAACTCCCCTTACAACACTTGTGATTGGTACCGAGTTAATTTTTTTTTTTTTTAAAGTGTGGGTTCCCAGGATTCCTAATAGCCAGAAATGTGCATATAGCCTATCTTGCCCTGTATATTATGGAGGAGAAAGTGTAGAGGGAAAAACAGGCCATGTTTGCTGTCATAGACGCAGATCTGTTTATTTTCGATCATCACAAAAACAACCAGTCTGACCTCTCCTTGCTGCCTGTGAGAGACCAAGCATGGAGGGGGGGTTAGGGGTGGAGGGAGGGGGATATAAAGGAGAAACGAATACCCACACATTCAACTTCATGTTTCCATCTTTACATATTTACATAGGCTGAAAAGAGACTTGCGTCCATCAAGTTCAGCCTTCCTCACATTTGCTTTTTGCTGTTGATCCAAAAGAAGGCAAAAAAACCAGTTTGAAGCACTTCCAATTTTGCAACAAACTAGGAAAAAAATGCCTTCTTGACCCCAGAATGGCAGTCAGAGGGGTCAAGAAGGAATTTGTTTCCTTCCAGTTTATGGAGTCTTACAAGCTGATAACAATGTAAACGTTACTGTGGGCCATGAGTTGGGCAGACCCTGATCCTTAAAACATTATTCACACTTCATAAATACATAATATAATATTGTAAATGGTATGGATAGTATAAGGATCTTCAGAATTTAAAACAAACAAACCAAAACATACAAACTAGATTCTACAGGTTACAATCTATACAAGCTGGCCCCTAGGTACTTACACACAGCTGTGGCGAGTGATCCCTATACCAATCCGTCATATAGAGATAGTGCCTGCACAATTGAGGGGTCTGCTTTTGACCCTTCTTGGAACTCCTGAAGAGTCAACTTGCCATCTGAATTCTGTAATGATAAAAAAAAGGACAGAAAATCTATAAAATTAATTGTACGAAAAATACTTCTAAAGTTATTCAATATTAAAGCGATCTGAAGGTACTCAATGGGAATTATATTTTCTAACGTACAATGACCGAATCTTGTCAATGTTATTACAGGATAACTTCTGAAATTTATGTTGGCTGGCTAGCAAGAAAGCGTTGTTTACAGTAGGCTATGTGGCTTCCAGCTGCATATGCTCATATTGCCAGTGATTAATCTATTGCTCATGTAGAGCAGGTGAATCAGGTAGCACAGTCACAAAGTAGCAATGACTGGCTTTACCATTCATTGTATTTGTGTGTTCACTGGAATTTGAATAGCTATACCAAATCAGAAATGGGACAATGGGAGACATATGTTTGCTGGAGCACCACTGTGTGAAAAAGTCATTCTGAGGGTCTGTGCATGAAAAGGGATGCCTGGAAAAAAAATGATTATAGCTTATTTACCTTGTCCATCATGGCAAAAATCCGATCAACTCGCTTCTCTGGGGTATTTTCTTCTTCTGGTAATTCAACCGTGTTCCCCTGCCAGAAAGAGAATGGTTTAAAACTCCTTGTGACCCAGTGAACACAGATGGACAACCCATGAATATCACAGTGATACTTTTCATTAAACAAAGAAACAAACAACACAAATTAAATAAACCATTGAGGGAACTGCACAAAACTATGCAAAACCACATCGGTTGCACTGAAAACAGGCAACAAATTTAGATTTCCTCTGTAACTGAGCAACCAACACTTACCACCATCTGATAAATTGCATCCACAATGTCCAGCATCTCGTTCCGTGTGATAAACCCATCATTGTCCAGGTCGTACAATTTAAAAGCCCCTGCATGAAGAAAAAAAAGGTTAGGACCAGAATCCCTTTACCCTCCAAGTGGTTGAGTAAAGTGCTAAATATCAGTCTTAAGGCTCTAATAAATGTATTAACAAGTAAAATTACTTCCATTATAGGCTTACCAGATATTGAAATAGATACATGTATTTTACTTAATTCAATTTATCGGGCACATAATGCCACATAAATAGACTCATCGATTCAAATAATAATGAAGTTGTTAATATATTTATTTTTCCTATATGCCTGCCGGAAGCATTAGAAGCCAGAGGGTAAGTAATTAAAAAGAGCCTATACGTGTCATTATGACGCCCACATCCGTATAAGGGAGCTTTGACACCCCCTTACTAAACAGTGAGCAGCCAGCACATGCTTACTGTAATGAAAAACTAGGGACTGAGCAGCTATTGCGTGACCAAAGGGCGGAGGATATATTAAATTAAAATAAATAGAAAACAGGGGGAGGGGACCAAGTGTCACCCACTCACCCCAGTATGGTTGGCGGCTAATAACTGAATAAAAGGAGTGTGTCCACATACCATTGTTCACCCCCCTAAATGGTCAGGATACCCCATCCAGAGAGGCTAGGTGTCCTCAAGCACTTATCTGTCAATGGGTGAGGTTACATGAGGTCTTTTTATAATTATTAGCCCACTACCTGCTGCCCATGGGTTAAACCCAGTCGCAGGATTTCCATTACGCGGAGCAGCTGTTGGCTGACCATTATTTAGTAGACATGCCCCCATTGTCAATGTGACCTCCATATTTGTATAAGATGTTAGTCATGAACAAAATTTAATAAGTGTGCTTCCGATGCACATTTATCAAAAATTTTATTTCAAATAGCTGACTTAAATACAGATGAAATCCGATTAATGGAAAAAAACAAACAAAACAAAAAAAAGAGTAAGATGATAACCCTGGATAACTGATGAGCAGCTATCTTAAAGGGACACAACAGGCACCAAAACAACTTTAGCTTAATGAAGCAGTTTTGGTGTATAGATCGCTTCCTGTAACGAGAGATCTGATGTTTACACTTCCTCTATTTTCAAATTCTGTTGAATTTAGAATTTCCTATCTCTTGCTCTGTTAATAGCTTGCTGGACCTTGCAGGAGCCTAGTTTTAGTAAAACAGGTTCAATATACAGAGCAGGAAATAAAAACTTTTAAAGTAAGTTAACATCTGATTGAAAATTAAATAATTTTGTTTTCATGCAGGCTGTGTCAGTCAAAGCAAGGGGAGGTGTGACTAGGGCTGCATAAACAGAAACAAATGTGATTTAACGTCTAAATGACAGAGAACTGAACAGTGGGACGTCAGAGGCATGATCTATACACAAAAATAGCTTCATTAAACTAGAGTTGTTTTGGTGACTATAGTGTCCCTTTAAGTGCTCTACTAAAACAGAAACTTTCATAAAACATTTATAGTCTTCCGCTCTTAAAATAAAAAAATCCTAATTAATCACTCTCATTCAAAAAATAAAATGCTTTACATTTGTTGGCGTTTTCATATTTTTGCTTGTGCTGAAATGTATCACAATGACAACTGTGATAAAATATTTAAAGCTGTAGTTTCCAAATTTCCCCCAATGAGCATTGCATTGAGCCTTGTTTGCGTTCCCAGGATATCCTAACCAAATACTACTATATTACAGAATCACTTACAACGCAGTTTCTCATCGAGCGTTCCTCGGGAAGTAACTGACAGCGCCTGGATAAACTCAGCAAACTCAATACGTCCGTCCTGCAATGACATCAAGTGTTGTATCACAAAAAAATATTTTCAAAAATCAATGAAAATGTAACATATTTTAGGCAGATTTAAAAGCTGGAGTGTTACAATATTTCCATTTGATTATTTTGTACCATTATTTGCACTTTAGGTTGTCAATGATCTATTATTCAAATCTAAATAGTCTGGGAAAAAGGCAAGCCAGAAGCAGCATTTTCCACGTACATCATTAAACTTTTTAATGGGTGATTACAGAAAGGATGAGACACACAATGGGAGCCACACAAAATTTTCAAATTTGATTGTACATGGGAGTAGAGTTTCCCTGCCAAGTCCATCTGCTCTGATAATGGTAAGCAATTTTATTTTTTGGATTTAATAATATATGAGCTTTTTTTTTTTTTATGTTTTTACAATGCTCTATTAATACCAGCTTCAAAACGTTGATGACTTTAATTATATAAATGTACAAACTGGAAATTATTGATACATTTAAAACTACACCACCTCATGGTAATTTCACATATTTGGGCAAATTGCACGAAATGGTCCCAGGGTATCAGCTCCTTCAGAACCTAAATGAATCCAGCCTTGGACTAAGAGTTTACTTTAAAGGGCTATTTTTCCTACGCTTGACAAAAATGTGAAGCTTTATCGAGCCCTTAGCCTTCACTAGCGACAACTAAGGGTTATGTCTATGTAGGGTCCTCCAGTCTCCGCCATAGACATCACTGACAGTGGCTCAGGGTAGATGAAGCATCAGGAGTTAAAAATGACTCAAAGGTTGTTGGCGGAGCTTGATGGTGGAACAAAGTGGTCGCATGCTAGAGAGGCTCCGTGGCCAAACAACAGTACCCAACCGTTTTCGGGGATATAAACTCCAAATCCAGAGACCAATCTGCCTGCAGTGACGATGGGAAGAAAAACAAAGAAGCAGAAACCAGACCGACCCAAAACAGGGGCCATTATAGGCGACTTATTCCGCCAGGCACAAGGTGCATACAGACCCAAAATGGCCGCCGAACTCGATGAATAATCCGATTCCTCGGGGGATTTCTACCCAGAGGAAGCAATCAGCAGCTTACAAGAACACAGCCGAACAAGAACCCTGGCGACACGGAACCTGTAACGGCGTCACTGCTGAAAGCTATGCTGGGAGACCTACAGAAGGCTCTACAGGCGGACGTAGCACAAATACAGGCAGACCTCACGGGCCTGGTAGGCCGCATTGACGCCCGTAAATAACCTCCACACGACACTCACAAGAACTAGTAGAGCTCAGGCATGAGATACAGGCCCTCAAACAACAACAGACCAAAACAGAACACCGCTTTGCAGCAATAGAAGACTCCAGGCACCGTAACAATCTGAACGTCCGCGGAGTCGCGGAAGAACTCCCACACTTCCTGAGGAGGCTCGTGGAAACCATGATGCCCTCCAAACAAGCCAAAAACAATGGCATAGAGGCGGCCTTCCGGATCCCCAAACACCGGAGAGCACCAGAAGCGGCCCCCCCTAGACCTCGTGGTGAGATTCAAGAGCGCAGCAGACAAAATGGCGCTCCTCACGGCCCTAAAGGGGTCCGCCACCTACAGATTTGAAAATATGGACTTATCTTTCTATGCAGACTTGTCGGAGGCTACCTTAAAATGGTGCAAGTACCTGCAGCCGTTTACCGCCCTGCTACGGACGCACCAAATAACATACCGCTGGCATCCACAATGCACACTACAGGTACTGCACAAGGACACAGTCCACCATGTCTCAGACCTCCAAGGTGCGACTGCACTACTACCCACACTGGGACTGCCACCAGCGGAACTGCGTGAGAGGGAAGCCCCAGGGAACCCCGAGGTAACACACTGCTGGGACCCGGCTAGGATCACCCCATTTGTCCCACAGGGAAGGGGCAAAGCAAAGACTGCAACCACCACCACTTGAGCATACAACAACAAGGTCAAGACTATCTCCCCACACAAGCCGTACACCCAGAAGCAGCTCGAACTGCCTCACCTCTCATCAACTGCCCCAATATTGAGGAAGTCCCTGGACCCTGCAACACCCTCACTCACCCCGGGACTTATCCCGACGGCCAAATGCAGCCAAAATCCCCAAAACCGGGACTTACGGCACACCACCCATCACCCTGAGCAAGGAGCTCCACAGGAGGCCACCAATTTGCTGATCCTCCACTAGCCGCAGCCAAGACCCAGTAGTGACTGTTCAAACATTTAATGGTGACTATATTTACCCCTGTAATCGCAGGTTGTGACAGAAATGCGACTAAACACTTAAAGACATGAACCACTGTACCGCACAAAAGTTTAATATGCACAAGTTACCTGTTTCCTTATACTCTGATTATATGTTTTTTTTTGTTTGTTTTTTCCTATCCTCATTGTAGACTCCTCAGGGAGACCAAAACATAATGCATTCCTAGTCTCACATACCCGAGAACAGGGTACAAAATGTAGTGCCACCGCATCAGTTATAACCGCAACCACATAGCTCCCCTACAAAGACCAGGCCAATGAGAGCCCATCCTCTCTCTCCCGCGCCAACCCGCCCCTCCCGGGTAACAGGGGATTGTAATCCACATAGCAGACCACCAGCCACCTGATCCTCTGGTACATGCGTTCAACGCAAAAAGTTCATAGGCGGACCAAGCACATCAGGCACACAGAAAGCCACGCTCTCCATAGACATCTAACTACGGTACACTCCAGTGACAAGAAGAGCACACACGCTATAGTTAAGCCAACCCATTATCTATTATCTAATATACAAACCAAGTTTGTGAATGTCTTCAGGGTCAACGCTAACTAAATATAAAATGTGCAGTCTATATGAAGCCATATTACGGACATTAGTTGAATGTTATTAATGCGCTTGACAGCTTCAGGTAAGTAAAGCTCACCTTCCCCTGCACCCCGTGGCCACCACACTGCCAGAGGCAAAGTCACCATTGGCGGTCTTTGCAAAATATGCAAAGTCCCCAAGTGGTGACAGAGCCACTTTGAGAATTTGAAAAGTGTAAAAACCATCTGTTTTATCATAATAACCTAATGGATTTATATATTTTCTTTCTTATGGAACCCCATTTGTTTGAATATACACTTTAAAAATATTTAATGAAATTGGCAGCTGATTAGTAAAGGTTACTATTACCCACCTAAACGAGTCAACCCTATAGGTATTCAATATATTCTGTCTGTGCTTTAAAAATATTTAATGGATATTTAATTGTTGGCCGTACCCCTGAGCTGCGGATGGGGGTCCTAAATTACCTATTGACCCGCCCCCACCCATGAGCGGCGGCTGGGGGCCCTAAATGAAAATGAAAATTGGGGGGTGGGGGGTGGAAGCTAAAAAAGTAATCCATCTTAACCCAGCAGGGCATTGCGCAGACTGAGCTCCGCATGGCGGGGAAAGGCTTGTAAAGCCTTCCCACGCTCTGCAATTAGGTTTAGAGCACTCTGATTCCAAGTCTCTAAATTTACCTGTCACAGCACTCTGATTGGTTGGCTTGAAATCCAACCAGAGTGCTCTGTGTCATTTTACACAGCGTGGGAAAGTTCTTTGGAATTTTCCCATGCTGTGTAATTTGACTCATAGCAACACTCTGATTGGTTGCTTTCAATCAACCAATCACAGTGTTATGAGTCAAATTACACCCCATGTCCCGCGTTTACTTTTATAGCCCCCACTCAGGTCAACAGCAAAAAACAAATGTGAGGAAGGCTGAACATGATGGACGCAAGTCTCTTTTCAGCTAACTATGTAACTCGCAGGGCACGGGTGGGGACACTTTTCCCCCCCCGCATGCTCCACCATGGGGTCATTTGTTGGGGTCGGGGGGGGGCTTTTTTCTTTTTTACAACAGTGAGCAGAAAACGGCTGCTCACTGTTTAGTAGACATGCCCCTACTCAACTCATAGAGTAAGGGAGGAAATGGAGGGGAGCACTTCTCCCTGCAGTTTCTATTTTTACATATTACAAGGAGGGAGCTGCAAGGTCTTCGTTTATTCGTTTGAAATTTTTATTCATTTATTCGTTTTAACGACAAATAATTGAATAGATGAAATTCCCGTTCGCATGCCCAAGTGTTTAACTGAGCATGCGCGGGAATTTCACAGCGCTATCTAGTGTGGACAGATAGACTTCATCTACCCATACAAAGATAGCGGTGCCTAGGACTTAGGTCCAGGCAGAAAATAAAGATTAAAACTAGGTAATATGGGGGGCATAGGGGCATTTGGGGATGACTAGGGGGACAATTAGATGTAGTGGAGTCGGGAGGGAGGTTTAAAAAAAAAAAAAAGGGATTTGGCCATGACAGTGCACATTGTATTAATTTGAGGGAAAGAGGGGGCACTCTATTAATTTGGGGGAGGGAGGGGGCAGTGTATTAAACTGAGGGAGGGGGCACTATTTTTATTTTTAAAATTTTTATTTTTGTTGTGCAAGTGAGTACAAGGCAGAATCAAATGCCACAGTGTATAAATGTAGATATATAGGTTAAACAGTGGCATGAAAGAGTCGCACATTTTATTTTATAGGAACATATTTAACTAGTCTGTCTGTGATGTCTCAGATTTGTGTAGCTTAGTTATCAAGATTAGTGAGACATGCATACAGTGTACTAGTGAGATGATTTAAGCAAGATGATTTAAGTAAAATGGTTTAAGGAAAACAGGCATGTAGCACGTGAGAACTATTTCTAGTAGCATGGCAGTAGCTTGCATATTAACTATAACGTGTGTGAGAGCTGGACACACGTATTTGAGTGCAGAAAGAAAATGCCAGGCCTGCTAAGCTTTTTAAACATAAATATACGCGTAGTAACAGGCTTATCAAATAGATAAAACATATGAAATAGAACTTTTATACCGCTGGGTATTTAGCAGATAATACTAGTGTAAACATTCTTTAAGTCCTGCTCTGTTGACCAGTATGGAAGCTAGAATAGAGGTAGCTGCAAGCCTGCATCCAATAACCCTAGTGTATTGGAACAGGTAGTCCATTCCTTGGCTTGGCATGGTGGGTATCGTGCTTGGGAACATAGGGCACTGTGTGGATTGACGTGCCAGCCCCTTGTCACGGTGAGTGAGCAATCATCCGATACCCCTGCAAGGGTTATTTCTTTTGTTTGGTTCAGTCCAGTTGGGGGGCTAGTGCAACAACGTGGAGGTGAGGCACCATTCCGGCCCCGGTGCTGTGTGAGAGCTGGTACCCTGTTGCCACGAGCCTGGGAGCCATTAACGTCCAGGGTCTTCCCTGTTGGGGCGGTGCGGTGGTTCCTGATGTCAGTTGCTGTCTGTCATCGCTTCTGCCTTGTGGACCTGCACCTGTGTTGTCGCTACCTGTGTGTTGTGGCCCTTGTTGCTCTCAGCCCGGGTGGGCATCTTGCGGTGATGGCCAAGGTGGGGGATCGTTTTGTGCCCTAAGGTAGTTTCCCAGTCCTCCTCTCTGTGCGCACGTGGCCCTGTACAGTCGGGATAGGGGTAGTCTGAGCTGGTCTAATACGGGTCAGCAGCTTGGCCCAGAATCGGTCAAAGATAGTGTCGATAGAGTCTCTTACTGTGTTGCTGGGGTCTGGCAGGTCGTGCTGCTGCATTTGCGTGCCGCCTGAATCTGGGTCCGATTGTGACCGCCATTTTGGAGAGCTCCGTGCCCGTGTAGTTTGTGAGGCCTGCCAGGTCCTCCGTGAGGTATATGGTGTGGGGTACTCCTCCTGGCAGGGACCGGGTATCTCCCACCGGTGCGGGGGGGGGGAGGTGGGGGCAGTGTTTTAGAGTCGTGGGGGGCAGTGTGTTAAATTGGGAGGAGGGAGGGCAGTGTATTAAAGTAGAGTGGAGGGAGGAGGGGCAGTGTATTAGATTAAGGGGCAATGTATTAGATTGGGTGAAGGGGGCAGTGTATGGTGGAGTGGATGAGTGGAGGGAGGAGGGACAGTGTGTTGGATTTGGGGCAATGTATTAGAGTGGGAGGAGGGCAGTGTATTAGATTGGATCTGCATGGAGGCTGCTGAACGCTCCCCATGGAGATGCTGATTGGCCGTGCAGCTTTTTGCTACACAAGCACAATAGCCTCCCAATGCTTTCCTAAGGGAAAGCATTGGGTTGGCTGAGATCATCAAGTTTGATGATCTCAGCCAAAGTGAAGAACACACTCATAGGACTTCAAAAACAACAAGATAACGTCATTTGTTTTTTTACAGCTGTGCAACAGAATACATTCACCATTTCAGTCCCATTACCAAACTTTTCTCAATATGTCAAGGTAGTTGGTTTGAAACAGTTATATGCAAATGCATTTCTTAAAATAAATTTGCTCTTTTGTTTATTTTGAAGCCCTACAAGCGTGAGGACGTCCAGTGTCAGTTTTCTATGGAAACTAAAGTTTATTTATTTAAACGTAAACCTTGTTTATTTGGCCCGTCTTAGCCTTTGAGTTTGACATGTTTGGTTTACATAAATATGATTATATGTTAAATCCAGCCTTTTCTTGCATGGTGCATTGTTTAAACTGTAGAGTGTTGCTACTAAGTATAGAGATACTATAAAACTGTGTACCTTAGCTCTACCACAATTTAAATATTTGAAATAAACCAAATAGAAACCATTTGCATAAATTAATAGAAGCAGTTAGATACTAACATTAACTTGCACAAGTGATTTGAATTGCTACTTACAAGGGGTTAAGGTACATTCAACTGTACCATGTTATACACCCAGGTAAGTACCTTTTTATTGATTTTATATCAGTTAATTTTTTTTATTTTTTTTTAATTCTTTATTTTTGCTGTGCAGGTAGGTACAAGGAATCAACAGACGCCACAACAGCATATTGGAAAATATACATTGGTATAACAGTGGCATGAGAGACTGCACATTTTTAAAATTTTTAACAAGTTTGGTTAAACAGTTGCGTCGTCCTTTGTAATGAGAAAAATAACAGACTGGGGACACTTTAAAGGTTTTAAACATGCTATACAGGCTAGCTTTGTATGACTGTTGCGGTGGGTCACGATGGGGTTTCAAGCTTGAGACAGTAAACATACAGTGGTTCTAGAGATTGGAGTAGTCAAGTACTTAGAGAGTGGATTCAGGTTAAATTCGTAGTCATATTGTATAAGCACGGTTGCAGTTAGCAGTAACTTGATGTAAAACTACATTAAAAAGTTAAACTGTGTGTATTTAAGCTTAGACACAAGGGGTGTGTGTGTGCGGTTTTACCATCCAGAAGAGCGGCCGTCTCTCCCTGGCTCGGCCGCATGTAGGCCCCATGTGCTTTGCGTGGGATCCCGGGCAGTGTGAGTCTCGTTTGTGGGTTCCTTCGATGCCCCCGGGTTTCCCCAGCTCGTCCCATGCCCTCTGACTTGTGGGTGATTTTGTGTTTGGGGTATTTTTCCCCATTGTTGTCGTTTTTTGCAGGAGCTGGTTTGCAGCACGTCTATCCTGCTCGGCAGTCAGGCTCCGCCCTATATATCAGTTAATTTTAACCCCTAGTTTCTCGTGTCATTACAATGAGTCCCCATGGGTAGGGAAAGGCATATCATATTCATCAAGCCCCATATGTCTGAAAACTATAGCGTCACTGCTTTCTACAGTACAATGGAGCCAACTGGAAGACTAATTTAGGAATATGACAAAATTATTTAAATGTTAATCATTGCAAGAATGGGTCAGTGAGCTAATTTTGCAGTTTAAAAAAATGTGCTGCATAGCTAATGTCACGTACATAATTTGGGACCCTGTCAAAAAAAAAAAAAAAAGGTTAAAAACCACTGATCTATATAATGTGTTAAAATATGATATTAAATCAGCTCTGCAGCATCCCTTTAATAATGCATTTAAAATGACAACCTAGTAGTGTTAGCTTGTTTTAACCATCTGAGCCCCATAGAGTACTAAACAGACAGGTTCTCTTCTGGAAATTAAAGAGTTTAGACCCAGTTAAGTGTAATAATGTGGCAGTATACATATATTTTTTTTATAGATCTTCATTTATGGTATAATACAACTTTATAAGAAATTGCAGAACAAAGATGGAGATTTAAATTATTCCAAAACAGCCTCGGGCCAGTACATCATTTTACTGCATAGTGGAAGAGGGAGAAAATATTCAGTGAGATTTCATTCCTGGTCTCATAGCGACGAGGTTTAATAAGGAGAACTCAGGAGTGCTTGTTGTGAAGCGAGGCGTGGGTACGTAGAGAGCAAGCACCCTCTCATGGGAGAATAGGGAGAAGATAATGGAATGACGGGAGTCAAAAGCTCTTAGGATTGACACAAAGAATCTGCAGAATATAATTGAAGGCAGTGAACTAAATGGGGTGTGAAGCTACAGAAAATAGGCTTCTGGGCAGAGCAGATGGGACCCACTGTGTATGTGGGATATCACATTTTACATATTGTTTCATTCACACTGACAAAAGTAAACCTGTACAAGTTCAGTTTTCTGATCATTTGGATGCCAGGGACTGGAAACCTTCTGAGAGAGAGATTTTGCAGCATGACAGACAGGTGATATTCCGTGCCTGTTAGAATTAGTTTGGTACCTCCATGTTCTTATATCGAATCCTGAAAATTAGATATAATTTCTTCTGTGTGATACGATTAAGAGGTCTAAAAGATGAATGCCAACCCTTATCTGCAACCAGATTGCAGATAAGGGTACTGCGTTATTGGGGTGATTCCGTAAAGTGTGATTTGTAAAAAACAAAATGAATTCAAATAGATTTTATGCCACTACAATGGCATTGATAAAAAAATCTCCAAATTTGTTCTCAGTTTGGCTCTTCTTGGCACAGATTTCAAATTCACTTAGTGTATCCAAACACACACATAAAAATATATATATAAAATGTCCAAATACTTGCACTCCTGTGATAGTAAGTTAATGCCCGGTGCTAGTAAAGCAAATAGCATAAAAAAAACAAAGTAGTAGGTAATAGCACTCCAAGGACTTCAAAAAGTATATGGTGAAAAAAACGTAGCTTTTATTCAGCAGCTGCCACACAGAATCGACGTTTCAGTTCTAGTACAGAACTTTCATCAGGATATTATGAATATATTTGTGCATATGACTATGTATACGCATAGTTTGGTGGAGTGACTGGTATGTTACACATGTAGCTACATGGCTGACAATGACTGATGATATGTGATGTATTTGTGATTGATTGTCTAGCTCCTAACGTTTGGCGCAGACTGTTATGTATACTGGAAAGTGTTTTAATAGGAAGATATATATTATTATTATTATTATGTATAAAGCAACAACAAATTCTGCAGCACTGTACAATGGGTGAACTAACAGACACGTATTTGAAACCAGACGAGTTGGAAGTACAGGAACAGAGGGATTAAGCTGCCTGCTCAATGAGCTTACATGCTAGTGGGACTGGGGTACAGTGACACAAAGGGTAAGGGTAGGGTAGAAAGGTAGGCTATTAAGATAGTATTGACTGGGGGCTTAGTGTTTTGTTTTGATGACAGTTGCAAGAGAGGAATCAGGGTGCAGAGATAGAAAGCTGTTCACTGTTTAATTGATACGCTTTCCTAAAGAAGTAAGTTTTCAAAGATTTTTTTGAAGCAGTGGAGATTGTGTGAAAGTCTATCAGAGAGGGGAAGGGAGTTCCATAGGAACGGTGCAGCCCTAGAGAAGTCTTTAAGGCGAGCATCAGAGGAAGGAGTACGAACAGAGGTTAGACGTAGGTCTTCGACATAGCGTAGGGGCCTAGATGGGACATATTTGTGTATTAGTGAGGATAAGTAGGTCGGAGCACCATTGTGTAGAGATTTTTAAGCAAGTACCAGGATCTTAAAGGACCACTATAGTGCCAGGAAAACATACTCGTTTTCCTGGCACTATAGTGCCCTGAGGGTGCCCCCACCCTCAGGGTCCCCCTCCTGCCCGGCTCTGGAAGGGGGAAAGGGGTAAAAACGTACCTTTTTCCAGCGCTGGGCGGGGAACTCTCCTCCTCCGATCCTCCTTCTCTCCTCCACGTCGGCTGAATGCGCATGCGCGGCAAGAGCTGCGCGCGCATTCAGCCGGTCACATAGGAAAGCATTCATAATGCTTTCCTATGGACGCTGGGGTGCTCTCAATGTGAAAATCACAGTGAGAAGCACGCAAGCGCCTCTAGTGGCTGTCAATGAGACAACCACTAGAGGAAATAGGGGAAGGCTTAACCCATTCATAAACATAGCAGTTTCTCTGAAACTGCTATGTTTATGAAAACATGTGTTAACCCTAGCTGGACCAGGCACCCAGACCACTTCATTAAGCTGAAGTGGTCTGGGTGCCTAGAGTGGTCCTTTAAATTGAGCACTATATCTTACAGGGAAGCCAATATAGAGACTGACAAAGGGATACATGCAGCACAAAACACTGCCCGTCAGTCAGTACACAATACCCTGTACATTTGTCATTCTCTATTATCTAAGTTATTTATTCGTCTTAGGACATAACATGAACACTTTTTGGTTTGTGTGTTTTTTTTTCCATTTGAGTTACCGACAAGCAGAGAAGCATATAAGGTAAAGTAGTTTCTACATTAACACAACAATAAGGAGAACGCAAAACACAGAAAAAAACAAACAAAAAACTGAATTCATTTAACAAGGAAAACTTGACATATCCACTTTAAAAAGGAGAAAAACACTCTTATACTAGAGGCAGATTTAATGATGACTTACTTTATTTTCGTCAAAAACATTAAAAACAAATGTTGCAAATTTTGTGGGATCTCCGAAAGGGAAGAACTGCTTATAAATTTTCTGGAAACCTGCAGCGTCCAGCTGTCCACTGGGGCAGTCTTTAATGAAGCCTTTATACCTGCAACAAGAGACAACATGGGTTAGACTGCAAATTATACAGACCAAGAATCAACCAAATGTCATGCATTAAAACCTAACCAGGAACACATAGAGGGTGGCAGAGATACAGGCTCTCAACTGTGGCACTACCCCTCAGTTGCATGTAAACAAAAAATAAAAATGTATTAATAGTATAACACACTATCAGGGTTATGCAATAAAATCAGAATTCAGAGTCAATTCAATAGGAATTTAAAATTCAGCGGCCCCTATCGGCCATCTACCGTCTCCTCCAATTGGAAACAGGAGATAAACCCAGACCCCCATACCAACGAAAATGGATGAGGGAACTCCACATTCACATGACGGATAGTGACTGGGCACATATCATGACCTCAGGGATGAAAGCCCCACTAAGCATCGCCCGCAAAGAAACATTTTATAAAAGGGTCACCAGATGGTATAGAACACCAGCTCTTCTCCACACCTACTGGCCCACAGTGAGCGATCAGTGCTGGAGGTGCGAGAGAGCAGAGGGCAACATGGAACACATCTGGTAGGGTTGCAAGAACATAGCCCCATTTTGGGACACGATACTCACAGACATTAAGAAACTCCTATCCATGAGGGCACACATATCCCCCTCCCAAGTACTACTAGGGTGGCCACGGGCACTAATAGACCCGTATGAACAGCAACTTCTAAACATCCTTCTAGGCGAGGCCAATGCACTTATACCCATGCTCTGGCGGCAAACACAAACGCCTTCTAGGGACCAATGGGTCCAACGGGTAGAATGGACCAGAGAACTAGAGGAGATCCACTGGTCGACACAGGGCAAGAGAACTAAATATCTCAAAATCTGGGAACCCTGGCTCACCTACTGGAAACCCCCCCCCGCAGGAAACGCGCCCATAACCAGCCATAGCGAGAGTAATTAAATCAGTCACATACTTAAATCAGCCACATACGGAAATGGAAAACATTTTACCACACTGAACCGGAAAACTCTAACCGCTAGACTCTAAACCTCTGTACAGGCAGGTAGCGACAAGACTCCCCATTCCCCAACCACCGCTCCCCCCCGCTCACCTTATCTCCCCCCGCCCCATCCCCTTCACCGCATCCCGTTAACAAAGGACGGGTACACGTATACAAGAAAAAGTCTGATTTAATCTTTATGTATAACACAACGGAATCCCTACTATGTTATATTTTTGTTAACCCTATTTCTCTTCTGTACCCCATGCAATGGTTTAACCTATTGGAAACACAATAAAAACGATATTAAACAAAAAAAAAAAAAAGGAATTTAAAATTCTAGGTAAAAATAGCCGAACTGGAAACATTCTCAAATTCATCTATGCTTCCAATTTGGCTACTTTGGCCTTAAATTTGAAATTTACTTTGAGTTCACTTTGCAGAACAACTCTGTACATGTCAATATGCTCTCAACTAGGCCAGTTGTGTTTCACTGCAAAAATACCCATTTACATCTACAAATAACGTGTCTCCACTGATCCAAATATTCTTCAAAACACTAAACGTCTGTACAGCATCTCATTGATGGTTCTCCCCCCATGGAGATTTAAGCTTGTCAGGGCTCAGTATATGGTCAGGAAATGCATACGGTGATTTTCCAATACAAATAAACGCCAATGCCACAGCACAGCCACCCATACTTTCCATTCACTTGCATAGAAACCTCTTTGGGTACAGTATGGGTCATCATGTTTTCTACTGTAGAAACATTAAGATTGCGCATGCATGACATCATACAAGCTTCTATAAAGCAATGGAATGAACTTGAATGGCTATATATCTCAGTCACTTTCTGGTTAAAGTGGGAATGTCTAGAGTCCCACCTGCTGCAAACATGCAATATAACGCTAAATAGGACGAGTTTGCTTGGTTTTTTTTTCTCTCTCTTTTTTTTTTGAGAATCTTTAATGCGTTAAACTTTGCTACAAAAAAAAAATAAATAAATAAATCTCTGACAGGCACTATCTCATCCACAGACAATATCAGTAGCATCAGTGCTTTGCATAAAATCAGAGATCAGTGGCGAATCCTGTATAAATGTCTCAATCAATGACTAATAATAATTTGCTGAAACTTGAATTAAATTGATAATTAACAGCACTGGTAGACAGAGCTTCAGAGACATGCTTCCATTCAGTCCTTCAAAATATTGTCAAAACATGTTCACGTAGTTTGACGAAAACATTAGGAATCCCTGGGTATTTAATCCATTGTCTGTCCAAGTTCTTGAGGGCTCAGAGTGCTGAGTTATAACACAAAACCACCACAGCAGAACAATGTGGGCCTTGTCAGTACTGCGGAACTGGCACTGGATCAGGGAGAGACTGTACCTATCATTCCCTAATACCATAACCACTACAATATTGTCAGACACAGGAATCATTACATTTGTAAAAATGGGGGGGGGGAAATGTTTGTTGCAGTGTTGTGGGCTTGGATAATTATTATTATTAGCATTTACACAGCGCCAACATATTTAGCAGAGCTTTACAAATAGAGAAAGTGGATATATGAAAGTCAAGAAGGCCCTGCTCAAACAAGCTGCTAATATATAGCGATTTGAGGTAGGCAGATGTATATCGTTAGACGTCTTGCCTGGGTTTCCAAGTTCTAAGACTCTAACCTGCCGATATAAAGGACATTATGAGAGTCGGACTACTGCTAAAGCTAATCAATATTAAAACAAAGTACTAAATCTACACTGCTACCTCACAGTAGGAAAAGTGAAGATTATAGTTTTATAAAAAAAAAAAAAAAAATAAGCCTGCTTTTATTGGCTAGAGTCTTGTGCCATTTATCTTCTTTTTTTCCTTAAAGCCAGCGTACGGTAAAACATAAATGTTAGTTCAAACCACACGAGTTCATAGCCAACAAGTGATTTAAGTCCGTGTCACAATTGTCCTTTCAGGTATTTTCCATTTCTGAGAATCTAATCAATTTAATTCTTTAAGGTTACCACTTTGTACTTTCAAATGATGATATTGCCGTTAATTGATTGAATTACTTCTTTAAATACAATCGACTGCCATGAAATATTACCATTCGCAATGTTTAAAAATTATATTTTTTACTTATTTTCTTGGCAGTGACATTTTGCCAAGTGATTCAGGAGCTATATTCTCAGATAAAAAAAGAAAAAATAACAATTGTCTTCCTCAACAAATCTAGATCTACACGTATGTAAAAGAATAAAATGATTCTAAAAGTTCAACTCCTTGCATAATCTACATTGGCAACTTTGACACATCCTGGAAAATTTGAAAACTAGGTAATGAAAAAGTAGCACATTTATTGAAAAAAGTAATAGAAATAAATACACATGGCATTACACTAACAAAAGTCCTTGTTTATGCCGAGGCAGTTCCAATACCATGTACAAAATAGTATCAAGTGTGTAAAATAACACAGTATCCAAAGAAATATAGATATAAATACCGGGTGATTGAACTACTGTTCAGAGGAGAGACCACCTAAAAAGACTACCCAGAAAACGGCAAGTGCCGCATTGGACGCGTTTCGCAACCTCCACAGATCCCCATTCTTGATCTTGATGAGGGCAGGACAAAATGCAGTCATGGGCCAAAGCATGCAATCTGGAACTGGACTTATGAGCGAAAAGAAGGCAAGCTCCCACTCATTTGTATTCTAATGTTATAGACAAAAAGTGGTCCATAACTCCCAGCTTTGGGTGGTGTGAAGTAGCATCTCTTGGAAACCAATTAACATGGGGGAATTTTAAAACACTTGGACATTTTGTCCATCAGCTCTCACACTTTGGGTTATGGTATGGTGGTTGAACTAGGCGAACATCTAGTGTGAACACAGTTACTTTCAAAAATGGAATGAGGAGTGTGAACTAGGTATACCAGAAGGTATACAGAGGCAGACAGTGTTTACCAGCAAAAGGTTGTTTTCCATGCAGGACCTTTTACACCACCTGTGAACCGGGATCATCCGTTTTGCACGTCCCTCAAAGTGAGGTTTTTGTTGGGACGTACACTCAGACCCACGCCGTCCTCACCGGCAGCTGGAACACAGGCGGCTAACTTGTCAACTCAATCCAGATCCATCCTCACTCAATTCGAAGGTCCTTGCTTACTTTTTTTTTTTTTTTTTTAATTCAAGGTTTTTATTGTTTTCAAGTCATAAAAAAGGGGTTGTAGGGGTACAGAAAAGAAGAAGGGGTGGGGGGGGGAGGGTAACAGGGTCTTAGAACCAGTCGTCCTTGTTATCATTGTTATGACAGAGTATCATACATTGACATGGAGTTACATGACAGTCATATTGTACATCATGAGCAATATACAGAACAAGGTTGAGCCTGCAGTTAACCTTTTACAGCATGTGTGCCAAGCGGAATAGCCTTCCTGGTCTCGTTTTTATAGAGATTCTTTACCTTTACTTTTACATGTAAGTCGGGGTAGGGTACAAAAAGGGGAACTCGGGTATAAGGTCGGGTTCACAGAGTTCATGCTTCTTGCTGACATTGTCTGTAGCTGGTAAGGTGCTTGAACTATGAACTAGTGGTATTCCTTATGTTGCGGTAGTTCTAGTTGCTGCAGCTGTTTATAATTGTTTTTGTTTGACTCTGTATCTAGTGGGAGGGGGGTTCCAGGATGTAACTCCTGGGGTGGGGTGAACTATATTACATCGTGTAACAGTTTGGTCCTTGCTTACTTTCGACTTACATAAGACTGGTAGTGCATTTATGAACTATCTCTGATCTGTATTTTTGCATTTTTAACTTATTTTTAATATGTTTTAATATTTTGTACAATAAAATGTTTTTCTGATACCACATCCAGTTTTTATATTGCTTCAGTCTACAGCGATACATTGTTTGTATTGGAAGAGCAAACAGTTCCACATACTGTGTTGCTAAAATACATAGATACATTTATCTTTGACATTTTAAAGTATACTATTTGGAACAGGCATCATCTACCCTATACTACGTTAGGGTTAGAGATACTTGCTCTTCATTTATTTTCATATCTTAATTCAATTTTCCTTTTTTATTCACCTTTTACGTATTTACTTTTCTTATTTTCTACTACTTTTATTATTCCCTATTTTTCTCTCTCAAGTATTATCCATTTTTACTCTCATCCTCTTTTTATTCATGATTCCTTATTGCATATAAAGGCACAGTACACATTATTTTTTTAATTTTTATAATTTTTTTATAAATTTTATAATAATCATTCTTATTGATTCTCCAACTTCATTGTATTTTATATCATATGATTTTGCACTCATTATATTTGAGCCATCAGTCACTAGTCAGCTCCTGGACTTTGCACACTGTCTTTTAGAGTGTTTTTACCTGCTTTCTAATATCCCTATTGTTCCCAGTCTGAGCGGCTTAGTGTTGGTCTGACTCCTTCTCCCCTGTGCGTTACATTAGGTACACCAGAACGTATCTTCTCTATACCAGATGGATTGATTGGAATCAGTGCAATATGATGTTTGATTCTTTTTTTTGGAATGTCCACAGAATAACTCTGGACACAGTACAGATATTTCACACAAGCTTAATTTTTACATTACAAAACTATTTTAAGTGTCGGAGAAGCTTTTGTTTGAATACATGAAATGAAATCTCTTGTCAAGACTAGCCTAACATAAAACGCAAACGCAAGGTACACAGTACAGAAGCACGTATCGGCCTTTAGACTTGACGGACTAGTGCCTACAAACGGAATGTCTATACGTAGACAAAGAGTAAACCAGAAACGGCTGATGTTTTTTTTTTTTTTGTAAATCATATTTTATTGTGTGTTTTGTTTTTTCAAGAGAAGATAGAGAATAGAAGGAGCACGCAGGCTCCAGGAAGGTTATTAGTGATTCAACAACTTACATACAATGAAAATATTTCAGGTTAACCATGCTAAGTATAATAAAATAAAAAAAATAAAATAGCCCCTGAGTGCGCATTTATCAGTTTTAGGTGGTGGTAATTTTGAGAGAGGGTTGCCCCTATTTGATCAGCTCATTTTGGGGTTATCAGCTATCGCAAACGGTTCCCACTTAATGTAGGATAAGCAATTTCAAAGTCTGTGGAGCCAACAATTGCTCTGCCCTTTAAGGGCCCTTTAAGGGCATATATTCCAGTGTGAAGAACTCTGGCCTACAGATTGGGACTCACCCATAACGTAGCCATGTGTCTCACTACATTCCTGTATATGATCCAGGGGTGTTTGAGTCCAATTTTGGTTAATTTGCATTGTGGTATCCCCATCAAGAGTTGATGGGGTTAAAGGAATATAAAATGAAAGGAGGTGAAGAGAAGGGGAGGAGTGAAAGTAGGCATTAGAGGGAGATGACGAGATGTAGGGGGATTTGGTAGTGGCAGGTGTCTGTGAAGAGAGAAAGGAAGCGAGATCATTTATCTGTGGAACCCGCTCCAGTCACTCATTGCTAGGTGGCCCGACAGTAGCATTACCCCCGCCGTTCTTTATCCTGTCTGATATATATATATATATATATTAATATATATATATATATATATATATATATATAAACAATTGTCGCCAGAGTTCCGCATATTTGTCACTCTCACCCAGCAGAGCAGCTTGGATGGCTACTGCGGCTTGGGTATCCTCTACTTGTTCCAACCATTGTTCCCTGTTGGGGGCTGGTATCAGTGATTTTGACGCTTTGATGTGGTGATGGTGTGAGGTGTAGCCAGGCTTGTTCTGCAGGAAGTTGTTGTGTTTCCCTGAAGATTTCTGACAGTGTCCTGCACCATTTCCCAGAATGGTATGATTTTGGAGCAGCTCCACCATATATGTTCGATTGCCCCCTCGCCCAGGCCGCATCTCCAGCATAGTGGAGACACGTTCGGGAATATCCTGTTGAGGAGGGTAGGAGTGTGGTACCAAGACGACAGAAGATTGTAATTGGTTTCTTGGGAAACAGGCTGAGGTTAAGGTTATGAAATACACAGAAGTAAGAAGCAAGTCATAGTCAGGATTACAGAGAGCAAGTCAGACAAGCCAAGGCTAATAAACAGAGTCACTAAACAATAACACACTCAAGGTATACAGAAACAACGATAGGGCAAGTATATATGACCTATGCTGGGTTATGATTGGTTACAGAGGGCTGTGATGTCACAAGTGCCACATAGACTAACAATATAAAAGGAAACCAATGGAAGGGTTCCATGTCATAAGTGATGTTAGAAAACTAGGGACGAGTGGGGAACGTCTCATGTACATCGGAAAAATGAACTGACGTTACTTCTATGATCACACAGCACAGCAATAAACAGGTTTTGTGACATCTCTTCACAATAAAAATAAAGATTTAATGTGTGTCTTATTAATTAAAGTCAGCAGCTAGCTATTCAATTGTAGAAGAATAAAAAATATGCAAAGCAAATGAAAAATTAAAATGTTTACAATAACTAAATATATATTATTTTAATATATATTTAAAATAAGATATAATCAATATTGAATCCCAATGACTAACCTTTAACAGAGTACCCTTTAGACCATATAGGTATATTATAGTATATATGTATAAAATGATTCTCAGCTTGGTGTGGGAAAATACATTATTGGCTATAAGCTTATAAAGTGTTTTTTATCCGAACATTACACAGTAACAAACTAATGTAAAAGAATTCAGACCAACGTATCATTCCAGGGACCACCACCCTTTGGTTTGTCTTATTCCAATCCTTGGGTAGTTCAACACAGTGCCAAGACGTCCCTCAGATCCACTTCTGGTGCAATTGGTGGGTAAGCGTCTGTGTACATTCATTTATCGTATAACCAGTAAGCCACCAAAAGACAAAAGCCACATACCTCATAAGTCACTTTTTTTTTTTTATTTATCTAAAGTTTCACTCTTGTCTTGCAATACAGACATTGTTCTTCATTATTATAACACCATACTCAGTGGTAGTATTTTTTTTATTTTTTTTTATTAGAACTGGATGTGCAACAGGGGCTTAATTTAGTTATTTAATCAACCAATAAATTTCACTGTTCTGTTGAGAACTAATGACAAGGACACAGATTTATTTTTGCTTTGCTTTAATAAATGTGTGTTTTTTTCCCACCAATACTTGAATTACCCTCGATACTGGTATGGTTGTTCTATTTAGAAGCAACTGATAGTAAGACCTGGTTTAAAACATGGTTAGATTAGAAAAGCTATTAAGAGGTCCTCCACTCAGCCTGTCCTCAGGAACACCCCTTCCCTGACATCAATGGAGAAGATCAATGGAGAAGAAATTAGTGTGGCTTTCCCAGCACATGCAATTTTTGTTCAAATGCTTCTTTATGAAAAGAATTTGATTGGACGAGAAGGATTGGGAGGAGGAACATTCGGCAACACCAAGCAAGTCTTGGCGCAGGAATAATGTTAAGTAAAAAACTTTTTTTTCCTTTTATTTTTATTGAAGTTAGGTGTCTCTCTCTGATCTTAAAAGTGAAAAGACACTTTAGTGTTAGGAACACATGTTAGTAATTAACATTAACGTGTTAGTAATACAATTAATTTACAGCTTGATAAATTTTATATAGAGTATGAGTTTGATAATGGTGAGATAATTTAACATCAAAGTAGAGAGGCAAAATGAAATAACCCTCCCACTATGCATGTTTGAATATGTTTTAATGGAATTACACATATTTTATTGGAATTTTTAACTGTGACTCGAAAGAAAGAAAAAAAAATATTTTTGTTGGTTGCATAATTATCACCTTAGTTGCTATAAAATGTGTATAATAGTTCTGATGCAACCAACAGTGTTTATTAGTCCAAATAGTGTACATATTCTGGCACTGTATATTGCCCTGCAGTACACAAGTCATTAAAACTCAAAGGTGCCAATTATTTAACTTTAAAGGAATGAAAACTGAGCTGCCCTGCTGGGCATCAAGCCTGCAACCCTGAGGATTGAAAAGCTCCTACAGTTAATGCTGAGTTATTTCTCCAACTTGTAAATACGGTAGTTACAACAGAAGTACAACAAATTCCAATAAAATTTACATTTCATTTCTACCTAGACATGGCTGCTCCCTAATGCTATATAATATAGACTGGGAAATTTTATTTGTACCATAAAATAGTTTTTGCACTTATTTCAGTAGTTAAAAAAAAAAAAAATCATATTAAAAGGCCCTAAGGACATAAAAATAGAAACAACAAAAATGTGTTTTAAAGGAGGAAAGTTCTGGTGTATTTTACAAAGTTATATTTGGACTGTCCTTGATTTTTACCAGTCTGTCTTATAATGTAATAACCTTACTTCCTCAATATGGACAAAAGGTTGTCTGCATTTGAAAAGTTGGCAGCTCTACATTAAACTTGTCCATTCTCGGACAGATTGCAGATCATAATGCAACACGTTCAACATTAACTTGCGAAGCAGAGATGTGCATGAGCACAGGGGATTGCGTATGAAGAGAAATCCTGTGTCAAAATCCTACAAGTGGAATCGGTAGCAGGAATAGACTTTTGGTTTTTATGGTGAATGCGTCACTCTTGAACTTTGCCCCAGAAATTTTCTTGTACATAACATCATAGCCTTTTGATATATTGTTTCATGTTCACTAGAATCCTATGGTGTTGTAAATAAAGGGGCAGTTTAGGCACCATAACCACTACAAGCTGATGTAGTGGTTTTGGTGCTATGAGTCCCCTGGTGCCATGCCGCATTAAGCAATCAAATATAGATTTTTTTAATAGTGCGACACTTGCCTGGTTCCCCTGTGCTTAGACAATGAATTCCATTCAAAACACAGGAACAATCATCACTAATGCAGAAGTAGGGTCTTACTTATAATTTAATGTGGCCAGGGGCCCAGGAAAGTGCCAAATACCTAGAAAATGGTTCGACTAATTAACACGGTTTGGCTCCACAAGACTCCTGCACCATATCAAATACAGCAGGCTGCAGTGGTCATGGTGCCTAGACTGAAACAACAACGCAGACTGTTGTTCCTTGTTTGTATTGTATATATTATGCATGTTAGTGTATCTTTTTAGGCAACTGCTTGATTTTCACTATTGACCCCAAATGGCTTTGGATTGAATTATTATTATTATTTTTTTTAAAGAACTCATAATTGCCGATAATAGGTCAAAATTATAAATTTGAGTTTTTCTCATGGGAAGCCAGTGAGTAAACCCTCTTTGGGATCAGTGGACAGAATGTGTGATGGCTAGTTCCTTGACGTGTCCAGTGCATTGTGCCAAAGTCATGTAGACTGAAATCATGCGATATGTCATCAAAACTCCCTAAAAAAAAGAAATCCATACAATCATATTACATTGCAAATGTTCCATTCCTCCTCCCACTGCTAATTAAAAAAAACACTGGAAATCTCCCAATTTCACCACAATTAACACGAAGATTGTGTTCAGAAATCCAGAAGGAAAGAGAAAAATACATACAAGGTCTGCCAGAACCTAGAAAGTGTTGTGTGCGGAGGCGTTTATTAGACTGTCCGTCTGTGACAATGTTTTTATCAGCAAGAACTGTTCTGCAAATGCATGTATCTCCCGGTGCACATCTGTTTATATATCAGAATGCGAATATACAAATGTCCACATGCATATTCATCAGAATGAAATTATCCAGGGTATCGGGGCCGGGCTAGGGAAATTACAGCTAGACAGTTAAAGAATAGCAGCCCACTTGCCCAGTTGGACAAAATACAATGAAAGTGTTCCATTCGTACCAGAATGGCAATTTTGTTAAAAGTAATTCGGTCGGAATTTAGCGAACATGCTGAAAATGCAATTGGCCAGATGCATTTGGTCTCTGGTTTACAATTCGTGCTTTTAGTACTTTATGCATCAAAACAATTTACAAAGTATAGGATTTACAAATATTTACAAAGTACAAAACACAAATTTTAAACTAACCCAAAGACCGAATATATCCAGGAAGATGCACATTTACAGTTTATCGTTCATGTGTTTTTAAGTGATAACGATAACTTGAAGTACTATTTGCCTGTTAACAGTGATACCATATAGCAGGCAATTAGTTAAAGGGACACTATAGTCACCAGAAAACTATAGATTATTGCATTTGTTCTGGTGAGTAGAATCACTCGTTCAGGCTTTTTGCTGTAAAAACAGTTTTTTCAGAGAAAATGCAGAGTCTACAATACAGCATAGTGATAACTCCACAGGCCACTCCTCAGACGGCTACTAGAGGTGCTTCCTGGGGCAATGATATACACTGTGCAGTACTGATCTTCAGTGTCTCCACCCTCTGCATTGAGACACTGAACTTTCCTCATAGAGCTGCATTGATTCAATACATCCCTATGAGGAGATGCTGATTGGCCAGGGCTGAGTTTGACTTGTGCTGGCTCTGCCGATGATCTGACACCTTGACAATTTCAGCCAATCTTATTGGAAAGCATTGTGATTGGCTCAGGCGACCACTTCTGAGGATATCAGCCAAGCAGGCAGATCAGCGGAAGAGCCAGCAGCTGCAGACTTGAATACAAGTAAGCTTTTACTATATTTAGGGAGGCATGGGGGGGGGCTAGATGGTGGTTTTAACACTATAAGGTCAGGAATACATGTTTGTGTTCCTGATCATATAGTGTTCCTTAAAAAACCCTCAGCTGTGCGAGGGTTAACCATGTGGCAGCTGGCAAAAGAAAAGAAAGAATCAATTAATGGAAGGGTTTCCCCCTGGTGCAGGCCAAAGTGAAAGTCTTGTATACACTCAAAATGTAAAAACTGACTGCAGCCATCAGCGATACAGCAGATCATTTTCTCAAAATTTGGACTCCATGGATGGAGACCTTTGCTTCTCTGGGCCTCCCACTGAATCTTCCTCCCCGCACTTGCCTTGTTTGGGAATACTTTTCAGCCCTCTATACATCTTTTTACCTTTTCCCACTATCTTGGCTCTCCTCTCTCTATATAGACTTGTAGCATAGATGGTACTGTAGTACTTTGGGGGAACAGACCAGTTCTAGAATTACCTGTTACCGTTATTCTCCACTAGGAGACTTGATTTTTTTTTTTTTTTTTTTAATTCTTTATTTTCTGTGCATTGAGAAATGTAACAAAGAATAACATACTTGAGCTGCCTTTTCAACATAGGCAGATTAGTAAATAACAATTGTTTTGCCAAGGGTCTGGATCAGTCTATACGTTTTACACTTATAACATATCAGGAGCATAGGATTGGCAGCAAGTATATAGTATGAGTCCTTTTGTTCTACGGTCGGAGGAATTTAGCTTGCGTCCTAGTAGTCAGGAAGAACTTGTGGTCATGTTTCTGCACTTTTTCTGGTTTTCTAGTGTGTCGAGTGTGCCCATGCGGTAGGTTCCCATGGGGTGAACTGGTTGTGAATGTTTGTGTCTATGTTGCTTGGGTCCTGTGAGTGGTTAAGTGGCACTCCTCTCTGTTATTTGAGGGAGGGTGTTGGTGATTGTGAAGTGCTGTTGCTCGTCGTCGGTGAAAATTGTATATTTGCGTCTGTCTGTGCCTGAGTGTGGGTTTTGTGTTGCGTTTGCTATGCTTGGGTTAGTAAGTAATGTTGGCCCTTAACCTAAGAGGGTCGCGGGGGTTGGGAGATCGTCTCCGACTTTGTATGGGGAGTTAATAGTGAGATGTCGTGTTTTCGTGGAGCAATAGGGTGAAATCATAGAAGAGGAGAGAATATCAGAGCATGGAAATAAAATTAAGAGGTAAACAGTTTAAGGTGTTCAGGTCTCCGTCTCCGGTCTCTTGTTGCCCCTAGGGACATATGGTACTATTCTGTCCGGGTCCCAGGAGTGGGTAGCTTGCGTTGGTCCCGGTGATGGGGCGTTCTGAGTTAGTCCCAATTTTTGGAGAAGCGCTGGGGCCTCCGAGAGTGAGGTGAGTTTTAGAACTTCTCCTCCGCTGAATACCGCCAGGGTTCTTGGCAACAGCCATCTGTATTCTACGTTCCCCTTCTGCAGTTGTTCCGTTATGTTGCTCAGGGACTTTCTCCAGAGTAGGGTGCTCCGCGTGATATCTTGGAAGAAGGTAAGTTGTGAGGCTTCGAAGGCCAAGGGTGTCTTGTCTCTTACTGCTGCTAGTATGCGGCGTTTATCTGTCATGGAATGGCAGCGGACGATGACGTCCCTTGGGGCCGTTGTGGGTGCCCTTTTTGCTTTGTTAATGCGGAAGTGGCTGTCAAATTCCAGCTTTTTGGCTTGTGTATGTGGCAGTATTGTGGCCGTGAGTCTCCTCAGGAACTGTGGTAATTCGGATGGTCCCACTGCATCAGGGATACCCCGAATCTTAATATGTGTGCGCCTGTTGCGATCTTCCATGGCGTCTAGCGTGTTTTGGAGCGCTGAGTTCGCTGTCTGTAAATGTTTCAGGGCGTCCCCCATGCTTTTCACCTCCTGTCGGAGGTCTAGTATGTCTTCTTCAGAGGCCTGTACTCTTGCCGTCACCGCCTGCGTTTCTGTGCGGATTAAATTTATGTCAGTGTCAAACAGCCCCTTCATCTCCTGTAATAGGAGTCTGATGTCCCTTTTAGTGGCTGGGGCTGAGTCATCCCCCTCTGCTTGTGGATTGCTGGGAGCTTCAGCTCTCATGTCACTGCTGCTTCCCTGGGACAGCTGTGCTGAGTGTGTGGGACCAGGTTCCTGGTCTTGTTCGGCCGCCATTTTGTGGCCTGCTGTGCGTTGCAGCAGAGTCCCAATATCTTGGGAGTCCCTGGGTGTTGCCTGTTGTGGCTTCTGTGTTCGCCTCCCCATATCGTTGTCGGGTGAGTAGTGACCTGCCCGCTGTCCGCACCAGTCCTCCAGGCTCAGGGGGATCCCCGCGGGTAGCTGCGATGCCGGCGGGAGAGTGAGATAGGCCCGGGATTTGCGGACTCGTTTTTTGCCCGTTTGTGGGCTTAAAAAGGACATCGTTAGGTAGCCCTGTGAGTCCTGGGATTGTGATTGTGGGTCCCGCGGGTCGATGGCCCCCCCCCTACCTGAGATTCGCGGTAGATTGTGTCTCGGTGCCGGGGAGCCGTGGATGATGGCGTCCATTCGGCTCCGTGGTTAGGCTCCGCCCCAGGAGACTTGATTTTAATGTCTTGCTTAGAGAAAATGTAATTACAAAATAAACATAAAAAAAGAATAGAAATAAAAAAAGTCTATGGGAGTCAATCTGAACTCCATATTAGAATAAAGGAAGTATAATACCTCACTTATGCCGCCAATGTCAAAGGTGGGGACATGTATACTAAACAGTGAGCAGCCACTGTAACTAAAAACTAGCGACTGGGCAGCTATTGCTATCTAGTTGCTAGAAAGGGCCAATCCTATTACTGCACAGTTGTTGTAAATTAAATGGGGGAGGAACCAGGCACATGTAAATGTATCAGAACGTAGGCAGTTTATTGGGAATCCTATGAATGAGACACTATTTTCATGTCTATATGTATCAGAACGCAGGCAGTTTATTGGGAATCCTATGAATGAGACACTATTTTCATGTCTATATGTATCAGAACGCAGGCAGTTTATTGGGAATCCTATGAATGAGACACTATTCTCATGTCTATACGTATCAGAATGCAGGCAGTTTATTGGGAATTCTATGAACAAGATACTATACCCATGTCTATACGTATCACAACGCGGACAGGCCATCCTACGAAGCAGTGTGTGTGTTCCAGAATCCGTGTGACTGGTATGCGTCTTGTGTACAAGTTAATGTAACCCTGTGTACATACAAAGATGGACCTTAAAATGCAGAGCCAATGAGAGATAATAGGGAGAGGCAGATGGAGGAAGTTTTTCGGTAGCAAGGGATGGCAGAAATGGCATTTTATCAGTAAACACAGCTGTGATCCCGGAGCCCTGGGAAGAGAAACCATTATCTCTTCAAAGAAGGTTCATTAGAACGTTTTCATACACAGACTCTCTCCTCACCCAATGGAAAGAAAGCGAGAAGGTAATTACAGCAGCCAAATAATTAACCCTTTCTACAGCATACATCTACGCATCGCTGTGCCACAGAAAAGGGGAGTTATGCTTCTACAGGCCTAGTAATTGACATTCTGCTATAGAAGAGCTAAAGGAATGTTGGAGACAATATTCTTTAAAACGAGAAGGAAATAACACACTTCCATCCATTACTAATTTTCTACATGCTGTTAGTGAAAGGATTTAGAAAAGCCCTCAGTTCAACACTAATCCTGATATTGTAGGTTTCATTTCATCAGAAAAATACTTGCCAACAGTTCTGAATCTGGCAGAGAGTCCTGATTTTGAGCCTATTTTCCCATCATCCTGGTTTATTTTCTCTAGTCCGCTGCAGGTTGCTGAGTATATTTATTTTAATAGTCTTACAGATACAAAGGGAAAGTCCAGCACATTTTTGCACATAGGTAAGTATATCAACAGCCTGTTATCCATCAATGCAAACCTTCTGGAACGAAATTGCCAACAGTGACGCAAAACGCGCAAATGGCATGTTCCCATACTAGCATTGCCCTTCATCTAGTTCACAGCTCGCTCAGACTCAAAAAGATATTTAAACTTTAGTTTCAACCCACATTTAGTAGAATTCATGAATAAGCAGCATTGGTCACTGTCTATCCACTTTGTAAAGTGTGTTAAAGGGACACTATAGTCAACTTGAACAACTACAGCTTATTGAATTTGTTCTGGTGAGTAGAATCATTCCCTTCAGGCTTTTGGCAGTAAATATGGTCTTTTCAGAGAAAATGCAGTGTTTACATTACAGCCTAGGGCAGGCATAGGCAACCTTCGGCACTCCAGATGTTTTGGATTACACCTCCAATGATGCTTTGCCAGCATTGTGGGTGTAAGAGCATTATGGAGGATGAAGTACACAACATCTGGACTGCCAAAGGTTGCCTATCACTGGCCTAGGGATATCTCCTCAGATGGCTACTAGAGGTGCTGCCTGGGGCAGTGCTTGACAGTGAGCAGCACTGCTATTCAGTGTCTCCACCCTCTGCATGGAGACACTGAACTTTCCTCATGGAGATTCATTGATTCAGTGTATCTGTATGAGGAGATGCTAATTGGCCATGGCTGTGTTTGGCTTGTGCTGGCTCTGACTCTGATCTGCCTCCTTGACAATCTCACCCAACCCAATGTGAAAGCATTGTGATTGGCTCAGAACATCACTTCTAATTATGTCAGCTAAACAGGTAGATCAGGGGCAGAGTCAGCAGCCACAGACTGCAATAAAGGTAAGATTTTGTTATATTTATGGGGAGCAAAGGGGGGAGGGGGGGTTGGTGGCTAGAAGGTGTTTTTAACACTCTAGAGTCAGGAATACACGTGTGTTTTTGACCCTATAGTGTTCCTTTAAGATCTATTGAGAGAGTGTCTAGTAATATGTCGTCGTAATTGTGAGTGCTCCATCAACAGAGGATGAAAACACACGTCACTAGACAGATTAAGAGATGGGAGATGAGATGTTTATGGAGGTAGGGAGGTCTATGAGTAGGGGGACGTTTGTGCATATTAGAGCTATGGAAATGTGCATGTATATGGATGGGGAGAAACAGATACTGGTTTATGTAGAGAAAGATATTTTATGGAATATTTATCCAAGTGTTCTGAAAAGTGGCTGTTAAATTGGCATTAGTTTGATCGTATTGCTAAAAGTGACATATTTTGTCATGGTATACGCCACCATTTTTCGAAAAAATATCCCAATTTAGAATGGTGGGGAAAAGAGAAGTAAAATGCTACATTTTTCTTTTTGAAAATGCGGAGTCGACACTGGAGGGAGATGAATACCAAGTAGCCAGTTAATGCTAAAGCTGACGAGGGACGTGAGCTTGCTTAAAGCTCCACTCTTTGTCAACTTTTGTTGACTTAGTCCCTACATTTCCTTATGTACACCTTTTTAAATAATCATCTTATTAAAAAAAAACTAAAACAAACACACAAAAAAAAAAAAAACAGGACTACCCAGGGGCACATATAACACAACATTAATTATATAGATATATATGTCAGAACCACTTTAAATACCTGCTACATCACAATATATCCAACATCATCATACATCTTACATCATAATTAGCTGAGGGTATATTATACAGGGTGTGCACCCTCTGAAGCCAGTTAGCGAGGTCATCATAATTAGCTGAGGGTATATAAGACAGGGTGTGAACCCTCTGATGCCAGTCAGTGAGGTCATCATAATTAGCTGAGGGTATATAGCACAGGGTGTACATCCTCTGAAGCCAGTCAATGTCAGTGATGTCATCATACATCTTACATCATAATTAGCTGAGGGTATATAGCACAGGGTGTACATCCTCTGAAGCCAGTCAATGTCAGTGATGTCATCATACATCTTACATCATAATTAGCTGAGGGTATATAAAACAAGCTAGCTACGTCAGTCAGTGTTTAGCTGCTAGGACAAGGTGCTGGGCAGGTATTCATCAGATCTCCTATTTATTATCTGAAGAATCTGAAACTTTCAGGATAACATTGGATACTGTTAATATTTCAATGTCATGTTTGTTTGGTTTCTTTGCATTCAGTCTGATAAGCAATATTACTGACCCATCGGCCTGAACTGGATGCAGTCACAGCATTTATAGACTACAAGTATTGATTTATTTATAATTTTTTGCTTTTCTATCCTATTTATTTCACCTATTTCCAGGTGTGGATGGAAAGAAGTTGGTTCTGGATGTATCCTGTTTATTATAACATATCTAGTCTTTATTTTAGGTTATTGTCACTCCATGGGATTTCCTGTAACCTCTTTATATAATCTATTCTTGAGGGTTATGGAAAGTATGTGGAAGACTTCAAAGGTTGATATGACATGAAGACGATGGTAATTAATATAAAGACTTGGTGATACATAGTGTGAGACAGATTAGAGGGGAGATACAAGTTAGAGAGAGAGGGAGACTAGAGGGAGCGTGCAAGATTAAAGAGAGGAAGAGAGCAATATTAGAATTTGAGGCCAAAATAGCCAAACTGAAAACATATTTAACTTGGAGAATGTTTCCAGTTCAGCTATTTTGGTCTAAGATTTTAAAGGAACATTGTAGCGTTAGGAATACGTATCTGTGTTCCTAATGCTACAGCCCTAATGCCCCTAATCAATTAAGTCCACCCCCGCCCCTGTGAAAGAAAAAACAAACAAAATAAATAAAACAAATTACTCATCTTTTCTCCCTCCTCTGGTTGCGTTTTCCTGAAGGCGTACCTCCAGGATGAGGGGCCAATCCAATGCTCGTCATAGAGGCTCATTGGGAACCTTAGGCGCATGAGCACCGTTCTCCCCTAAGATTCAGCCATAGAGAATCATTGATTACAATGATTCTATGTGGCTGACCGTGATGGTACTGCGGTTGCATGCTTTACATCACGGTACAAGAACCAAGAAGTACGATTCCAGGCTCTCATACCTGGAGGGTGTGGAGGCGTGGCTTAAAGCCAAACCTTCTTATTAGTGAACTGAAGGATGGTGAGGGTTAAGGGAGTGCATGTGTTGAGGTGTCAGGACTACAGACACCATAACAACTTTAATAAAATGAAGTTGTTAAAGTGCCTCCAGTGTCCCTTTAAAATTCACTTAGAATTTCTAAGAATTTCTACACTTTAGTCAATAACCCTGACAGACAGCCCATGTGATATTTTCTCCTTCATGGGCATTCTCCTCATTCTCCTGGGTTCTATGATTGAACTAAACACCCAACCACAACTACTGACAGCGGGTGAGCCTACAGAACAAGCTCAGTGTTAAAGGTGCACTTAATGGAATAGTTATGTTTTTTCTGTGCATTTCTTAATGGAGGGCTATGCTGTAAAAATAAATAAATACAAAGCAAATTTGCTGTGTGCATCATATTTTCATTAAAAAAAATAAAAAAATACAATAATTAGGAATGATAGTGGTTCTGCACTGATGAGCATGTCTATGCATATTTAATGTGCTCCTTATTACTGCACAGAATATTAAACGGGGTAACTAGCAAGAATTACAGACTGATCTGGTGTCACAAGGGAGGCACGGTACAGAGATAGATGAATGTAAGGGGTAAAGGGACTCTCCAGATCCCTAAAACACTTTAGCTTGCCGAAATCCTTTATGTGTGAAGAGTGTGACCTTTTTATAAAATTTTACAAAAAGTGCAGATTTTAATAAATTACCAATCCTCTACCTTTTAATCTGACAACTGGTCATGTTACTTCCTGGTTTGGATAGCGCAGTGGAGTTAAACACAAGTGGCAGCAATTGCCTAGATCACCGGCCTTCCAAAGACTTCTCATTGAACTGCATTGGTAAGTCTGTGATTGGACAGTCACAGAAAGTCTGGGCTGGGTTAGAAGGGGAGGGCTTGCAAAGGCTTCAGACAAGAGATCTTTTGCAAGCTGTTTTTAGATAAACCTCCAATGAGGTATATCTACTAAACAGTGATTTAAAACAAAATTGTGCTCTTTCCATTTAAAGCATGCAAGCATATCAGGATACAAGCATTTCAGAAATAAACCCTTTAAACACAGAAATCTCAGCGGTGACTGCCCGTTCTGTTGCAGTGACTTCGCTGCAGGAGATAAATATTCAATTCGCCCACTTCTACGCTTCACTTTATAACAGGATAATCACGTTCCTACCCACTTATCCCACTAACATCACATTTTCTGCAATCTTCCCACATCTCTCAGAAACGATAGATCGTCTTAATTTAGAAATATATGCAAAAAAATATTAAATTAATTTGGAGTATTTCAGCATGTAGTCTTGCGAAACCCTTTCTTTCTTCACAGAGATAATGACAGATACATATTTTTCATATAGACAGTTTCTGCTACAATGTGTGTGGTTACCATGGAGATTTAGAAAGCATCCTTCCTGCAATTATCTGTCTGGCTTAGTGCACTGTCATTACCTATTTCAGTGTTAATGTGAGCATGTGATGCAGGGGGGTAGGTAGAGGTCAGTGATGGCTATTCTTAACATCTCCGTATATTTTTTAACTAAATTTCCCATGATGCACAGCAAGTTATAGGATATGTAGTTCAAATAAACAGGGTTCTGGTATAATGACCAGTGTTGAAATTGCACGTAATTGATTCATTGCACTAAGGGCTGGTTTAAGATATTGATATTTTAAAACACATTGTCCGAAATGTCCCTAGTCAGAAGCACAATCCGTCTTTTTTATCCTCATGTTTCTGATTTCTGGGACCCCATCATTTTTAGTGTATGAGCGTGTAACTCATGAGTGTATAAAGCAAAGCCATGAATAGTAATGTGTATTTAAAATAAAATAAATGTGTTTCAAAATTACTTAATGTAAATAAGACAGTTTGGTTCTAAAACAAATTATTTGTTACGTAAACAGCAACTAGTAGGCTGTAATGTTACCCAACAGGTTTTGGTACTAGCCCTATTTCTGTCCACACCCCCAGTCATACACTCTAAAATTAAGGAAGGCATCCATCTTTAGCCATCTGAAACAAGGGAAACCAGGTATGGTTTGAAAATCCTGACCTATAGTCCCATGTTTGTTATCTGGCGTCCCATTTTTGTAGAGACACTAGAGAAATACCCTGAATACGAAAATGAGGACATCCTCAGATGCACCTGCGCCATGCAAACTCTTCGCAGGGTCTTCAGAGCATTAAAGAAAACTTCAGAAGCTCCCCGCACATGGACAGACCTGAGTGAAGCTGGCCTTTCAGCCTGACATGGCATGCCCCATTTTTGGGTAGAATTTTGAGTAAGACATACCTGTGCATTGCCACTATGCCCCAAACCCAAACGGCCCAATTTTGGTAGATCTGGTTGTCTAAGATAGACTATAAAATGAATGAGATAGTTTAAAAGCTAAATTTAAATTGAGTTCTTGGCTCCAACACAACAGATTCCAACAGCTAGGAAAAAGACGGCAAGAGTGCCTTATATTTCCCATTTATATTAATCATAACTAAGCAGATGGTAATGATTTGGCCCTTAGTTACATGCTCTCTGATCTGATGGCAGGACTTCTTATCCAACAGATGGATGGACCTTAGAGGTGTGTGTGTGTGTGTGTGTATATATATATAAGAGAGAGATTGACATTTATTTTCATGATAGACTATTCTCAATGTGAAAGCAACCTGAGTATGTCAACAGAAATGCATGTCGCTTGACAGATTCTAAAAAGCAGAAATTGCATGTAATATATTTACATATAGATTGAATACACTTTTATATGTCACAGAGAGACAAAAACACAGACGGTGTAACACATGTAGACGCTGTAAAGATGACACGATGCACATGCAGGCTTTGGCACACACACACACACACACACGGATACAGGCAGACTCATTAGACAAATCATGTTGAAATCCTCCAATTCTGCCCAATCTCACTATGAATTTACTCAGAGGCTCTCAGAATCTGCCATCAATAGAATGTGCTTGTCTGTTCTAGAAATCTGCCCATTCATCATGAGACACTGCGCAATACGTTTCTGAAACTCCCAGTTCATCATCAGAATCTGCCTATTTTCCCTTAATAATCTGTTCATTCAGCATCCAATTCTGCCCATTTACTCTATGGATCTGCCTATACATCATCAATAATACCCACTTGCCCTGAGATTCTGCTCATTCATCAACAGAAGCAGCCCATACACCCAAGAATCTGCCCATTCTCTATAGACAACAGAGATTTGTTAAAGGGGCACTCAAAGCACTATAAATCCTTCAGCATGCTGTAATAGTTATGGTGACAGGAGTCCCTTGGCAACACACCATGGTTAATAGGCAAAACATTTTTGCACAGTTTGACACTTACCTGGGTCTACAAGGATCCACGAAGAGGGTCCACTGATACCTCTTCGTGGATATTCCTAATGTGGAAATCCCCCTTAAAAAGGCATTGTATGGGGTTTGTGCACCATGACATCACCCTGCATTTCAGCCAACAAAAAGATCCCAGCAGGATGCAGCGCTGCAACATGAGTTGGCGCTTTATAAATAAAGTATAACAATAATAATTAATCATTTTTTCATGGTGGTGATGCACGGATGCTGCGTCATAAATAGACGCAGGGTCCAGACCTATTGCGTGAGCTACCAGAGGCACTGAGCATTGTGTGAGGCAGAGTAGAGGAAGACATAGCACCGAGCAATTGTGACAGTAATTAATTAATCTTTTTTAAAAATCAAGGAACCCCTTCTTGTATGAAGATATCAAAGACAGGTTACTCTGAGACACAGGGTATATCCTGCCGGAGGCTCGGCCCCGGGGCCCGTCTGGCAGCAGCTGCTGGTGAATAATGCATGATTAGGCTGCTGCGCCCGCCCTTGACACAGCCTGCTGCACCAGATCACTAAAGTCAGTTATTCGCTTGGCTGCGAGCTGCAAGCTCAGCTATTTCATACACTGTCTGGAGCCTGCGACCAAGATTCCCCTGAAGATATCACCCTGCATTTCAGCCAACAAGGAGATCCCAGCAGGAGGCAGCAGGGGGAAGGAGATGCCTGACTTTGCACTTGTACTAAAACCTGCTTAGTCTGACCTTGAGTCTTTTATGCAAAAAAAAAAAAAACTATTTAGGGAACCATGGCATAGCTATGATAAACGCACTTTCCTGAAAATCCAACGTTATATAAAGAAATATTAATTAAAGGGACATTCCAGGCTGTAGACTAATTTCTCCTTTAAAGACATTAGATAGATAGATAGATAGATTACACACAAAAGTTAATATGATTTCTGTATATCCTATCATGTTAGTTGCAAATCTTCAGCTACCCCAGAGACCAGGAAGCTGCTAAGATTTCTTCTAAATACTTATTTTGAAGGGTAATGCTGCACAGATCCCATATACCTTTGCCCTGCAGAGATTGGTTTACATGCTATGTAGTTCACCATTTCTAAAGTAGTTTTATTCATGAAAAGCTATGAAAGAAGCTACGCTGCATAGCTTCCCTCTGTTGGAATGGGGATTTGAAGCTGCATGAGATACAGAATTTAACAAGAGCAATACTAGAAAGCGTTTTGTACCATAAGTAAAATAAAAGGTTATGGTACTGTCAAAAAACAGATAATTCATTCCTTCATTTAAAGGGACACTATAAGCATCCATATCATTTCATTGAGATGAAATGCCCCGGTCAATTTACCCCTGCATTGTAAAACATTACTGTTTAGTAGATACAGTAATGTTTTCATTGCAAAGCTAAACACACCACTAATAGCTTTCTGGAAGACTCTGCTTTTGTAAGTATTTACCCACCTGCTGTTTAAACAACTGTGCAGACTCTGATAAAACCACCTCTTCATTTCACATCCTTATTGCGTTTACTGTAATAAACCCTTTCCTTTGGCTTAGACAAAATCTCCTTTATTCCAGTCTAAATGCGTGACCTTGTGTCCTATACATAATCCTGTTTATGAATAGATTTCCACACTATGGTTTGAATTGGCCCCAAATATATTTGTATAATACTACCATATCACCTCTGAGGCGCCATTTTTCCAACTAAAGAGATTTAAACATGTTAACCTTTCTTCATAGCTAAAATTTTCCAATCCTTTTATCAAGTTTGTAGTCCGTCTCTGCACTTTTTTTTAGTTTTATAATATCCTTCTTTAGTACAGGTGCCCAAAATTGCATAGCATATTCAAGGTGTGGTCTTACCAGTGATTTACAAAGAGGCAAAATTATATTTTCACCCCGAGAATTAATGCCCCTATTTCTACATGACAAAACCTTACTGGTCCTAGTAACTGCTGATTGACATTGCACACCGTTACCTAGTTTGTTGTCTATAGCAATTCCCAAATCTTTTTTGTGTGTTGTTATCTTTAATCCACTACCATTTAGGGCAGGTGTCCTCAAACTCCGGCCCCCCATATGTTGCTGAACTACAACTCCCATGATTCTCTGGCTATCTGTGTAATTCAAAGAATTATGGGAGTTGTAGTTCTGCAACATCTGGGGGTCCGGAGTTTGAGGACCCCTGATTTAGGGTATACGTTGCTTGTGTAGTATTCCTTTAAGTAAGTGTTCATTTTTACTGAAGCATGATAGCTGCACATCATAAGATTAAAAATAATCTCTCCCTATACACATAACTCTGACAAGGCCTCATTTTAGCCCTACAAAGTAAAAAAAAATTGCAGTTTTAAATCCAAGGTTAAATCTATCTCTAGAGTCTTCCTAACAGCCACTAGGTGCCCTTCCTCCTCCAGACAGAATAAAACTCGTTCTGGGAATCAAACACTGCTATTAGCCAAAATGTTGCAATGCATAGGCTCTCAAATCCAATGCTTCTCTTTGACAATTGGGATTTGACAAGATCACGGGCAGGGCCGGACTGGCCCACCGGGATACCGGGAAATTTCCCGGTGGGCCGCGGCATCTGGGGGCTGCGCTGAGCATGTGTGTGCCACCGGGTGGCCGGTCCGGTGGCACACACTCTGAGGGGGCCGGCCGCATTCCACGCTGGAGCCGCCGGGCCGGGTGGCAGCCTCACCGATCCGGCGGCCCTCCTCCTGTCACTGATGGCTGAGGAGTGAAGGAGGAGGAGGAGGGAGGAGCATGTTTCTGTACCATGCTCCCTCGCGGTTCCTGTGCTGGGGATTGTGGGAGCCGCGAGGGAGCATGGTACAGAAACATGTTCCTCCCTCCTCCTCCTTCACTCCTCAGCCATCAGTGACAGGAGGAGGGCCGCCAGACCGGTGAGGCTGCCACCCGGCCCGGCGGCTCCAGCGTGGAATGTGGCCGGCTTTCCTGACTCCTCTCAGGTAAATAGGAGGGTGAAGACGGGGAATAAAGAGACACAAGGGGAGGGGGGAAATCAAACAGAGGGGGAATAGAGGGAGAAAGAGACAGAGGGGGGAGAGACAAGGAAAGGGAGAAAGAGACAGAGGGAGAAAGGAGAGAGACACAAGGGGAGGGGGAGAAAGAGACAGAGGGAGAAAGGAGAGAGACACACAAGGGGAAAGGAGAGAGACACACAAGGGGAGGGGGAGACATAGATAGAAAGGAGAGAGATGCACAAGGGGAGGGGGAGAAAGAGGCAGAGGGAGAAAGGAGAGAGACACACAAGGGCAGGGGAGAAAAGACAGAGGGAGAGCACAAGGAGAGGGGAGAGACAGAGGGGAGAAAGAGACAGAGGGGAGAGACACAAGGGGAGGAGAAAGAGAAGAAAGAAAGGAGAGAGAAACAAGGAGGGGAGGAGGAGAGACAGAGGAGAAAGGAGAGAGACACAAGGGGAGGGGAGACACAGAGGGAGAAAGGAGAGACACAAGGGAGGGAGAAAGAGACAGAGGAGACACAAGGGGAGGGGAGAAAGAGACAGAGGAGAAAGGAGGGGGAGGGGGAGAAAGAGAAAGAGGGAGAAAGGAGAGAGACACAAGGGGAGGGGGAGAAAGAGACAGAGGGAGAAAGGAGAGAGACGCACAAGAAAGGAGAGAGACACACAAGGGGAGGGGGAGACAGAGGGAGAAAGGAGAGAGAGACACAAGGGGAGGGGGAGAAAGAGACAGAGGGAGAAAGGAGAGAGACACAAGGGGAGGGGGAGAAAGAGACAGAGGGAGAAAGGAGAGAGACACAAGGAGGGGGAGAAAGAGACAGAGGGAGAAAGGAGAGAGACACAAGGGAGAGGGGAGGGGGAGACAGAGGGAGAAAGGAGAGAGACGCACAAGGGGAGGGGGAGACAGAGGGAGAAAGGAGAGAGACACACAAGGGGAAAGGAGAGACACACAAGGGGAGGGGGAGACAGAGGGAGAAAGGAGAGAGATGCACAAGGGGAGGGGGAGAAAGAGGCAGAGGGGGAAAAGGAGAGAGACGCACAAGGGGAGGGGAAGAAAGAGGCAGAGGGGGAATAGAGAGACTGGAAAGGAGAGGGGAGACATGGACACAGAGGGGGAGGCAACAGGGAAATTCCCCCCCCACAAGGCTCTCCCCTGCCAGCCGATCTCCCTCCCCGTTCCACAGGCACCGTGCGGCACACACTGCCCCCACACACACCATACATATTCACACACTGCCCCCCATACACACATTGCCCCCCACACACATACACAGCCCCCACACACACATTGCTGCACACACACACATACACAGCCCCCCATACACACATTTCCCCACACACCCTACACATTCACACACTACACCCCCCCCACACACATACACCGAACCTTTCACACACACACTGCACCCCTCACATATTGCACCACTGCTCCTATACCCTACTACAGCCCCATATCCCAGCAGACCCCAGATAAGTTGTCAAACTGTTCTTAAATGGTTTGACTACTTACTCTGGGAGGGGGTCCCGGCACTCCTTGCACCATAACCACTACACAGAGCAGTAGTGGTTATTGTGCATGGATTATTTCTTTAAATAATCTACAAGTGCCCCTCCCGGGATCAGGCTCTGGATCCACCACTGGTATATGACATGTATATTAATGTGTATTAGTTTTATATATATATGTACCTACTATATTTACACATATATTAATGTACATTTATATATGCATAATACACAGATAAATGTCATTAATATGCACCATTTGTAATGAGCAGATATTGGCCCAGTCTTGTTGCTAGATGCAGACTCCATCACAATAGCATATTTAAAGTGAAGAGCGCATCCACAGGACTTCAAAATAAACAAGATGTCATTTTTTTACAGTTGTGCCCTACATACATTCACCATTTCAGTCCCATTACCAAGCTTTCCTTTTTATGTCAAGGTAGTTGGACTGAAACATTGATTACATGCAAAGGCACGTCTGCTTAAAATAAATCTGCACCTTTGTTTATTTTGAAGCCTATGAGTGCTTTTTTTTACGTTGAAGTAATAATTTTAAATTTTAAGTTCTCTTTTCTAACTCTGTATCTGCACACTATGCTGGCGCAACGCATTATGGGGCTGGTAAATATTTTTTTTCCAGGGCTGCTTTTAATTCCCAGTTCGGCCCTGATCACGGGTGACGTCAGCATGCTTGTCGGGGGTGGAAGCTACAGCGGAGGAGTCCAGATATTGTAAACGAGGTGAATAATATCTATTAACCCCTTAAGGACACATGACATGTGTGACATGTCATGATTCCCTTTTATTCCAGAAGTTTGGTCCTTAGGGGGTTAAACTTAGTTTTTACACTGCAAAGGGGGGTGGGCTGAAGGGAATCTATATTCCGGAAATAACGATTGTAATTTTTGGAATTAAAGGGCCCTTTTAAATCCTACCAATTTGCGGAGGGCTCTCTTTCCCCTTATGTGACACATGAGGACAGGAAGAGTGGACATGCTAGAAGATCTAATGCCATTAATCTGTAGTCCTCATGATCACTGAAGGCTTACTGGAACATCTGACAAACTCTTTGAGATGGTCATACCTGGAGTACATGCAATATTTTTCCCAGAGCAAAAAGTTCCAATATCTACAAAATGGCAGCTACGATAAATTCAGAACCCAGATCTTGATTATGTGAAAGACATCCCAATTTTTGCCAGAACAGTCCTGATTTTAGGGTCAAGACCCACTATCCTGGATTTGTTCCCTAATTTGCCTCTTATGAAAGCACCAGGGGACTGTCCCCAACAAGCGTAGCATGAGCCCACCATTAGATGAGCACAGAAACAAAGCAACCTACAATATTTCATTAAAATACTACATAGGGTTAACTCACTAAGCAGTGCATTAACAACTGAACTGTATTCCAGAACTAGCATAATTTCAAACATTACTCCATTTATCTACTTATTGTCAATTCTCACATGTAACTGTTTATTGAGTAAACCTCTCTATATATAACAGCAGTGACTGCTACATATTATTACTTTCTCTTGCTTTCAAATCTGTTGTGGGCTATAGATGGTTAATGATTACCCAGCATTTTATAACCTGCAGAAGCATGAAAAGCTGGGTTTACTCATTATAGTACAAACTATAATGAAGTGAAAATTGAATAGAAAAATGTCTGCAAAAATACAATTCTCCAAGTGAGCTGTAGTCACAGCTTGACCATTTTATCCCAAATTGTGCCATTTCGACTTCAAATTTATTCACTAAGAAGGTTAGTGAATAGCCCAGGCTGAGTTCACCCTTCTGGCCATGACACTTGCAAATCTGAGGTGTGAACACGCAAAACATATCTCTAGTTACTGTAGAGATGACAACAGCCCTTTACTTAAGAATGAAATTACTATACAAACATGTATTTCCATATTTAAACATTAATAATCTTTCAAGCGTGTTATTACTACAGCTGACTGTTCTGAGCTCCATAGAAACCAAACACTAACTGGTTGATTTATTTGTATCTGGTTACAACAACCTCATTATAAAACCAAGCCTGGCCCATCCCTTGCTCATTGTCCTGGGCAAGCAATACTGTTCGGACCGTCTGCTACATGGAGTTCTCTGCGCTGGACAGATGTTCAGAATCACTGAAATGGTTATTCCCTAGAAGTTTGCATGGTTGAGAATTCAAATGTGGTTTAATTCACTATAAAGCACATTTTAGTGGAGTGAAAACAGCAAAATGTGTAGGCAAAGACTGCTGTTTTGGAAAAATTCTCCTATAGCCCTTATAGTGTCCCTATTTAGGAGGGACAGTCCCTATTTTTGGGCCCAAATCTCTCTGTCCCTCTTTTCTATCCTAATACCATTATTGTTGATCTCTCCTTTGACCTTGAATTTAAAATGTTTTTCATTCACATGAAATACTTTTGTTCATTTTATTCTGCAAAAAAAGTTTTAAAAATATATATAAATAAGTATTGTGTAGAAAGGTTAATTTTGACTTTTTTGACATTCACATATTCCTGGAATCTCTAAGTGTGGAAATGTTTTCATTGTCGCCGCTGAAATCCATTACGGGCAGGGTCCTATGGATTTGTGTGGACTTATAAGGAAAATCTATTTGCATTCTTCAATTTCTTAAAGAGGAACATTTACTTTCGATGCAATAGCACATTCTTTGAGTCATGGTGAAGACTGTGAAGTCAGCTATTAGTTGTGCTTTTATGTATTGTTTAATGTATTTGTAAATGATAGTACTGTCCTCAAGCAAAAGCCTTTATGTTAGTTATCGACATATCAGTCATAGTTTATTGCTGTTGTTATCAAAAACAAATTCTTGTGTTAGTTGACAGGAGTTAATTATCAAGTATTAAAAAAAAAAAAAAAACACATAGCAACATATTCATACATTGGAATAGGATTGTGGCACAGTCTGGCATTTGATGCAAAATGAAAATGTCACATTTACTAGGTTTCAAAATGTCACTATGGAGCCCATTTCTTGAGTGTTTCAAGAAAGATGGCTGCACTAATCAGCAACAGCGGTGTTAAAATTTCAGGGATTCCGAGCTGCATTTAATCTATCTTAATTCACTAAAATGTGTGCCAGTCACCTGGAGAAGAGGCCTTGCAGAACTCACTGCAGCTACTGCAAAGTCTCATGATTAGCAGCAAATGCAAGAATCACAAAATTAATTTGCATCAGCCTAGAGTGGACCTTTAAAGTCAGGTAGATTCTCAGGTAATAAAATCTGTGGCTCTCACATCACAGTTCTACTAAATCTCTATAATATATTTCTGGTGGTTGAAAACATAATTTGAGCTTAATGGAGGGTGTACAAATAAAGTGTAAGAGAAAACAAGCAAGCAACAAATAAACAAAACAATAACATCAAGCAAACAACAGAGAAACAATCTATTTTACGGCACCAGGGATGGCACGCGAGAACATCCATTTCCACAGCTTTTTTTCCTCTAGAGTACCACTCAAATTCTAATTTAATTAATGGCAGCTGTGACAGACTTTGGAATTTTATAGGTACCTTTCATTGAACTGAAAATTAGTTAAACTAAGTTATACATAGACTAAGTCACAGCAAATACAATGGTGGACCTGCTCTATTTAAAATGGATTATACAGGTAATACTTAATAAACAGCCTTTAACCCCTTAAGGACCAATCTTCTGGAATAAAAGGGAATCATGACATGTCACACGTCATGTGTCCTTAAGGGGTTAAACTCCCCTAATCTTCATTCTAGTAAATATACTTAAAGTTTTTTTTTTCCTTTAGTGGGTTTGCAGTGGAGGTAAATATCATGAATGTATACCACTGCTGCACGGGACATTCCACAGGGCATAATGTTCCCATGATTCCCTGCATGACACATTTGGAATTTGCATAGTATGCCACATTGTGCCAGGACAGTTTTGTATCTAATGCAAATACATGTTTGTTGTTTTTTCATTATAACTTTTTATGAATATTTTATATCTAACTTTCATCTGAATAACAGAATGTGACATTGTTTCTTAGAACATACAATGTATACACATACACATACAATGTGTAGATATGCATACTTGTTTTAAATCTTTAACTGTTATTAAAGGACCACTATAGTGCCAGGAAAACATACTCGCCGGGCTGGATGGCAAGGAAAGGGGTTAAACTTACCTTTTTTCCAGCGCCGGGCGGGGAGCTCTCCTCCTCCTCTTCGGCTGAATGCGCATGCGCGGCAGGAGCTGCACGCGCATTCAGCCAGTCTCATAGGAAAGCATTCATAATGCTTTCCTATGGACGCTTGCATCTTCTCACTGTGATTTTCACAGTGAGAAGCACACAAACGCCTCAAGCGGCTGTCAATGAGGCAGCCACTAGAGGCTTTAGAGGCTGGATTAACACATTTATAAACATAGCAGTTTCTCTGAAACTGCTATGTTTATAAAAAAAAAAAAAAAAAGGGTTAATCCTAGAGGGACCTGGCACCCAGACCACTTCATTAAGCTGAAGTGGTCTGGGTGCCTAGAGTGGTCCTTTAAAGAATGTGTGTTAAAAACGCTAATCTTACCTTGATGTGCTAGCTAGATAAACCTACTGTGTCCCTCTCTTACTGCAGCATTGTAAATGTAATGGCAACTATTATTTTTTACAGGATTAAACAATGTGATCAGCCCAGCTAGGTTTCAGAACCATAGGAGGCACCGAAATATCACATGATGACCTAACATTGTGACAATCCAGATCTACAAAGAAATCAAGTATAACCCCTTGATTACAATGCATTAGACAAATCCTTTTATTTGGTATGGTACAAAACTACTTTTATTGCACTGTTAGACTCCTATGCGGCATTCCTGTCTAGCCATCTTAAAGCGGCACTGTCATGGCCGAATCCCGTTTTTTTTTTTTTAACCCCCCTCCCGACTCCACTATCTCTAACTGACCCCTAAGTCACCCCTAAATGTCCCTAAGCCCCCCATATTACCTATTTTTAATCTTTATTTTCTGCCCCGATCTATATTCAGGGCGCCGCCATCTTTGTGTGGGTAGAGGAAGTCCCTGTGGGAGACGTCATCTGCCCACACTAGATAGACTGTGAGATTCCCGCACATGCCCAGTTAAACACTTGGGCATGCGAACGGGAATTTTTTAATCTATTCATTCATTCGTCAGAAAGACAAATGAATGAATAGAAATTTCAGACGAACAAACAAACACTGAATATCAGTGTTCATTCGTTTGTTCAGTTTATTACAAGGAGGGAGCTACCAGCGCCAGTAAAATTTAAAGATAGAAGCAGCAGGGGGCAGTGCTCCCCACCACTTCCTAAACTCCCCATGTCCTCCCTCACTCTATGGGTGTCAATATGACCCCCATAATAGCATAAGGGATATTAAAATCTCCCAAATGCCCCTACTCGCTATATAAAAAAAAAAATACCCTACTATCCAGCCCCCACCCCTTTGCGGCGGGTGGGGGCCCTAAATAACAATAAGGGGGGGGGAACGATTGTCCTCCCTCCGGCCCCCACCCCTGAGCGGTGGGTGGGGGCCATAAAGATAATGAGGGGGTGGACCTACTGTCCTCCCCCCGGCCCCCACCCCTGCATAGTGGGTGGGGGCCATAAATTACAATGGGGGGGGCCTACTGTCCTCTCCCCCCCCCGCCCGGGGCCATAAAGACCCTTGAGCGGTGGGTGGGGGCCATAAAGATAATGAGGGGGAAGGACCTACTGTCCTCCCCCTGGCCCCCACCCCTGCGCGGTGGGTGAGGGCCGTAAATTACAATGGGGGAGGGACCTACTTTTTCTTAAGTTTTGAAGAAATGAAGAACAGATCCTGAGAGAGGGAGAAAAGAGGAATCAATTGGGGAAAGGTAAGTTCGACATGACAGTGCCGCTTTAAGTAATAACAATAAAAACAAAATATATTTAAGACTTCTGTACAAAGAGAAATTCTTCGATAAATTGCCAAATGTGGAAAAATCATCAAGGGCGTTACGTTGTTTCCACGGTGATTACTTAATTTTACCACTTTGCAACTGAATTACAGCTCATACATAAAGCCAATTGTAATCAATACAATTTATATTTTGAATAAAGCATTTATCGTATAGAATGTCTCTTTAAACTCTGTTTGGAGACTGAATTTAAGATCCACCTCTCTGCACCATTCAAATGTGGCTCCGGTTTGGGTGCACTGTGCAAGATTCAAGCTAGCATATAGCACTTCTCAAAGCTATTCACTAAGCTGTGAATTTGAATTTCACTAAACTGGCTTGAGGATTCTTAATTTCAATTTGACTATTTCGGCCTAAAGTTTAAAATTCACACTGTAGAGCAGAGCTGCCCTAAAGGTAGATTCCCAGATGTTGTAAAACTACAACCACCATGATACTTAGCATGCCTTTTGAATGACAAAGCATCATGGAAGTTGTAGTTTTAAAACATCTGGGGATCTACTTTTTCGTCACCCCCGCTGTACGGTTTTATGGAAAAAACTCCAAACTGTACTGAACTTCAAATCCAAATAGCAAATAAAAGCAAAAAATATTTGATCTGGAAAAATAATTCTCCAAATTGACTACAGTCTTAACTGGTCTATTTTAACCTGGAATTTGCCCATTAAATCCCATTATCTACAACTCACAATTTAGTGATAAAATCCTGTTAGTGAAGAATTCTACTCAAACTGATTGATGGGCACTGCCATAACGTGTGCTATTCAGATATCATAAAGCGATTAAAATGAATTGTAACTCACCACTGCTGCACCTCCTTCTCTGTAACTGCAAGAAAACACAAGAAAGGGCATTATTTAGACAAAGTTCCGAGCTTTTTCTACATAGAAAATAGTCTGCAAATAGTGTGTCACAATATAATGAGAAGTGAGACCACACACAGTGCTGTGTACAGCATCAGTCCTATTTTAAGATTAATCACTACCGCTTCATGCAGTTTTTATCAATGAATCATGCAATATTCTGCCACAAAGCCCCTGGTACCTAGTTAAACCAGATCTAAACACAAAAAGCGTAGCAATTTCTCCAAGCCTTTTCAGTGCAAGAGGCGGTTACTTGGCTCTGCGTAAATAACTTTAGTAATTTTTGTAATATAAGATTATTTAAGGCTCGACTGGAGTTACTGTTATTATTTGTATTAAAAGAAATATGCATTAGTAACTCAATATTCCCCCTAAGCATTTGTGATCGTGTTAAATAAAAATAATTACACCTTTAGTAGGAACAAAAGGAAATCAATAGAAAATACAGGAGGATTGAAAAAAAAATTATTTTTTCTTCACTGTTTCCTGGTTGGATCACTTACGAAGGGCTACTTAGAGGGAACACTATATAGGATTTGCATTGGAATAGGAGCTAGCTAAATATGCATGCAGACATATATATGTATATGGAGAACTAAAACTGGGAAATGTGATAGGGCACATCCTGGGTCTAACACAAATTCGGAGCAAAACGACCCACTACAAGAAGTAATTGTCCCGTTTTATACCATTTATTCCACTAAATGTAAAGAAAAAAATGTAATAAAAATAATATTTTTTTTTTTTAATTCATAAAAAATAAATAATATATATATATATATATATATATATATATATATATAATGGAGTGCACACATTATATAGCCCAGTATAACAGTGTGTCTAAGAAATGGTGCATAAAATACATGGATATCAACTGAATATTTGGCCTAAAGAATGATGATTTTAGGTGGGATGGACATTATTTCTAAGATGGTGTATATAGATCCCATAGAGTATAACAGCATTTGGAATACCACCTAGTACCAGGGCCGCCAGTTGGACAGACCTGTTATAAATCATTAACATACCTGCAGAATGTGTAACTACAGAGTACGTTTGTTGCCTCTTTATTAACTTCGCATTATCAGCTTTCTCTAACACCATCCAGAGTGTCTATGTCCCTCATAACATGATGATCAGTTTTGAATTATAGATGGTGCTACAAAAATTAGATTGCGGAATGGAACGAGGGGTGCACATTCACACACAATAAAATTGTTACTATCTCCCAAAGCTTTTCTATGCCAGAAATTATGAGGATTTAATTGATGAGGCCCATGGAACTTTAGGTACCGTATTGGGTATCAACACCATTTCTGCTACAGTGGACAGACATTGAAATAAACCAAGCAAAGAAACAAAAAGTTTTTACACCATCATGCTGAAGAATATCTAATGAAACCATGGTATAGGTACAGGTGACATTAGGTTACCCTGAATATGTTGGCACTCAGATCCTACATAAACTAAATTACTAGCCAAGTTCAGTATTTGATTGACAGCTCTGTTCAGTTCCTGAATTCGCAACCTGGATTTCGCTTCAGTTTTGATTGTATTTATTAAACCAAGATTAATTTAAGGCAACATTTATCATGAGACAAAATATAGGTTCCAGAGGATGCCCTAGTTTGAGGGCGAAACGCACTGGCCAAAGAGGAGGACTCGATGTTCGACCACTGCATGTTTTATTTACCTGTTACCATTAACTTCCATTTCGATCTAAAATATTCACCTACAGTTTAATATATTCTTGTTAATTTAAACTTGGCAACTACAGTTAGATTGTCACAATGGCTATAATCAGGTTAAATACACTTGTTTTATCATCCTCTCCGATCTCTTAACGAGTTTAATGTTCAACAAGACTGTGACATTAACCCAACGGAAAATACAATGCTCTACTGTAACTGAAGGTAAAATCTTGTTTCTATATTCAGGAGGTTAACAAACAAAAACGGATCAATATGTCATCTCAGAATATTTACTGGACGTATATATCTTCAACTGAGTCGTCTAGGTTTGAGCACCAAATATGTATTATCTCACTGGTAGTTTATAGACCCAGTGTTATCTCATTGTGTAACTATTTTTAGTGTTCTCCTGGATTACCTAGATTTAGGAGAAAAAGAAAAAGTAAGAAAGAAGGAAAGAAAGAAAGAAAGAAAGAAAGAAAGGGAAAATGTGGGGGTTGAACAGTAAAGGGGGTGGTCTACAAAAGTTCAGGATCACTAATTTTTTTTAATAAATAAAAAAAAAAAAGTATGTGCGTCATTGGTGAGTTCGAAGAATAATTTTCTCGTTTCCTGTGCAAATCACAGACTCTGATAAACAGCTGATATCATACGATCTCTGCAGCCTTAGTTTTTTATTTAATCAGTAACTGTCATTGAGTGTTTAATAATCGTGATGGCCGCCTCCATGCTGCAACACCGATAGATCTTCAAGTGGTAATTCCAGATAAACTCACTGTACCTTGTTATAAAAAAAATAATATGAAATGATTTGTATTGTTATTCCAAACTGATTTACAGAAAGAAATATTAGGGGACAGTGCCACTTTAAACCGAACTGTTATTGACAGACTTTATTTTTAGATTTAAGTGCCACTTACAAAACTATCTGTTCAAAAAAATCAACCAGTCAGGAAATGTTTTGTGGTCGACATTAAATGAACGGCCAGAATTCACAGTTGAAATAGCGGATCTCCATGAAAAAAAGGACCTACTTTCGGAGAACTTGGGAGGTCCAGTGCGTGTACTGATCTCCTGTGGCTCACATGTGCCTATCCTCAACCTGCTACATTTACTGCCACAATCAATTACATCAAGAGCCAGGTCTTTGCGTTCTCTGGTCTCTGCGGGGTGTTAATGCAATCAGGCTGCCTATTGTTAAATCCCCCTAACGCAGACCCTCTTAGAGCCTTGTAAATTAAGGGATAGAAACCCAGTGACTGCAAAGATTATCTCAGAGAGTAGGACTTGCTGATTGGTCGGAGTGCTTCATTCCCTTGGATACTAATTAGAGGACTCATCTAGAGCGCCTTGATTAGACTGTTTAGTTTCAGTTCTCTTATGTATCCCATCATGTTCCGTTGGTTAGTTCTTTAGTACGTAAAGTAACGGTTCACACCATTGACTTGCAACACAGCCAGACTCATATTTTCAGTGTTAATAATATGAAAATTATTAAGTTGAGTAATAGTAATATTTAAGTATTTAATCAGGAAAAGTATATTAATATTTACCGAAATTATCACCCTACTTAATAGTATTCATGTTATCATCTTTGGAAGGATAACTGGCTAAGATGACCTTTCCAATAATTTATACCATAACCCTACATAAAAGCACCTATAAAAATTTTAATAATTCTGCCTACCATATGCAAATCCTTGCACAAGAGATCTGCAGACCCAAGCAGGGTACATAAAATACGTTTAGGTTAGATTAGCCTAAAATTTCCAAATCTGTTTCAAAACTTTTTGATGGTATACTAATAAAGTATATTAGTTTATAAGCAATTAATTGAAAACGTAACCAGTATTCAGGCTAAAATATTCTATGGCTATAGCTATTTTGGAGAATTTTTCCAAATAAGTTACTTTGCCCTAATTAAGTATTCTTGTATAGCAAGACCACTTAATGTTATCTCACATATATATTATTCTTATTCTTATTATAGCCAAATTTGCCACCCTAACTCCTCCCATAGTTTTTACACTACATAGACAGTAATATACCAAAACATGCGGATTGTTCCCGATTGGATTGCTATTACTTTGTGGAACGTTTCGCCGAATGGATCACGGAATATCATCGTTCTTGTGGCGAAATTGGTCCCATAGGAATGAATGGCAAAATGTTCAAAACTAGAGTGGGAGCTGGCAAAAGCTGAAAAATCAGGACATGATTTCTAAACTGCCACCACTCCCTCATTTTCAAGCCCACCTACACAAATCTTATATCAAAACGTTCGGATATCCCTGCTGCCACTAAAAATGTCCACAGCTAAGCCATAGTCCTGATAGTTTTCACAATATGACCATTTGTTTGCAACTCATGTTGTCCATTGACATTCATTGAAACTTCACTCTAGCCAGCTCAAACTTGAACGGCAATTTCTAAACTGCGACTGTGCCTTCATTTTTAATACTTCGGAGACATACTATGCATCAAAATGTAGGTCTGGGTCTTGTGATTCTCACAATATAAAGCTCTTCACTGTAGGACTTATAGTTTTTAAAATACGACCGTTTGAAAATGGCAACCGCCAAAATACTCTGACCGGTGCCAGGCTGAGCAGCAAGGACAGGGCCTTTTGTACACCTGCTAATGTTTTTATAAATGTATGTTTTAACCCCTTAACGCCGTTACGGCGTTCTATGCCGTCGCGGCTTTAAAGGGCTATAAAGCCGTTGCGGCGGCATAGAACGCCGTAACGGCTTTCAGCCCCAGGGGATCGCAGCTACTTACCTCCGCTGCGATCCTCTTCTGGAGGGCTGCCAGACCGCCCAGGCAGCCCTCCCCCGGCGAATGAGGCTCCCAGTGGCCATGTGATCGCTCTAAAAGAGCGATCACATGGCCCCCTATAGCTGGCTATAGATCTGCCAGCAGGGGGGCTGTCTGAAATATCAGACAGTCCCCCTGCTGGTGGAAACTGTAAAAAATTATATATATATAACGTCATAAGTTGTGTATTTTAATACTAATATATATTAATAACAAAATACACTTAGAATGACATTACATATATATAATATGTATATATATTATATATATAATAGATATATACACACACATATATATATATATATATATATATATATATACACACACACACGTATAAATACATTAATAAATAAAATAATAAAATAAATAAAATATTGAAACAAAATTTAATATAAATTATATATTCATATGTAATTTAATTCTAACTGTATTTTGTTATTAATATATATATATTGGTAACAAAATACACTTAGAATGACATTCTATATATAAAATACAAATAACCGCAAAAATATATATATATATATATATATATATATATATATATACACATATATATATATATACATATAATTACATAAAAGATTACATTAGTATACACGTAGAATTTAAATACCTATAAATGCATATATATTAAAATTCTACGTGTATATTTAAGTAATCTTTTAACATAATTATGTGATTTGATTAATTAAAATTTGATTGACATGCCTGACAACACAGGGAGAAAGTGCAGAGAATTTAATTCGCAAGCACTATATTTGACCCTGTAACTCTCCAAGACACAATAAAACCTGTACATAGGGGGTACTGTTTTACTCGGGAGACTTCGCTGAACTCAAATATTAGTGTTTCAAACTGGTAAATTGTATTACAACGACGATATTTTAAGTAAAAGTGAAGTTTTTTGCATTTTTTACAAACAAACGGCACTTTTATGGACTATATTATTGTTGTAATATGTTTTACTGTTTTAAAACACTAATATTTGTGTTTAGTGAAGTCTCCCGAGAATAACAATACCCCCCATGTACAGGTTTTATTGTGTTTTGGAAAGTTAGAGAGTCACATATAAGGCTTGCATTTCATTTTTTTGACATTGAAATTTGCCAGATTGGTTATGTTGCCTTTGAGAGCGTATGGTAGCCCAGGAATAAGAATTACCCCCATAATGGCATACCATTTGCAAAAGTAGACAACCCAAGGTATTGCAAATGGGGTATGTCCAGTCATTTTTAGTAGCCACTTAGTCACAAACACTGGCCAAATATTAGTTTTTTGCTTTTTCACACAAAAACAAATATGAACGCTAACTTTGGCCAGTGTTTGTGACTAAGTGGCTACTAAAAAAGACTAAACATACCCCACGTTCAATACCTTGGGTTGTCTACTTTTTCAAATGGTATGCCATTATGGGGGTAATTCTCATTCCTGGGCTACCACACCGTCTCAAAGGTAACATTACTAATCTGGCAAATTTCAATTTGAAAATGGAACGTTCTATATTTGACCCTGTAACTTTCCAAAACACCATAAAACCTGTTAATGGGGGGTACTGTTGTACTCATGAGACATCGCTGATTACAAATATGTGCATTTTTTTTGCAGTATTACGACATTAACAGCTAAAATGTCAGACAGAAATACAAATTTAAAGAAAAATCTTATTTTCTCACATTTTTTAAAATTTTACTCATAATAAATTATGTTCCATATATGAATAGTTAATGATAAATTAAAGCCCTGTTTCTCCTGAACAAAATGATATATAATAAGTGTGGGTGCACTTAATGTGACAGCGGTGAATTACGGGTGAACAGACATATAGCGCAAATTCCAGTTTTTGTTTACGTTTTGTTTTGATCAGAACGTGTACTATTGACTCCGTCCTGAAGGGGTTAATGTAACTGTGAAGCACTTTGGGCAACAAAGTTGCAATTAAATGTGCTATTTAAATAAATAATAACAGTTACTCCGCCCACTCCTGCTGTAGACTACTGGTGGAGGCAAGAACACTTCACACAATTTTTAAAATGGAATTTTCAATACGCTGCATTTCCAAAATCCGAATTTAGCAATTTTGCTTTACACATATGACGCAGCTTTTAAAAAAAAAATAATAAAAAAAAAAATATTACTTTGTGTTGCCGCGATAGCATTGACAAGCATATTGCAAACACACATGTAGATACAGGGTCATGGCATATGAGAAAAAAAAATTGCACATTTTTTATGTTTTTAAGAAGCAAGCTGAACTATAGGTCGAATCAGAAGACTAGAGAGAGAGATCATGCTGCTTTTAACTATTTATTTGATCCAAGTATTTTCTATTACAGATAGTGCACTTCAACAATTTCACACAAAAAAATTCTGTTTTATTCTACCAATTCATAATCTTTTGTATAATATCTATTTTTTGGTGTTTTGTTGCACACAAAAAAACCTGCTTGTTTTGTTTGGTTAGTTACATTATTCTGTGCTCTTACTCAACCTTGAAGATTCGATCCACATGTATGATAATCACAAGAACCCAGAATAAAAATTTTGTTCATTTTACATGATGGACATGGTATGTCTGTCACCCACAGATATGGCACATAACAGATTTTAAGCCATTTCTAATATGCTGATACAGCAAGGACAAGAAAGGGCAGATCTGTTCATCATTTCATTATGCTACTTAGGTGACATTCAAGGGGACACCAGCTCGGGATTCTTCACACATACGTTTGGCAGCTTGTCATCATACAGGTATAAGGAAAATGTCGAAGAGCAACATAATATATCTCAAAGACAAGCAACTGCAAGCTACTCCACATCATAACTCCCATCACACCCAGCCAAACAATATGCAGCCTCAGGGCATATTTTATCAGTGCAAGCTCATAGGCATGGACTGTTGTTTAGTCGTTCGGTCGTGTCCGACTGTCGGACGATGGCCCGCCAGGTACATCTGTCAGTCACTGCCCCTCTGAGCCCCAACAACTTCATGTTCGTGGTTTCAGTGACCTCATCTATCTGTCTCTGTCGTCCCATTCTTCGTGTGCCTTCAAATCTTTCCCAGCATCAGAGTCTTCTCTAGAGAATTCTGTCTTCTCATTTTATGGTCAAAATATTCCAGCTCCAGCCTCATGATCATAGCATCCAGTGAACAGTTTGTCTTGATTACCTGTAGTACGGATTTATTGGATCTCCTTGCAATCCAAGGGATTCTAAGCAGTTTTTGCCAACACCACAGTTCAGAGGCATCAATTCTACGATGCTCAGCCTTCTCTATAGTCCAGCTCTCACATCCGTATGTTACTACTGGGAATACCATAGTTCTGACAATGCAGACCTTTGTTGATAGTGTAATATCTTTAGTTTTTACCAGCTTGTCCAAGCTTGCCATAGCTTTCCTCCCCAGAAGCAAACGTCTTTTAATTTCATGACTACAGTCACCATCTGAAGAGATCTTGGATCCCAGGAAAATAAAATCCGTCTCTGCCTCCACTTCTTCCCCATCTATTTGCCAGGAACTAAGATTTGCCATGATCTTAGTCTTTTTAACGTTAAAGGACCACTATAGTGCCAGGAAAACATACTCGTTTTCCTGGCACTATAGTGCCCTGAGGGTGCCCCCACCCTCAGGGTCCCCCTCCCGCCCGGCTCTGGAAGGGGGAAAGGGGTAAAAACTTACCTTTTTCCAGCGCTGGGCGGAGAGCTCTCCTCCTCCTCTCCACCTCCGTTACGCCCCGCCGGCTGAATGCGCACGCGCGGCAAGAGCTGCGCGCGCATTCAGCCGGTCTCATAGGAAAGCATTTACAATGCTTTCCTATGGACGCTGGCGTGCTCTCACTGTGATTTTCACAGTGAGAAGCACGCAAGCGCCTCTAGTGGCTGCCAATGAGACAGCCACTAGAGGATTAGGGGGAAGGCTTAACCCATTCATAATTATAGCAGTTTCTCTGAAACTGCTATAATTATGAAAAAATGGGTTAACCCTAGAAGGACCTGGCGCCCAGACCACTTCATTAAGCTGAAGTGGTCTGGGTGCCTAGAGTGGTCCTTTAAGCAGCAAGACAGCTTTTGCACTTTCTTCTTTTACCCTCATCAACAGGTCATTTAGTTCTTCCTCACTTTCAGCCATCAGAGTAGTATCATCCGCGTATCTGAGGTTAGTGATATTTCTTCCAGCAATATTGATTCCAGCTTTGGATTCATCCAGCCCAGCCTTGCATATTATGTATTCCGCATATAAGTTGAATAAATAAGGTGACAATATACAACCTTGTCGCACTCCTTTCCCAATCTTGAACCATTCTGTTGACCCATGTTCGGTTTTGACTGTGGCTTCTTGGTCCACATACAGATTCCTCAGGAGGCAGATTGAGGTGATCTGGTACTCCCATCTCTTTAAGAACTTGCCACATGTTGTTGTGATCCACACAGTCAAAGGCTTTAGAATAGTCTATGAAGAAGAAGTAGGTGTTTTTGTGGAACTCTCTGGCTTTCTCTATTATCCATCGTACATTGGCAATTTGATCTCTTGTGCCTTGAACAAGCTGGGTTCCGCAGAGGACATCTGGTAATTCCCGATCCATATATTGTTTGAGACGAGCTTGTAAGATCTTAAGAATTACCTTGCTGGCATGCGAAATTAGTGCAATTGTTCGATAATTGGAGCACTCTTTGGCATTGCCTTTTTTTTAAGATTGGGATGTAGACTGACCTTTTCCAGTCTTTTGGCCACTGTTGCGTTTTAGGCGTGGATTACAACTCGCTAAATGATTAGGGAACTGAAAATGGACTGTCTATTACTGTAATTAGTATGCTCGTTAGGATTTGTGCGTATCTTTTTACATTTCTTTAATAAAACATTTAAGATATTTGCATTTTCTTTGATTGTTTTCGATTAGCGAAAGACAAAATTTGCTCATCATAAAATTAAAAAAATGTCAAAATAAAATGTAAAAAAAAAAATTCTTCTATTGCATTACAATACTCCTGGCTCCAAGCAATTTTTATATTGTTTTATTATTTTTTTCACTTTTTTTTTTTTTTTTTACCAATAAGTTAGCAATCCTAGCTTTAGGTCGGTGTGTTTCCAATGCCCCCACCTACCCAGAAATAATAAGTTATAGAATACAGGCTGACTCAAAGAGCTGTCTCTGAGCAATTAACAATTACTGCTCTGCAGGCGCGGGTCAGGGACAGGATAATAGACTAGAAGAGGAAAAATGAAAGTCTGAGGAGACAGTTAAACACAGGGGAGTCTGGAGGAGAAAATAGAAAAAAAAATGACGAGGACACGTAAATTATGAAATTGCGGGGATGAGATCGGGTGGGTGGAAGAGAAATAAACTCTAGGTTAAAAAATGCAGTTTTTTGCTAATCTACTGGTAGAGAAGAAAAACTACAAAAATACTTAGTAATAATTCCTTACTCGTGAATTCCCTCACCCCAATGCATAACGCTGGTCAGGGTCAGGTTTATAGTCAGTGACATATCTGGGAACTCAGGTGGTTTGACACAGAGATTTATTTACTGCAATCCTATGAGCAGATACTCTCTGGCGAATTGACAGATTCTTGGGGTCTCAATGTAACTATGCAAATTCTCACGTGTTTGTGAAGATTCGAAAAGTATATGGGCAGATTCCCATGGTGAATAAGCAGGATCTTGTGCTGAATGGGTTGGTTTTCAGGGTAAATGGGCAGTTTCTGAGGGCATCAATTTAAAGCTGCAGATTCTCTTTTTCCATGGGCAGATTCTCAATGCAACTCTACAGATTCTCAGTGTTCTGGAGGTTGAGGTGGATGGTCAGATTCTCAGGGTCTAAAGGTTACTGGGAACGATCTCAGGTTGAACAAAGATTCTCAGAACCAGTAATTTAATTCGTACTGAGATTGTTGGGTTGCTACTTTGAATCTGTATGAGTTATTAATTGATAAAGTTCTAATGAATCGCGGGATTAAATCAGTTGTTATGGATAACTCTCAGGATAATTAGATCCTAACTGGAGGCCTTAGAACCTACAAAAAGGTCCACTGTGAACACCAGAGGGGTATCCACACCTCACACTCGAGAAGGATCGAATGATATCAGCAATATATGGAATTTTATTGTTAATCTTTTAGTACCAAGCATTCTATAGTAAACAAGCCCATCCAGTATTTCGTGGGTTATAACATGGGTTAACTGAGGGCATCTTCCCAGCTTAATAATATCATCTAAATGTAAATATTATATGGGTGGACAAATGCCTAAGGCCCCATAACACAACGTATACTGCACACAGACAAAGAATGTGATTGGGATGGTCTCCGGAGGACAGAGGAGATCTATAGCATTGTATATGACAGCATTAAAAAGGATAAATTAAACAAGAAGGCATTCTGTGATATATGAAAAAATTAAGACATTTATTTGGACTTTTCATGTATAAGACAGCAGAGGAAGGTAAATACGCAGAGAACTGAACACGAGAGGGGGTGGGAGAGAGTGAGAGACGCAAGCCAGGAATGACAGTCTGGATAGCAAATTCTTTCATTATGGGAGATGCTTCTCGCAGCCAGAAAATAAACAGGAGAAGGATGGCTGTGAACTTGACGAGGGGGTGGTGTGGTCCCTTGGGAGGGGAGAAGCAATTTCACAGAAGCAATTTGCAAGAAACTGTTCTAATTCCCTGCGTAAAAAGGGCCGGCTACCACAGATTCCCCCGAGCCACCTCTCAATCTTAGCTGGCAGTAAATGCATAGACTTAGCTGGGCCATGCAGTCACCATCAACATTTCAGGACTGGCACTGATTGTGCTAATGTATAAACAAGCTTTAGCAGCTGCTTGCCCAGAGTCTCCTTCAATCTAAAGGCCTCATCAAGGCCGCTTGAAAGGTTAGGAAGCATTGCGTTCAGGGCCGGACTGGGAAAAAAAATTAGGCCCGGGTACTTTTCAATCAGAGCGGCCCCCTAACAAGGGGACGTATTGTATGTGTGAGGGGCGCTGCGTGTGAGGGTGTTTTTATCTGCCGTCACATTCTAGGTTTCTAATTTTCTTTGTTAACTCACTCGCTGTGTGTGTCTAGGGGTGCTGTGTGTGTCTAGGGGCGCTGTGTGTGTCTGAGGGTGATGTGCGTATCTGGGGGTGCTGTGTGTGTCTAGGGGTGCTGTGTGTGTCTGAGGGTGCTGTGTGTGTCTGGGTGCTGTGCGTGTCTGAGGGTGCTGTGTGTGTCTGGGTGATGTGTTTATCTGGGGGTGCTGTGTGTGTGGGGGTGCTGTGTGTGTGTGGGGGTGCGTGTGTGTGGGGGTGCTGTGTGTGTGTGGGGTTGCTGTGTGTGTCTGGGTGACGTGTGAGTTGGGGGGGTGCTGTGTGTATGGGGGTGCTGTGTGTGTCTGGCGGTGCTGTGTGTCTGGCGGTGCTGTGTGTGTGAGGGGGTGCTGTGTGTGTCTGGGGGTGCTGTGTGTGTCTGGGGGTGCTGTGTGTGTGTGGGGTGCAGTGTGTGTGTGGGGTGCAGTGTGTGTGTGGGGTGCAGTGTGTGTCTGTGAATTTATTTTTTATTTAAATTAAAATATATATTTTTTATCAATAATAAAAAAAAAAAAAAGTTCTATCCCCTCCTCCCTTCTTACCTTTAGCCTGGGAGGGGGGGGAGCCGTTCTGCCTGAGGTGCCATGAGGGGTGCCGTGCTGCCATCCTTCCCTGGTGGTCCAGTGGTGAGAGTGAACTCTAGAGTGAACTATAGGCTAGAGTTCACTCTCGCGAGATCTGAGCGTTGCCGTGGCAACGCTCAGAATCAGCTAAAGGACCTGGCGGAGCTGTTGGTTAGAGCTCTGCCGGTCCTCTCCTGCCTCCCTCTCCCGTCTGCGGCCGCATCTCCATGCCTTTGGGCTGGTGAGGGAGATCTTTGATCTTCCCACCAGCCCATGGAGGCACACAGCAGGGCCGGGGCTCCTGTGATCTCCCCTGCCGGCCTCGGCCCACCGGGATCTTGGCGATAACATTGAAATGGTTCAAAATCATAATGGGGGGAGTGTTGCTGATGAGGGGATTTACCAGTGATGAACAGTGTTGAGGAGTCCCCAAAAAGAGGACGGCTTAGTCTAGCACACATTTCTGCAGGGCTAACACGCCAACCTGCCGACCAGTAAGTCACCGCTGCTCATGTGCACTATAAAAGTCCTCCTCGATGAGCAGGGATGCCTTGTGACAATGCAGCAGAGTTAATAACACATATAATAATACTTGTGGAATGTTTCTTGGGGAAATATGGACACCAGAGAAAAAGAACAAGTCTCCTGGGCCGTACTCTCAATAGCTTGCTCTTACCACCATTAAAGTAATATATTTTATACATACAGGCTTCCAAGTGTGTTTTTTTTTAATGATATTCCATGAATGACTATACACAGCCGTATGAATGAAAAATAAAAATATTTATACATACTTTTCTAGTAGCATTTTATCTCAAACCACATAGATTCTTGGAAATGCTGAAGGTTTGACCCAGAGTACTATACTCTCAGGAAGTGTGTTCACAGTCCCAAGGTCATTACTCATTCCATTAAAAAAAATGTTTGTTTTTTTTAAATCCCAAAAGACGTGGGCAGGATATATAGGAAAACATGCACATATGGAGTAATAAGTGGTGTTTAGATGATGGGAAGACAGCTTATATCTCTCCAGCTGGTGGACTACACCTCCCATAATGCAAGTTTGTTGTCACTGAAGTAGGTGCACTCTTACATACCTCCCAAGTTTCACTATTTAGGAGGGACAGTTCCTACTTTGGGCCCAAATCCCCTTTTTTCTGTTTTCTATCCCAATGTCCTTCTTTCCTAGGAGCTCCATATTGTTTGTGCGTTTGATTGTATAACAGAGCTCCACGGCAATATTACTCGCAGGAATGTGTCTTTAAACGACAAGTATTGCATTTAGATGTCAGTCAGTGTAAACAAGATACATTGTCCTTGATCTAAACTACATTTTAGTTGCTTAAATTGTTATTAATAAGGCAGCTAAAACTTTTTTTTGTTTAATTTCTTTTTATTGTCATTAAAACTTTACCCCCTAAAATGAAAGCGTCCCTCTTTGTCCATTTGAAATGTTGGCAGGTATGCGGCGGCCGGTGCCGGGGCAGAGTCGCATACACTCAAATAATAAATTGTGTTTGGTACTATAAAATTAATATCATGCTAACACCTCTTTAACCAAGAAAAATAATTAAGGAGTAGAAGTCCAACATATCCCGCACCCTGATTCCTCTCCTGCAACTGTCATCAAAACAAAACACTAAGCCCTCAGTGAATACTTTTCTAGCAACCTCCTTTTCTACCCTTACCCTTACATTTTGTGTGACTGTACTCCACTTCCTCTAGCATGTAAGTTCACTGAGCAGGGCCCTCAATCCCACTGTTCCTGTGCGTCCAACTCGTTTGGTTACAATAACGTGTGTGTTAGTCCACCCATTGTACAGCGCTATGGAATTTCTTGGCGCTTTATAAATAATAATAATAATATCTGCTTGAAGACAGGTAATATACAGGAACATTTTAGTGAATTGTGTGAAAGTATAAAGTACCTTTTAAAATCACTGCAATTCATTATCAAAAAATTTAATAAAAATCTCTAAATCAGTTGTATTTAATGTTGGCTATTTTGGCCTGCATTTTTTAATTTTACTTTGAATTCCTACCAATTTAATGAATAAGCCTGTAATTTAAGAGACAGTCAAGGATCCAAATGCGCAGGAATTCTTCTGACAGCAGACCATAAATAAAATAACGAGATGTGTATTTTTTTGTAAAAACATTTTGTGCTATAACTACAACTCCTAGTGCCCGAATAAGGAATCACCAGCAGCGAATCTGCCTCTTTCATTCACTTACAGAAGGCCTTATTCATTTTGTTAAAGGGACACTATAGTCACCTGTAATGAGGTTGTTCATTTGAGAACTATAGCTCCCTGCAGCCTTTCTCATGTAAACACTGTATTTTCTGGGAAAATACAGTGTTTACATTGAAAGCTAGGAACACCTCCAGTTGCAGTCACTCACAGTGAACCATTGGGACTTCGGAGTTGATGGAGGCATAATATGCCTCCATCCACTCAGATCTGCTGTGCACGAGCATCCTGTGATTCAGTATCTCCTCCCACTGCATGCAGACACTGAACTTTCTTCATAGAGATTCATTGATTCAATTCATCTCTATGATGAGACTGACTGATTGGCCAGGACTGTGTTTGAATCATGCTGGCTGCCTGGCTCTGCCCCTGATCTGCCTCCTTGTCGGTCTCAGCCATTCCTATGGGAAAGCACTGTGATTGGATCAGGCTACCACTTCTGATGATGTCAGCAGACTGTTTTTTTTTTTTAGGCAAACAGCATGCAGAGTTATAGCTTCTGGCTTGAATACAGTAACAGTTTTACTATATTTATGGAGGCAGGGGGGCTAGATGCTGGTGTTAACACTATAGGGTCAGGAATACATGTAGTTGCACTGGTGACTATAGTGTCCCTTTAACAATACAAAACAATCATACTGAGATGACCAGGACTGGCTGGATCAAGATGTCTCCACTGGAACAGAATTAGATTAGCTGCAATTTTTAAAAGCTTTTTAGGTAATATCCCTGTGATGTTTATTACAATAGCCTTCAGGTGGCAATGAATATGTTATCTTAACAGTAGCTCCTTTGAGAGATTAGCTAATATCCTGTAATTCCATGAGGAGTGTAAAATCCATACATGTCCTTATGACATACTTTTCCTGACTCTAACCACTGTCTGATAGCTAATTAGACTGGGGCATTAGCGTGCATACCAGAAAGGTCGCTGTGACTGATGGTGAAACAGAGAGAGTTTTGTCAATTTCTTACAAAAATTAGACATTTTTGGCAGGTAGGATTGAGCAGCTGCAAGTGACCGTGAAACCTTCACAATGAAGCCTAGGGTCTCTCTGCACATTATACAATGTATATATTTCGAGGGGACTCTTTAAGCGCCATTGCAATCTATACTTAAAGGGACACTGTAGTCACCAGAACAATTACAGCTTTGTTCTGGTGAGTAGAATCATTACCTTCAGGCATTTTGCTGTAAACACTATCTTTTCAGAGAAAATGCAGTGTTTATATTACAGCCTAGTGATAACTTCACTGGCTACTCCTCAGATTGCTGTTAGAGATCCTTCCTGGGTCATGGCTGCCTAAAATGCTTCCAAACATTCAGCAGACCCCAGGTAAGAAGCCAAACCATTTTAAAATACTGGTGCTTGGAGTGTTCCTGTAATCCAGAGCACTTTAATGGCATATTGGTGTTTTTACATTTGGGCATTAAAGGGGCTATGTCATGGTGCAGACTAGGGACTGAGTTCCATTCACTGTCCTTTTTATATTACGAGGACTTAATTTGCACTGCACTACTTTTTCACCTAAATTTACTTATTAGTTCTGTGGATGTGCAGTGACTTGGATAAGATCTCTTATCTGTGTTTTCTTTTCAAAATGTGTGGTTCTATTATTAGGCTGTCATAAATCACTCGTATGTCACTGTCTACAAATATCAAGGAAAAAATATATAAATAAAAAAATGTTCAGCAACTCTTTAAGCCTTAACAACTTAAGGTTCCTGCCAGGACCATATCATAACCATTGGGTTTAAGCAAAACATACAAATATTATATATGCAAGTGCTATATATATATATATATATATATATATATATATATATAGTTAATACAATGTTAAACAAAAATCTGCACACCAGTCAAGCCTTGCTTTTCCCACAGAAATCACAAAACTGCAGCGATGTTACAACCGCAAAGGATTCTGGGTAGGTATATGCAAATTAGTTTAACAAAGAATCGCATTTTTGCCTCATTCCGTTTTAACCCCTTAAGGACTGAGGACGGTTCAGGACCGTCATCTGCATTTTCCCATAGCCGACCGCTGACGGCCCTGAACCGTCCTAACGGTCCTAGTTACTTACCTGATCACCGTCGTTCCCCCAGCGGCGATCAGCGTTGCTCCCGTTGTGGGGAGACTGCCTGCAGCCCAGACAGTCTCCCCACACTGAATTAGGAACCCTGTGGCCATGTGATCGCTCAACATAGCGATCACATGGTCACAATAGTTGTCCATGTGTCTGCCTGTGCTGACAGGCAGTCTCCCTGCAACTGTAAAATCAAAAAATAGTTAGTGTTAATTAAAAATAAATAATATATATATATATATATATATATATATATATACATATTATATCATATAATATGTCTATATCATATATAATGTAATAATAATAATAATTATATCATATATAATGTAATATAATAAGTGTATTTTTATATTAATATGTACTTATATTAATATAAAAATACACTTCTAATTAAATTACACACGTATATATTATATAATTATATATATTCTGTATATATATATATATATATATATTATTATAAAATATAAATAAGTAATTTAAATTAAATTTAAAAATGTAAAAATAATAATAATTTTTTTTTTAAAAATTATATATCTATATGAAATTTTATTCTAACTGTATTTTGATATTAATATATATATCAAAATACACTTAGAATGAATTTGTATACATATATATATACATATATATATATATATAAATAAATAAAAATAATACGAAATATACATATGTCCATATACAAAACTACATAAATAATTATATAAATATACACGTAGACTTCAAATATATAAATATGCATATATATTTAGATTCTATGTGCGTATTTATGTAATATTTTTACATAATTAAGTAATTTTATTGATTGCAATTTGAGGGACCTGCCTGCCAATCCAGGCCGAAAGTCCAGAGAATTTAATTTGCTAGCACTGTATTTTACCCTGTAACGTTCTACAACACCCTAAAACCTGTATATGGGGGGTACTGTTTTACTCGGGAGACTTCACTGAACAAAAATATTAGTGATTCAAAACAGTAAAACATATCACAGCAATGATATGGTCAATGAAAGTGACTTTTTTGCATTTTTCACACACAAACAGCACTTTTACTGATGATATAATTGTTGTGATACGTTTTCCAGTTTTGAAACACTAATATTTGTGTTCAGCAAAATCTCCAGAGTAAAACAGTACCCCCCATGTACAGGTTTTATAGCATTTTTATGGGTCAAATAGTTTTACATTGAAAACGGCCAGGTTGGTTACGTTGCCTTTGAGAGCGTATGGTAGCCCAGGAATGAGAATTACCCCCATGATGGCATACCATTTGCAAAAGAAGACAACCCAAGGTATTGCAAATGGGGTATGTCCAGTCTTTTTTAGTAACCACTTGGTCACAAACACTGGCCAAAATTAGCGTTCAATTTAGTTTTTTTACTTTTTCACACACAAACAAATATGAATGCTTACTTTGGCCAGTGTTTTCGACTAAGTGGCTACTAAAAAAGACTGGACATACCCCATATTGAATACCCTGGGTTGTCTACTTTAAAAAAAATATGTACATGTGGGGTGTTATTCAGAGATTTATGACAGATAATAGTGTTACAATGTCACTATTGCTAAATTTTAAAAATGTATGTTTTGAAACCGCAATATCCTACTTGTACCTATAGCCCTATAACTGGAAAAAAAAGCAAAAAAGCACGTAAACACTGGGTATTTTTAATCTATTTAGCAGTTTTTTTCATTCACTTTTGTAGATGAGTAAAAGATTTTTCAAGTAAAAGTAAAAAAACATGTATTTTAAAAAAAATTTCATCATATTTTTAAAAAATTTTTAAATTAAATTACATGAGATTATATAAATAATGGTATGGAAAGAAAGCCCCTTTTGTCCTGAAAAAAACAATATATAATTTGTATGGGAACAGTAAATGAGAGAGAGGAAAATTACAGCTAAACACAAACACCACAAAAGTGTAAAAATATGCCTGGTCGCAAATGTACAACATCGTAAAAACAGTCCGGTACTTAAGGGGTTAAACATGGATTCCTTTTAACCCCTTAAGGACTGAGCCAAATGTACACATTGTGAACAAAACATAAACAAAACCTGGCATTTGCGCTACATGTCCGTCCAACCGTAATTCACCTCTTTCATATTAAATACACCCACCCTTATTATATATAATTTTATTCAGGGGAAACAGGGCTTTCATTTACTGTCAAATATTTAGCTATGAAACATAATTAAATATGAAAAAAATGGGAGAAAATAATAAATGTGTTTTTTTTTTTTAGTTCTACATGGCATTTTAACTGTCAATGTCATAATACTGTTTGCTTTTACTGCAATAAAATACACATATTTGTATTCAGCAAAGTCTCACGTTTAAAACAGTAACCCCTATGTACAGGTTTTATAGGGTTTTGGGAAGTTAAAGGGTCAAATATAGCACGTTACATTTGAAATTTGCCGGATTGGTTACGTTGCCTTTGAGACTGTATAGTAGCCCAGGAATGAAATTTACACAAATAATGGCATATCATTTGCAATAGTAGACAACCCAATGTATTGCAAATGGGGTATGTCCAGTCTTTTTTAGTAGCCAATTTGGTCACAAACACTGTGAATGCAAAAGCAGTGAAGGAGTTTTCAATCACAATTTTTCCCCACCATAACCTATTTGGATTTTGCTTCCCAAGCACTACCAAGCCTCAATAAGCAAACCAGTAACCAACCTCATGCTGATGAGTTGCATTAACAACGAAACAGCTGTCCATGAGTGGTTCACTGGTTTTGCATCTTTTCCTAAATTGTGTTCCAAGCAGTTGTATACTGCAAACACAGATTAAAAGGAATCCATGTTTAAAATGGAATGAAGCAAAAATGTCATTCTTTGTTAAACTAATTTGCATATGCCCACCCAGAATCCTTTGCGGTTGTAACATCACTGCTGATTTGGGATTTCTGTGGGAAAAGAAAGTCTTATGGCTTGACTGGTGTGCAGATTTTTGTTTAGCATTGTATTAACTATCCACATACTTCAGGTGGAAGAGGTTTTCAATCACAATTTTTCCCCACCATAATCTATTTGGAATATATATATATATATATATATATATATATATATATATATATATATATATATATATATATATATATATATATATATATATATATATATATATATATATATCTCCGAGGTCCCAGCACTCAACGTTCCCGGTCTTTTAATTGCTCCGGTGCAATCTCTAGCCCACTTATATCTTCCAAGAGACTCCAGTGTACACATTGTAAATAATATTTCTGCTATTGAAAGCTACTTTATAGGCAAAAGAGAATAAAACAATGCAAGTGGAAGTAAAAAAAATATATATATATATATATGAAAGGTAAAAGTGAAAGAGTCCTTAAGAGTGAATTTTATCTTAAGTTATTAAAACACATTTTCATTATGAAACACAAAAGGTGGCAAAATAATGGATTTTTAAGTGGTAGAAGAATGGATATTTTCATCTCAGAGATGTTCACAGATCCGCAATTAAGTGGGACTACACCTCTAGGTGAAAAAAGACAATACAAAGTGATAATTAGGTGGTAACGTTCTAAAAGCGTATCCCAGCCTAGATGTTGGAATAAAACCACCATTACAGATTTACCAGACCCGCAGTCACAGACCATGAAAAACGACACAAGGAAACACCTTTCAAGGAAGACTGCTGATTAACCTCTCCTGAGTCCTGACCCAGTCAAATAATACAGCTTAGGGGAGGTGAAAATGCAACTGTCACTCACGCTGTCATAGCTCATCAAATAACAGAATTGCTACATTCCACTACGCAATACAATGTGAATGCAGGAAACAGGGACATGTTCTCGTTTAAAAGGACATTCCAAGCACCGTAATCATCTAGTGCGTATGTTATGGAGGAAGGAGGCCCCCATGTCCCTGCACCTTGTTCCTTATTAATGCAGGCTCCCAGATAGTTTTCTATGAGAGAGCCTGTACAGTCTGAATGAAGCAACATAAATGGAGTCTTTTCATGAATGAAATCACTGTAAAAAGTAACAACTAGAGGTCAAAGACTGGCTGAGAGGAGTCAAGCAGCCCCCTTAATTTTGTAATTTTATTATAATTTTCCATATGTGCCCTGTATCTTCATGATTATACTCCCTCCCTAGACACTAACTATTAACTTTTCTTTCTGGTACTCGATATAAATACCTGGGCTCAGCCATATTGGTTTTTACCTGTCCATGATGTCTGCAGTTTACCCTTCTGTAAGATTGATGTTACTGATGAATTATGGGTAAAATCTGATTGGCAATTGAAATACGACATTGTCAACTTGAAAGTACAGACACAGGGGGCTATATAGAACCAGATTAGATAATGGTTATTTTTGCTGACAGTGCTGCTTTAACCCCTTAAAGGACCACTATAGTGCCAGGAAAACATACTCATTTTCCTGACACTATAGTGCCCTGAGGGTGCCCCCACCCTCAGGGACCCCCTCTCGCCTGGCTCTGGAAGGGGGAAAGGGGTTAAAACGTACCTTTTTCCAGCGCTGGGCGGGGAGCTCTCCTCCTCTGATCCTCCTCCTCTCCTCTCCGTTGGCTGAATGCGCACGCGCGGCAAGAGCTGCGCGCGCATTCAGCCGGTCGCATAGGAAAGCATTTACAATGCTTTCCTATGGACGCCGGCGTGCTCTCACTGTGAAAATCACAGTGAGAAGCATGCAAGCGCCTCTAGCGGCTGTCAATGAGACAACCGCTAGAGGCTTTGGGGGAAGGCTTAACCCATTCATAAACATAGCAGTTTCTCTGAAACTGCTATGTTTATAAAATAATGGGTTAACCCTAGCTGGACCTGGCACCCAGACCACTTCATTAAGCTGAAGTGGTCTGGGTGCCTAGAGTGGTCCTTTAAGGACCAAACTTCTGGAATAAAATGGAATCATGACATGTCACACATGTCACGTGTCCTTAAAGGACCACTCTAGGCACCCAGACCACTTCAGTTTAATGAAGTGGTCTGGGTGCCAGGTCCCTCTAGGATTAACCCTTTTTTTATAAACATAGCAGTTTCAGAGAAACTGCTATGTTTATAAATGGGTTAATCCAGTCTCTAAAGCCTCTAGTGGCTGTCTCATTGACAGCCGCTAGAGGCGTTTGCGTGCTTCTCACTGTGAAAATCACAGTGAGAAGACGCCAGCGTCCATAGGAAAGCATTATGAATGCTTTCCTATGAGACTGGCTGAATGCGCGCGCAGCTCCTGCCGCGCATGCGCATTCAGCCAAAGAGGAGGATCGGAGGCGGAGAGGAGGAGGAGAGCTCCCCGCCTGGCGCTGGAAAAAAGGTAAGTTTCACTTTCCTCTCCCCAGAGCTTGGCGGGAGGGGGACCCTGATGAAGTGAGAGAAGTCTCACGAAACGCATTAGGACGACATTCAGAACGACACTGCATTGCTTTCCGGCATCTACCGAAATACTGCCGACTTCTATCTGGAAAGCAGAAGGGAAACCAGGTGAAACGCACGCGGTTAGAATATCACCGATCCATTTACTCAAGTGATGATCGGACAGTCCATTCATTTTCTTCAGCTGCTTATTTCATCCTCCTGCTCCAAATCCAGCATGTATTTGATACAATGTGAGTGTATCGTTTTACCCTTTTTAAAAAAGTTTATTTTCTAATAAATATTTTCATTCAGCACTTGGATTTTATAACTTTATTTCCTATTACTAGGAGTAAAGTGTTACCACAACTGAAAGCTACTTAATATAGCCTGTCAGTTATTTAATGTGTATTCGTTTGGTACAAGATACAATATTTCAATTATAAGGACCATGTATATTGTCATATTGTACTATACAAAATAACTAATTCAGTATCTAGATACCAGTTCATCTATAACTGGAGTGAACTGAATTAGCTTACATATATAGGATCTTAAAAAGACTATTATTTTTTATTCTATTCAATTTTATTTAATTTAAATTTTAACCATAAAACATTGGATTTTACTAATCTAAGTTTCCTTCTCAGAGAAAACAAAACACTGGATGTTATTGCTTCATTTTATTGAACAGTTTTTTTTTTTTTCCCCTTTGGCAAACTACACTGCAAAATCATTAGCCCACAGCTATAAACAACTCCTGGACATTTTATTAAATTTTTATTTAATAATTATATATTTTATATCACATGGTGTGCATGCGCACATGGATGACAAAAAGCCCTTTAAGGCTAGCCGACCATAACTTCTTTTTTTTTTAAACGCTGCTAAACCAATCTCCCATTGGCAAAATCAGCCTTCAAAAGTATTGTTTAAAGGCACACTCCAGAAATCAGCAAGCTGAAGTGCTCTATTTGTGAAGAGTGAAAAATTGCACATTACAAATTAACAAGTTATCCCCCCTCTCCCTCTGGTGCTGTCAATCAGTAACAGGTCCTCTTACTTCCTGGTTTGGTCAGCTCAGTGGAAGGAAAAGGCAGCAATTGCCCAGAGCACCTGCCCTGCAGAAACGTCTCATTGAGCTGCATTGGGAAGGTTGTGAAAGCACAGCCACAAGTCTGGGTAGGGTTAGAAGAGGAGGGCTAACAAAGTCTGCTGATTTTACAAGCTGTTTTTAGATAACCCCTCAATATAAACATGCATAATTAAATGCATGCATGTTTTTATTGTGGGTATATCCACCGAATAGTTATTTTTATTTATTTATTTGGGCGCTGGAGTGTCCCTTTAATGATATCCTGACCCTCTCTGCTATTGTTCCCTTCCCAGAAGAGAAAAAACATGGGAAAATATGACAATTGTCCCACCGAACTACTTGAAGCTGATTTAGCACTACAATTCCCACAGGTCCCTGCCAGCCAATAGTAATGCTGAGAGTTCAAGTTGAAGTCCCGCAATAGTTAGGGGGCCAAGACAGGACACTCCTGAAGCAGACTGTGATATCTGTGCTTTTCCATTTCTATATTTGACTAAACTTTGCGTTTTCCCAGACAATTCCTGCAAAGCATTATTTCAAGATTGTCTGATAAACATGTGCAATTCCTATGTCTGAGATATGTAGCTCCGAACGCCAGGCACACACACACATTATGTACAGCCAGCACAAACCAAATACACATTCGTTACACACAGCCAGCACACAGATTATGGGACAATGACAAAAGAGAGACTAACAAGGGGGAGGGAGCCCCTGTAGTGTCATTGCTCATTTAGTTGTTACATCACTTTGTTTATGCAGCCCTAGGCACACCTTCTTGCAAGTAACTTGCACAGCTTTCCCAAACACTTCCTGTACAGAGAGGTCTAATGTTTAAACTTCCTTTATTGCACAGTCTGTTTGATTTAGAGTTTTTCATCTTCTGCTCTGTCAAAATCCTTCTAAATTATGCAGGAGCATCCTGTGTGTGATTAGAGTTAAATTTACAGAGCTGGAAATACACTTCTAAAGCACGTTAACATGTGAATGAAAATGAAACCAGTTTTAATGCAAGCTGTGTGAGTCACAACCAGGGGAGGTGTGGCTAGGGCTGCATAAACAGAAACAAAATCCTAAATGTCAGATAATTGAGCAGTGAGACTGCACAAGCATGATCTATACAATAAAAGTGCTTAAAGGGACACTATAGTCACCAGAACAACTACAGCTTACTGTATTTGTTCTGGTGAGTAGAATCATTCCCTTCAGGCTTTTGTATTTTCAGAGAGAATGCAGTGTTTACATTACAGCCTAGGTATACCTCCACTGGCCACTCCTTAAGTGGCTACTAGAGGTGCTTCCTGTGACAGTGCTGCCTAGTGTGCAGCACTGTCATTCAGTGTCTCCAACTTTCCTCATAGAGATGCATTGATTTAACACATTTCTATAAGGAGATGCTGATTTGCAAGGGCTATATTTGGCTTGTGCTGGCTCTGCCCCTGATCTGCCTCCATGGCAATCTTAGCAAATCCAATGCTTTCCTACGATAAAGCATTGTGATTGACTTTGAACACCAGTTATAAGGATGTCAGCCATGCAGGCAGATTAGGGGCAGTGCCAGTACCAGCAAACTGGAATAAAGGTAAGGTTTTACTATATTAAGGTTGGGGTAGAGGGAGCCAGGGGGGCTAGATGTTTTTAACACTATAGAGTCAGGAACTCATGCTTGTGTTGTTTTAATGCAGTGAGTGCCCAAACCGCAATACATTCCAACTTTTTTTTCCTTAAAGTGCCAACACGGCAATTAAACCTCAATACTGAGGTTTAAGTTTAGAAAAAACAACTCGTACTGTTGTCCGAACTAATTAACAACTTTTGTTTTAAAAGAACACAACAACAGAGAGTTCAATGATACAAATTTTAAATAATGATATAAATAGATAAAATTAAGCTTATATTTATTAGTATCTCCAATGCAATACATACACACACAGACTGCTGAATACATACACACAGTCTGCTGAGTACACACACACAAGACTGCTGAATACAGAGATTGATGAATACACACACACACACACACAGTCTGCTGAATACACATACAGACAGACTTTGAGTACACACACACAGACTGCTGAATACACAGACAGACAGACTGCTGAGTACACACACACAGACTGCTGAATACATACACAGACTGCTGAATACACACACACACACACACAGTCCGCTGAATACACACACTGCTAAGTACACACACACATAGACTGCTGAACACACACACACACACACACAGACTGCTGAATACACGCATACACACACATACTGCATTGAGGGGTGTAGTGTATGTGTGTGTGATGGTTGCTGTGTGTGTGTGTATGAGGGGTGCTGTGTGTGTGTGTGTGAAGGGTGCTGTGCGTGTGTGTGTGAGGGGTGCTGTGTGTGTATGAGAGGTGCTGTGTGTGAGAGGGGGTGCTGTGTGTGTGTATGAGGGGTGCTGTATGTGTGTGTGTGTGTGTGAGGGGTGCTGTGTGTGAGAGAGGGGTGCTGTGCTGTGTGGGGGGGTAGGGCTGCTGTGTCTGTTGTGGGGGTGCTGTGTGGGGGATAGGGCTGCTGTGTGTGGGGGTAGGGGGTGCTGTGTGTGTGGGGGGGGGTAGGGCTGCTGCTGTGTGTGGGGGGTAGGGCTGCTGTGTGTGGGGGTAAGGGGTGGGGAGGGATTCAGGGTGGTTGGGGAAGGATGCTGTGTGTGGGGGTAGGGGTACTCTGTGTGGGGGGTAGGGGTGCACTGTGTGTGGGGGTAGGGGTAAAGGTGTTTAAAAAAAAAAAAAAGTATGCTAAATCAGTAATCCCCCTCTCCGTCCTTCTTACCTTTAATGAAGGTGGGGGGGACACAGCCATCCCTGGTGGTCCAGTGTTGGCAAGCACTGCTTCCGTGTCGGGAGGCAGGGGGAGGGATCTGTGAAACAGCTCCCCTGTCCTCCCGTGTGATGCTGTGTGGAGCGTTGCCATGGTAACACGCGGCAACGCTCCACACAGCTTGATCGCGGACGGACAGGGGAGCTGCTTCACAGATCCCTCCCCCTGCCTCCCGACACGGAAGCAGAGTAGGTGCCTGCCGTTTTGGGCAGGCAGGTGCCTACTCTGCATTGATGGCGAACCTATGGCCGCATGCCCACAGAGAGGGCCCGGCGTGCCACAGGTTCGCCATCACTGTTTTAATGCCTTTAGTTGCTTTAGTATCCCTTTAATTATTATTTAAATGAATTATTAAACCAGAATATCTAATAAATACATATATTCTCTATCCTACCATCCAGAATATTGCACTGATTCCCAAGAGAACTGAATTGCACATTTTGGGACAAAAAAAATATAATAAAAAAAACGGAAAAAAATTGTCAAAAACACTTCTTTTTTCCCCACTTGGCTGATTTTACCTGTGTTTGCTATTCCCTTGTTAATGTTCCATTTTTCCTGGTTTAGTAAATAGCCCTCACTAGTGGAATGAAAGTAAGATAAAGGAGAGCAGTATGAGTGGGTGTGGTACGGCACGTTGAGAGTTAATTCAATTTGTGTGGCCAATACAGACTATAATTACACCTGGAATTTCTGGTGATTAGCCTTAGGGGCATTCCACTGGAATGGCAAAGCATAGCTCAGCTCTTTAGAAAAGGGGTATTTAGACGTGCTTTTGTCACTCAGCCCCCAACATTGTGGTGGATTCCAACACCCTTATCACAGTTGCAGGCTCTCTTAAGCTCATATCTGCCAAATTAATTTAAAAGGACACTATAGTCACCAGAACAACTGCAGCTTAATGAAGTTGTTCTGGTGAGTATAATCATTATATGCAGGCATTTTCATGCAAACACTGCCTTTTCAGAGAAACACTGCCTTTTCTGGAGCAGCTCCTGAAATGCTCCTCTCCCCTCATGCTGCGGCTGCGTCCTCTCCCTCCTGCACAGTCTCTTTGAACAAAGTCACTTCCTCCCAGCCGGCCAACATTACAGGGGCCTAGTCATGGTGTTAAAGGACCGCGGCACCCAACTGAGGCGCAGGGCACAAAGTTTGGGAACCGCTGCTCTATGGGCTGCATTGGATTGGACAGAGGAAGTGACGCCTCATTGATGATGTCAACAGAGAATGTAATAGCTAGAAGCACTGAGACTGAAAGACAGTACTCGTTTTTTCCTGGCACTATAGTGCCCTAAGGGTGCCCCCACCCTCAGGGACCCCTTCCCGCCGGGCTCTGGGGAGAGGAAAGGGGTTAAACTTGCCTCTTTCTCCAGCGCCGGGCGGGGAGCTCTCTTCCTCCTCTCCGCCTCAGACCCTCCTCTTCAGATGAATGCACATGCGCGGCAGGAGCTACGCGCGCATTCAGCCTGTCTCATAGGAAAGCATTCATAATGCTTTCCTATGGACGCTGGCGTCTTCTCACTGTGATTTTTTGACAGTGAGAAGCACGCAAACACCTCTGCAGCTGTCAGTGAGACAGCCACTAGAGGCTTTAGAGGCTGAAACTGCTATGTTTATAAAAAAAAGGGGTTTATCCTAGAGGGACCACTCTAGGCACCCACTCTAGGCACCCAGACCACTTCAGCTTAAAGGACCACTCTAGGCACCCAGACCACTTCAGCTTAATGAAGTGGTCTGGGTGCCTGGTCCAGCTAGGGTTAACCCATTTTTTCATAAACATAGCAGTTTCAGAGAAACTGCTATGTTTATGAATGGGTTAAAGGACCACTATAGTGCCAGGAGAACATATTCGTTTTCCTGGCACTATAGTGCCCTGAGGGTGCCCCCACCCTCAGGGTCCCCCTCCCGCCCGCCTCTGGAAGGGGGAAAGGGTTAAAAACTTACCTTTTTCCAGCGCTGGGCGGGGAGCTCTCTGCTTCCTCTCCTCCTCTTCTCCTCCTCCTCCTGGACTGAATGCGCACGCGCGGCAAGAGCTGCGCGCGCATTCAGCCCGTCGCATAGGAAAGCATTTACAATGCTTTCCTATGGACGCTTGCGTGCTCTCACTGTGAAAATCACAGTGAGAAGCACGCAAGCGCCTCTAGTGGCTGTCAATGAGACAGCCACTAGAGGAATAGGGGAAGGCTTAACCCATTCATAAACATAGCAGTTTCTCTGAAACTGCTATGTTTATGAAAAAATGGGTTAACCTGGACCTGGCGCAGACCACTTCATTAAGCTAAGCTGAAAATGCTTTCTCCCTATTTCCTCTAGCGGCTGTCTCATTGACGGCGGCTAGAAGCTGCGTCTTCTCACTGTGATTTTCACGGTGAAAGCACGCATCTTGCGTGCGCATTCAGCCGACGGGGAGGAGAAGAGGAGGATCGGAGGAGGAGAGCTCTCTGCCCAGCGCTGGAAAAAGGTAAGTTTTAACCCCTTTCCAGAGCCGGGCGGGAGGGGGTCCCTGAGGGTGGGGGCACCCTCAGGGCACTATAGTGCCAGGAAAACGAGTATGTTTTCCTGGCACTATAGTAGTCCTTTAAGAAAAAATAAAATTCTTTATTTGAAAACCAACACACAAGTGTACAGTTGTAATATATTATGGCATGTCACATTTTCACAAGTGAACATACACCTAACAAGGCAGTCTAACACTAAGACTAACAACGGAAAGGAGGAGGAGAGGGAAAGAAGAGGACGGAAAGAGGGAAATCCATTGCTGTTGGGTATAAGTGAACAACATCCTGTAATTAAAGGAACAATATAGTGTTAGGAATACAAAAACACCACAGTGTCCATCTGCCCCACAGGCAAATAAACGGTTAAAACCCTATTTTTCCCTTACCTGATTCCAGCGCCAATGTCCCTTAGCTCCTCCTCCGCCGACGTCTTGGCGATCCGGAAACATGCATTAGGGAATTCCCATAAGAAAGCATTGATGAAATGCTTTTCAATGGGGGTTTTCAAGACGCTGGAGGTCCTCTTAATGCAGAGCGTAAAGACATCCAGAGTCATTTCACTGAGTTACACTCCCTGAAACAGCAGGAAGCGTCTCGAGTGGCTGTCTGGAAGACAACCACTAGAGGCAGTCTAAACCTTGCAATGTAAACATTGTCGTTTCTCTAAAACTGCAATGTTTTACACTGCAGCGTTAAGGGGAAAAGGACAGTACACCCAGACCACTTTAATGAGACAAATCAGTCTGGGTGCCTATAGGGTCCCTTTAACCTTTTAGCATTATAACTGAGCTATGAGAGTAAGCTCGTTTGAGCAGGGTGCTCTTCAACCTATCGTTCCTGTAAGTTTTCTTGTAATATTGTAAAGCGCTACGGAATCTGTTGGCGCTAAATAAATGGCAATAATAATAATAATGAGTTCCAAACATTCTGGAAAGAAGATAAATGTTTAATAGACAATCGATGTTAACTTGTCCATTAGATGAAGAAAATTTTCCTCTATTCTTGCAATGATCTCCATGCAGGAGAAAGCACTCTCTCTGTGGAAAACCGCAGCTAGCGAAGCCTTTTTAAAAAATATATAAATACATTTTGTGACAAGCGAGGCATGGAGTGAATATAACTAGGGACAGAGCAACTATAGTGTTAGTAATACAGATTTGTAGTCCTAGCGCTGTAATGTTCCTTAATTTCAGGGGCTGAGAAGGAATTACAAATTTGTAGACAAAATAGCCAAATTGAAAGAATAAAAATGATTATTTTTCCAGTGCAATGCATCTCTCTCTATACACACCTACACTTAAAACCAATTGATGCCATGTACTCATAGCCCTTCCGGCAGCCTCTCAATTTGATACCCTGATATTATGAGAGCGTAGCCAAATCCATGTTCCATAGTACGACTTGCGAAGAACCAGAACGGCAAACTTAATGCCCACGCACACATGCCTCCGAAGGAGGGGGATCTGCTGCCCTGCACATCTTTTGCAGCACAAAGGAAAACACGCTCTGTACTGCATGGCAAAGATGTCAAAATTACCACTGCGACTATAATTAATAACATTAACCTTTTTCTTTCCAGCAGACAGTGATGATTCCTGGGAATAATTCTCTAGCATAGGACGAAGCAAAACATATAGTTTTAAAAAACGGCTAAAAAGAAAAAAAGTCTAAAATTTATTAAAGTCTAAATTAATTATCAGTCATTTTAAACACTGCATTTGCCAAATCTAGGGCAAAATGGCAACAACAAAAAAATGTCACTAAAATATGGTTTCCATCAAATTTGATTGTATTACCTTGATTTAGCAAATTATTTCAATGATTTTCGTTTTGCTAATTCACTTTTTAATTAATTACACTGCACTGTTGAGTAAATAAGCCCCTTGGAGTTTCCTGTTCTTTTATTGCCACTAATAAGTCAACGGTGTGAAAATGACAGCCTTATAATTTACAAGGTATTCATTGAAGTGGAAATCTTTAGGGAGCAGTCATCCCATTAGGTTTGTGTTTTTTTGTAAACCTGGGGCGAGACAGACGTCTCACTGTTTGGGTATCGGGATGGCCACCTGTCTCCAAGTAAAGCCAGTCTTATACCTTATTCTTTCTTGCTTAAACAACTATGATCTAATGTTAACAGCCCAATCAGTAATACCTCTAAATTACGTCTAAAATCTGCAGAGGCATCCTGTCCTAATTTCCCCCTGAGGGCCGATTCCTTCTGTCCTATTTACAGCCAGGGTGACAATATTGTTCAGACTTTTTTTTACAAAACTGGAAATTGGGGAGAATTAACAAGGTGTTTGCAAATTTAGCTTGGAGGAAAGACGAGACAGGGGGGATATAATAGAAACATTTAAATACATAAAAGGAATCAACACAGTAAAGGAGGAGACTATATTTAAAAGAAGAAAACCGACCACAACAAGAGGACATAGTCTTAAATTAGAGGGGCAAAGGTTTAAAAAATATCAGAAAGTATTACTTTACTCAGAGGGTAGTGGATGCATGGAATAGCCTTCCAGCTGAAGTGGTAGAGGTTAACACAATGAGGGAGTTTAAGCATGCGTGGGATAGGCATGAGGCTATCTTAGACTTAAGATAAGGTCAGGGACTTATATAAGTATTTAAAAAATTAAACAGATTAAATGGGCCGAATGGTTCTTATCTGCCGTCACAATCTATGTTTCTATTTCCAAAATAGCTGAACTGAAAAAACAGCTAAGAAGAGAACTTTCCCCTCCCCCCCCCCAATTTTGACTGTAAATTGGGGACCTTTCCCAATATACTGAGTAAAATCTTGCTGATTTTATCAGACTTACTAAAAGCACATACTTTGGTTTACATATACTCTGGAGCAAATTTTTATTTTTACAGATATGTACCTGAATAGGTAGGTGAGTGGTTTATTAATACGGGTTAGATAATGAATCTATCCCCTTTCCTAATTTGCTGTATTTTTTTACGGTTTCCTTTTTTAAAACAGTGAGTCCCATCTTTATATTTATATATATGTTATATTCTTATTTATATATAAATAAAATTCTCACTGTATTTTATTTTACGATGTATATTACTACAAATGAAGTATATATATGTTTACTGTACTGTTACCATCTTAACACATTTAATTTGTGTATGACTATTTGCATATCAGACTTTTCCCAACCACAAGGAAAATCTAGAACTAAATTGACGGCAAGTTCCTATTTTAGTAAGAATTTTGCAATTCAGTTTTCCAATCACCGCAGTTTGCTGTTTAGTGAATAAACCTCAATGCATATACAAATAAATTTCACATATCCTCTTGGCAATAGTTTTTCATTTATCGCAAGAGAACACGGGACAGTTCCTTTACAGTCTGTATTTCTCTCTGGATCCTTTTCCTTCTAGAAAGCCGAATGTCTATTTCTAAGCCTGGCAGCTAAGGAATCCCATCTGGAAATCCAAATCCTGGCTTACCAAACTATTTCATGAAAGATTACCACCAAGTACCATGACCACTTAAGTGATTTGGATGGGTCATTGTGCCTGGAGTCTGTGTGTTCAGTGTTTTGCGTTGAAATGCTGCACATATGGAAATTAACCTCCCCCTGCTGCCAGAGGCGTAACTCCACCTCCGGCAGCGTCTTTGGGCGCCATTATCGAGCCCAGAACTAAAGTTCTAGACGGGCTAATATCAATTCACTGCAAATTTTGCCAGCATCCCCTCAGCCCACCTTCCCTGTGATATCAGCTATGGAGAATTAAGCTGCAGGGAGAACTTAATGGGTAACCATTAAGGACCAGCCTTGAGGACTGGTTTGGTAACAACTGATCTAACCATCAACTTTTTTTGTAGCTGAAGTAACTGTTTAAAGATTATAGGTAACAGGTCATTCCAACCATAGTTTTCTCATTTAGTTTTTTCAATAAATAAATATTGTGAAGAATTAACAAGCGGACTGCAAATGATAGACCAAAGCAGCTGAGCTGGGTAAAAAGAAATCCAACTCGGGGGCGGGGCCTGACTGCCATGGAGGAGAGACGTGTTTTGCAGGAGCTCCTCTCCTAGGCAAGCTTGAACCGAAGAAATCACCCATATTCTGCCTAAGTGGGAACAATCTAAGCGAAGTATATAACTCCCGACCCTAGTGAGACCCACTGTGGGTGGTGATAATCTGCAAGGAGCTCATCTGCTACACTGCCCAAATCATGCGGCCTGAGACGCACTGGACGGGGGAAGCGGCCGATCCACCGGCCCGGAGCAGCTCAAAGGCACACAACATGGCACGAGAACCCCGTTACCTCCCCCCTTGGACCGGTGGGGGTTACCCCGGTCCACCCCTGAGAGGCTGCTCAGACATGGCGGGAGATAGAGACAGGGCCACAGCGGCTACCACAACCTGCAACGACACAGCCAAAATGGCGGGTGCAGAGCGGACCCCCAATAACACGGAGGACAACCCTGACATCTTGGCCAGGCTGGACAGGATATTTGACAATTTCTGGCGCAAGCTGGAGAATAAGATATACCAACCTGTCTGGAGCCAGCCCGGTGACTGCACACTGCACAAGCCGACCCCAGTCATGAAACAGAAGATCGCAGCGGCAACTACCCAGCGAGCCCCAACATGGCGGCAGGGCGGGAAACGTGCCCCGTCGAGGGGCCCAACTACCCACCCTGGCAGTTTGCCAAAGGGTAAAAGCTTACCTCGGAGTCACCCACCGCGATCAGCAACGGCACCAGAGGGAGAGGCTTCATCCCGGCGGCACAACAAACAAGATGCCTCCCACAAGCTCAAAGCACGGCAACATGCACCCACGGTGAAGGCTTTAACGTGGACGACGCGCAAACCGCAGAGCCCAGCGAAACCAGCAGCAGCACAGAGGCGAAACCCGCCAAAGGGCAAACCTCAGCCCTGCATCACACTCAACAAGTCAAGGAGAATCTTGCTCCTGGCCACCGAAAAGCATTGCCTCTTAACTGGGACTCAAAACGCAGCATGCTCCAACACAAACGGGGACTTTGCTCTGACGAAACGAGGCATCGGGTGAATGGGGATTGTGGGGTGGTGGCTGCAGGGGATCCTGTTGGGCTTCATTAGCAAGATATCAGTACGCACCCCTTTCTTATTCTAGACCTGAATTACACTCTACTCCTCTGAAAAAAGCTTGAGTTAGGGAGTTCACGATTATCTTTGAAGCATCTGTTTCACTAACAGGTACACAATATTTCACCATACTGCACCTAGGGGCATTAACTACTCACAGTAAGCATGTAAACTACACCTTATACTTATCTAACTACAACCCTGTCCTAGGGGTTAAGCCATAAAGGAAGCGTAGGTTGATTTGTATAGCTCACTCAGACTGCATAACATGCCTAGTCAGTTAACTATTTACTCACCATTCATCCACCAGACGACTGCTATACATCTACTGACATAAACAATAGATAGGCCCACATAGCCTCTCACATAATCGTAGCTAGGGCTTGTATCACACCACTGTCTACTCAAAAATTAAAAATGTGCATTGTTCATTCATGCCAACTATCTTCATATGTTTATGGAAACTCTGGCATACGCTGTTGTAGCATTGCTGGCGTAAATGTAACCTGTATAATCCATGCACGATAAAATAAAGAATTAAAAAAAAAAAAAAAGAAATCCAACTCAGCTATTTTTCCAGTTTGGCTATTTTGGTCTAAAGTTTACAATGCCCCCGCCAGTTCTCTAACTACAGAATAAAACCCATTGACATTTTACAGACACGAAATGCAAAGTGCGTCTGGAGAATGGAATCAGGATTTAGCTCATTGGAAATATTATGAAATATGCCCGTTCTTTTAATGAGTAACCAAGTAGTATTCTGAATTGGAGATCATCTCTCAAAGCAAAGGGTTATCTTCTTAAAGTATTATATTAAGCACTTAGTCTGAACAGCTATGTAACGATCTAATAACCTGCGATCTCGCAAATTCTGGTAATATGACAGAAGGTTTAATAAGCATGCCGGATTCACTGGTACATTGTAACTCCAGGGTAAAATGTTGAATCTTCAAAGTATAACCCCTTAAGGTCCATCTGGTATACTTTGACATCAGTCTGGGACCTAACACACCTAACAGATCAGCATGGATGTTAATTTAAGTGTGGTCGTTCCATGCGAATATTAATTGCAGATATTAATTGAGTGGGCCATTTAATTCTAGAATAGGATCTAGGAAGAACACATTGCTGTGATGGCATAGCCATAGACTGTTCTCCGTTATTAAAGGGACATGCCAAACTCCATTGCCACTTTACCTCACTGTAGTGGTTATGGTTCAAAGAGACACTATTACAGGTTTTTGTCACAGTTCTGGAAATGAGAAGAAAGGATCAGCGCTGTAAATATCTAACTAGAGGAAGTGAACCCCCCCAAAAAAGGGATACATTTGATGACAGTTTTGGACCCTTTTTTTTAAATCAAAGAACAGGCCTTTCTGAGCACTTAAAGCCCAGCCTCTCTCGAGCCACATCAAAAATGCCAGAACTAACACTTCCTTATTTCCAATATCAAATAAGTACAACCGGAACTGTAGTAATTGGCAGAGTGCGGTGGGTTTCACCTTCCCCAGGGATGGCTAAACTTAGTACTGCAGAGGTTCTAAACTACTCCCATGGCACTAAGCCAGCTTTTGGTGCCTCTTTATCTGAAGTTTCTACTTTTGTTAGCAGGGAAGATGTGTTCGGGGGTAGTCTTGTAATATCAATATTTTATAGGTAAATCTGGTAAAATAAACAAATTCAGCTACATTATCATCATTGGAGGTCACAGCTTATCAGGCAATGAAAAGAGCATTCATCGCATGAACCGCTGGCAAGTTAGATTACATGACATTTATAGACGTTCGGAGGGAAGATGTTCAAGAAGATGATTTGAAGCTGGTAAGTGTAAGACCAAGGGATAATGTATTTTATATAAAGTGTGCTAGATAATAGAAGGAGGGAATTTAAATGTTGTCGTTAAGACAGTAGTAAGTTTTTTCCTACTTATCCTGTAAAATTAGAGCGTTTAATTACGGCAAGCAGTAAAATGTTTAAGTGCATTAATTCACAGAAAAAAGATGATTGCACCATTACAGTTTTATCAGCCAGCAGAGATTCCTCTGGGTGCTAAATAGCATCAGCTAGAAACAGCATCAAAGGAAAGTCAATTGCAAAAAAATTTTTTAAAATCTAATTGGATTAGTATCTGCTATTACAGCCCAAAATGCTTGTTACATGACCCCTCTCTCTATCTAGCGTAATTTAACACTTTCAGTGCGGCACATGAGAACTCAGGACTGGAAATAAAAGCAAATTATCCAAGAAGTTTAAAAAAAAGATTTAAATTATAAATGATATAAAAAGAGAGAGATCTGCTGATACACCAAATTAGTATTAGGTAGAGTGATTTTAAGGGACATCAAAAACAACTTCACAAGTGTTTGTTTTTCCGCCACGGATGAGGTTTAGAACATCTTTAGTCATGTTGAAGGGATGCAGATTCGTCTTGGCAGTAAAATTACAGTTTTTAACAATTATTAGGCTGACGGCAGCCATAAATTGGGACGTGTTTTACCTTTTCCTTGTAACGAGTGTAATCAACGGCTAGCGGGTGACATTGAATAGTGAGCTTTGAAGTTGAAAACCCCAGCAGGTAAAGTCTTCTTGAGGAAGTGGTCAGGGCACCAATATTTGAACACTTGAGAAACAGCTGGTAGTTTGCCCTCTTGAAGGCATTGAAACAAAAATCTTATTCATTGTATTGATGTAGAAATAAAAAAAAAAAATTGGAGATTGCTTAGGATCAACTATGCCAATGATCAATATTCTGTTTTAGAACGCTTCTAAATTCTCTATTCTGTCGGGCAGAAGCTAACATTGCCATCTGGAGGTATGCAGCATTCATGTGCTCACTGTGAGAAATCAATTAGCCAATCATTTCCACAGATCCTTGGGGATTCTAACCCTGATAAATTAACTATCAATATTCAGCACGTAAGGAAACAGCACCTGCCAACCGAGTGTACACGAATCAGATTTGCCTCCGATCTCAATATAAATTGGAATCAATAAATTGTGTCCTAACATGTCCTTATAATAACTGACCTCACGTCAGGAGCATTGGAATGCCCATCTATTGCTGGTCAGCACTTTCAAGCCCTGCCACAAAGAATGAAGAATTTATAAACATCACATAAAAATAGCGTTCCACCAATCATGGGTACTGGAAAAGAAGGCATCTATGACTCTCCCGGCCTTCATAGTTACATAGGCTGAAAAGAGACATGTGTCCATCAAGTTCAGCCTTCCTCACATTAGTTTTTTGCTGTTGATCCAAAAGAAGGCAAAAAACACAGTTTGAAGCACTTCCAATTTTGCAACAAACTAGAAAATAAATTCCTTCTTGACCCCAGAAAGGCAGTACGATAGCAAGAAGCTATTACCTACAGTTGAAAAATTATATCTTGAATATTCTTGTGAAGAAATCCCTCTTTATGTGTACTATTTCTTCTATATTCATTCGGTAGATATAACTACCGAACAGAGACCACCCCCTGGCTCGTTAAACTTCAAAGAATGCTTCAATTGAACCCTCTATCTGTGCAGCCAGCGTTCGTACTACCGAACGCCACGTGGCTGAGAAAACGGCGGCCATCTTTTTTCAGGCGAACAAAGGCAGCGGGACTTGGTCGTCGAGTGTCTGGCGGTTCGGGAGGAAACTACCGAATGAGGATTAAATATACTAGGTTTCCTTACAATCTGTTTTTGCAAGTATGCATCTAGTTGCTGTTTCAACATCTGTACAGACTTCAGTTTATTTATTTTAAACCATTAAAGGACCACTATAGTGCTAGGAAAACAAACTAGTTTTCCTGGCACTACAGAGTATTTAGGTCCCCCCCACCGTAAGGGTCCCATTATCGCCGGGCTGAAGGGGGAGGAAAGGGTTAAACTCTTACCTTTCTCCAGCGCCGGGCTCCCTCGGCGCTGGGGAACTCTCCTCCCTATTCCGACGTCAGTGCTGAATGCGCATGCGCGGCAAGAGTCGCGCGCGCATTCAATCGGTTCAAAGGAAAGCATTTCTAAATGTCAGCGTCTTCTTACAGTGATTTCCACAGTGAGAAGCGCGGAAGCGCCTCTAGCGGCTGTCAATGAGACAGCCACTAGAGGCTGGATTAACCCTGTTGTAAACATAGAAGTTTCTCTGAAACTGCTATGTTTACAGCTGCAGGGTTAACCTTAGAGGAACCTGGCACCCAGACCACTTCATTGAGCTGAAGTGGTATGGGTGCCTATAGTGGTCCTTTAAGAGTGCTGTTTGATGGCACAATGTATTAGTTCACTGCGTAGACTAGTAAAAACCAAGACATACTGGGGACAGAGTTATTGTGTGCTCTCTTCACGAGACCACCTAGTGATGATACTACCAGACCAGTGATGCTGAATTCCTTAAAACTTAGCTCTTGGAAGCATTTGATGCATGTTTAATTAATATATCCTGCTACTGCATTCATACCATTGAATATAGGGGAGACCACAAGATTTATTATTATGGATTAAATGAAATGCCCTTCTGTAAAGTTTGACTTGGCTAACAGAGGAGCCCATAATAAATTTATAAGCCTAGCAGGAAAGGTTGATACAGAGATTATAATATGACCGTTTTACGTTGCATGGGATTGCTGTAACCTCATATTGCAACTCCTAAACCAGGCCTCAGTAAGGCGGAATACAGGACGGCTGCAGATCTTGTAACTGGCGTGTAACTGGGAACAGCCTTTGACCAGCTGAGTATGGGAAGTATAAATTAATCAATTAACTATTCTGCGGCCAGGTGGCTAGGCGACAATGCTTTGTATACAGTTAATAATGGGAATCCATAGGGGGCTACTATTTACTAAGCTGTGAATGGTGGCGAAATTGAAAAGTACATTTGCTACTAAATTTAGGCAAAGGTTAGGAACCAAGCTGAGTTGATGAATTTTTCCAGTGTCGTAGTTTAGGCCTAATTTTTTTTTCAGATTTGTTTTAAAATTCAACGCAATACGCACTTTAGTAAATTAGCCGTTTGTGAGCAAACCCCAGCCTAGTATAACTGATCTCCAAATACACTAAGTGTGAGACATTTTAGGAGTGTTGCCCTCTGGGGGTTTAGCTGGATTAATGTGTAAAATGAAACACTCTTTGAACCTAATCTTTGTGAGCCACAAACACTAATTAGCTCTTTTGTGTAATATTTGGCTAATTACTCTTAGTCTCTAATCATATACTGGGGATAGTCAACTGCTGTCTTCATGGCTGCTTATGCAAACTCCCATGTTTCTCAGCCAGCCAAACTGTTGCACTATTCATTTCAACAATCCACCTCACTGCTGAATTTTCTTTGGAGATAATTATACAGGAAATTCCAGAGCTTAAATGGTTAAATGCCACAACCAAATGCCTCAACAACAGATGGCAGATATTCCAAAGCAGAGCTTTACATATGATGACATAGTGATTTATATATTCACATTGCATGCCACTTACCACATACATCAACTATGTGAATCCTAGATTGCTAGACTGAATGCAATACCCATCTCTCAGCAAGCACTGAGCAACACAACACCCATCATGCTGTGCCAGCTGTCTCATTCTTAACATGCTTTGGCACTCACCTGCTAACACTGCAGCACCTATAATGCCCAGCCATCTTTTCAGGGTCTCAAGCCTTTAGCTCCCCACTAACATGGACTGTAACACCCAATTACCTTAGCAAGACTCTAGCATTGAGCTGTTGTAACTGCAACACCCATTAAGTTCACTTACAGCGAACGCAGCAACACCCATCATTCTCAGCCATTTATCATTACCTATCATGATTCATCAGCGTTGTGCCAACACCTACTGTACCATGCTCGCGCAAGCTGTGCCAGCTATAATGCGCCACCAGCATGCAGCATGCTTGGCCAGTCATCGACTCCTATCATGCTCAGGCAGCCTTTGTCACTGGCTGCTACGTTCCCTTGCTGACACACTGACCCTGTCTATCACCGTACCCATGGCTACCAGTCTGCATGGAAGCTTCAGGTCTGTATCTCAGGAAGAGAGAGAGATTGCAACATGCATGGCAACTGTCACCCCTGCCTCCCTTAGCCCTTTATCCTCATATCCTCCCCCAGACCTAAACCCTCTCTGATCACATCCCCCTAGACCTGAGCTCGCTATCCTCACACCCCCATCCCACCTGAGTCCCCTGACATGCCATCCCCCCACACCTGCTGAGCCCTCTGTCTTTATACCCCCCCCAGAATTGAGCCCCTCTATGCTCACGCTCCCCATAACTGAGCCATTTACCATTACATCCACCCCCTCAGACCTGAGCCCCTCTCCCCTCATATCCCCCCCAGACCTGAGCCCATCTATCCTCACAATCCCCAGAACCGAGCCCCTCTACCATTACAGCCCCCCTCCCAGACCTGAGCCCATCTATCCTCATATCCCCCCAGACCTGAGCCCCTTTATCTCTCCCCCCTAGACATGAGCTCTATATCCTAACATCCCCCCAGACCTGAGCTCTATGCCACTACATGCCCCCCAGACTTGAACCTAATATTCCCACCCCAATACCTTAGCCCACTGCCATCATACCATTTAGGTTTGAGCCCTCTAACATGACATTGCCCCCCATCCCTGAGCCTTGAGCTCTCATTCATAATACCATTATTTCCACACCACCCCCAGCCCTTGGACATTTACCTTATCATCCCCCACACCCCCATGCTCATACCATCCCTCCCCACAGACAGACTTACAGTATGTTTTCTTAGTCAGCTCCTCCACCACCTCCGGCTTCAGTTTGCTGTTGGATTTCCCCATCGTTGCCGCCTTCGTAATGGTTAATTCATGTAGCAGCCTCCACTTCCTTGCACTTCCAGAGGCTGAGGCCCTTCACCCTGCCCCCCTGCACCCCCAGTCTCTGGGATCTCCCCCCAGCAAACACCCCTGGAGATATCTGCTCCCTTCAGTCAAGGAGCTGTGTGAGCAGGGGAGAGCAGGGAGCTGGCTGGAGCTCTGCGCTCTGCACGCTGGAGGATCTTCTTTGTCTGTGAATGCAGCTCAGATTTCACTCTTTCCCCCTCCAGTCCCTGGAAGAGGGGAGAGGCTGGAGGCTGCAGCTGTGTGTGCCACCCAGGCCCTGCTCTGGGGTGGAATTCTGTGCCTTCCCTGTGCCTTGTGTCCCTGCCCACTGCCTGCCTCAGATTCTGTGCTTCTCCTGTTGTCCCTGGTAACACTGACACATTCTCTGTCCCTCCTCTCACACTCACTGTCTCTCATTCACTGACTGCCTCTGCACATTAGTCTGCTACTCTCTACCCCCCCTCATTACTCCCTCCCCTAAATGCCTTCTTTTTTTTTTTTTCTTCTTCTTTCTTCAATCCCTCTCTCTTTCTTTCTCCATCCTCCTTTGCAGAAACGCCTCTATTCTCTGGCATTCTTTCTTGTCATCACGATTGCTGAGCTTTTATGTCTATATTCCCAATTTTAGTTTAATTATAGTAACTCCCCCAACCCCTTTCCTATTAATCTATAGCAGGAGCCATGCTTGTATTTCATTGAAAACCCTTTATTTGCCAATATTAATTCACTGGGCATTAACACTCTTCACGTGGCAACATACATTAGAACTAGTTAATAATTGAGCTTTTAAATAAAAAAAAATCTTAAATTGCTAGTATATCACATCATTGTAATAAATGGGATTATTCATTATTGTTTAAATATTCTATAATTTTAGCCTGTGACAGAGGTTTGCCCATAATACCAGGGAGCTGTGCCCACCCCATGCCCATCTTGCCAACTTCTGTTGCATATACTGTATACCAGTTTTACACAACTCTGCTCTATCGTGCAGTTGTGTTGTGCACTCAATGATTATCTTTTATAGCTAATAATAACATAATAATAGTGACTGCAGTCCAGTACTATTCCCTGACAGATTTGAAACTCATGGAAAAGGCTTAATTGATTACTCAAGCATAAAGAACATGTATTGTAATTCAACTAACACCTAATAAATGGCAACATTTTGCTCAAAGATAACCAGGTGTACACAAACTCAATGTTCATGCTTTTTATTTATTTTTAAATAAATTTAACATTTTCTGCCCACAGTAGACACATCCAGAGCCCACTGTCTCTTTCAGATTTCTATCCCATTAGAGTGCCAGCATATTCCATACAGGAGCAAACAGAATGTCCACATAAGGCAATACCAGAGTGATATAAAATATATAGACCAAAAAAGATCCACCCAATTCTGTTTGGTAGTTTTTAAATACACTATCTACATATGCTGTTTATTCTAAAGTAAACACACTGTGCAGTTAGATCTGATTGAGAATCAAATCATTTTTAATGGAGGCGGTGTCAGTCACAGTTAGGGGAGGTGTGGCTAGGACGGCATAAACAGAAATAAAAAGGATTTAAACACCAAAATAAGGGAGTCTGCAGGCGCATGATCTATAAACCACTTCATTAATGTCTTTCATTTTCCGTTTCCAACAAATCACAGTTTAGTGAATAACTGACATTTATCTAGTCATATAGCCAAATAATGACCTTGACTTAATTATTTTCAAATGTTCCAGATGTTCGCAACGTGTTAAAAAAAACGTTTCAAATTATTTATCTACAAAAATTTCCAAAGGTTTTAATGGTGATAAATCATTTGAAACATTTTTCTAACAGATTGAGATCATTTGAAAATGTTAGCCAAAACAATTGAATTAAGGTCTATATAAGATGGCAGACGGCCACTGGAGGTGCTTCCTAAGTTTTAGTAAGCAATGGTACCACCAGTCAGGACAGGGGATCAACATTATGGTGCCACACAGACCTGGGTGACTACCACAACTCTCTCATAAATTGTAGACAAAAGAAAAAATATCCAGGCACAAATGGGCTCTCTATCCCAAACTGCATACTTTATTGAAGTTCAACAGGCAATGTTTCGGCTCAAACAGGAGCCTTTCTCAAGCCACTAGAGGTGCTTCCTGTGGCAGTGCTGAACAGTGTGCAACACTGACGTTCAGCGTCTCCAAGCTCTGCATGGAAAACCCATAATGCTCCCCATAGAGATGCATTGATTCAAGAGATGCTGATTGGCGCTGCACAGTGTTTGCTGCGCATGCGCAATAACCTCCCAATGATCTCCTATGGGAAAGCACTGGATTGGCTGAGATCATCAATATTGATGATCTCAGTCATGGAGGTGGGGCCAGCCACGGCGAGACCAGCGCAGCATGGGAGAAAGGGTGAGAGTAAAGCACGATCGTAGCAGGGCTGGTCACACCAGCATTATAGAATCAGGAATACATGTTTCCTTGTTTGACACTATAGTTTTACTTTAAGGATCTTTTAAAAAATAAAAAGCTATTCACATCCAAAAGATACAGAGCAACATGAATTTAGTCAATACATTTTAATTCATTTTCTTTTATATGACATGACCATGGGATCCTGATAAAGTAACTCTGACATCAGAATAACATAGCATCAAAAGTACTTTTAACCCTTCTTAGTTTATTGTAAATGATCAAATAACAAATGGGTTAGCAGACATATAAAACATGTATGAACTTTTTTTTTTTACAGACTGATTTATTTTGCAGTTACAAATGCACAATTGTTCACCCTTTCTTTGCACTATTTCCCTTCTTCTCTCAAGCATTTGTAGATATTTTATATTTACTATTACTTAATTTGCACCATATTGTACTAATCTTCATGGGTGGCCAAAATATACAGACGTGAAAGAAAACATTTATATTTATACATACAAATATATATATATGTGTGTGTGTGTGCGCGCGTGTATGTAGATATATAGACGTAGCACGATTTTGTTTATATGCTCAGGTTTGTTGATGCGTAAAGAAAGGTATGTCACACTTTGTTATAATTGTGTGAGATTAAGTATTGTCTGTATCGCCTTGTTGTCTGTGCTGAAGAGGAATGTGTTTTTGCAAAAAACAGGTACAAAAGGGACACATTTAGCCCTGTCTGCTGGCAGCGTACAGACGGTACAAGGTAATAATTAGGGAGAATTCTGTGTTCCAAGCCATCTCATACGTCATGAGCTGGGACCACAGTACTCCTGAGAATGCACAATAGAACGAAGATTTCAGCTCTCATAGCAAAGGGTGGATTGATGGTGAACGCTGCCAGCTTTCAGAGAATTATAGATAATATCATAGTTAAGGGAGCAGGCCATCTACTGCCAACACATTAGGTCAAGCTGATACTTACCTGTCATTTCACAGTGTGAAGATAATTCATTGTGCCCTCTGGGTTTCTGTTGGTACCAGGCAGCGTGACCTAGAGTATACTGTATTGGCTGGAAGAAGAATCCTTAATACAATATTTCAAGAAGGTAATTTCTCAAATAACGATGACTTATTTTATTACAAGCTAAATAAAATAATAAATTGTACATGCCTATTTTTATCAGCTTTTCTTTAGCATTGTAAACCAAAAAAGGAATAGAATTTAATTGTTTTTTTTGGTTTTAGGATAGTAATTTATTTAAAGTTAAACTTATCATTTAAAAAAAATATATATTATTCTTTATTTTTGCTGTGCATTAATAAGATTATGGGTCATAGAGATCAATATCTAGCAAACTATACGATGAAATGCACATTTAAAAAAAAAAAATGAAGACAAGAATATTACAGTGCTTAGGTTTCATCACATAATAAGAAAGACAGCATAACATGTGCACTGGATGATTGAGCAGGGAGAAAACCAATAGTATGAAAACAACAAGAATTAGTAGCAAGATATGTCATGCTAAACTATATAACTTGAGTTTAGGTTAAAGGTAAGACAGGAGCCCACCGCAACATGTGTAAGCTGGGATGGGGCCACTCCCGTATCTGTGAACCTGTAGGCAGTCAGGGTCCCTTTGCTCCCTCATCGGATTCCACATTAATGTGAGGACAGCTGGGCCCTTGATAGCAGGTTTCTGGCATGTGGGTATGAGCGTTGTCAACATAGGCATGCGCAGCCTAAAGCACAAACCACAAACACACGCCGCGTGTATATATATATATACATATACATACACACATACATACACTCCTGTGTGTGTGTGTGGTTTGAGGGTGTTGTGTGTGTGTGTGTGTGTGTGTGTATAAGGGTGCTGTTAGTGTGATGTGTGTGTGAGGGTGCTGTTTGTGTGTGTGTGTGTGTGTGTGTGTGTTTGTTAGGGTCCTGTTAGTGTGCTGTGTGTGTGAGGGTGCTGTATGTGTGTGGGTGCTGTGCATGTGTGTGCTGTATGTGTGTGGGTGATTGTGGGGGGTGGAGGTGGGGGTACATTACTTAATATCCCCCCTCCCTTATTACTTTATATAGGGAGGGGGGATTCTTGTTCCTGCTGCTTTCCCTGGTGGTCCAGTGGAGAGTGAACTCTAGCCCCTGTGGGGATAGAGTTCACTCTCGCGAGATCTGAGCGTTGCCACGGCAACGCTCCAATCTCGCGAGAGGAACCCGGCGGAGCTGCTGGTTGAGCTCCCCGGGTCCTCTCCTGCCTCCCTCCATGCTGCAGTGGGGAGGGAGGCTGAGAGCAGAGCCGGCGCTCGGATAGCGCTGGCTGTGCATGAGCCGACAGGGGAGATCCTGAGATCTCCCCTGCCGGTCTCAATATACCCCGTGCGCACGCCTATAGTTGCAGAAGCAGTGACTGCAGCCCTGTGTTGGAGTGCCATCTGGCCTTTTCGCAGTAAGAGTCGCCAGTTGGGGGTGCCTTGGAATGCAGAGTCCCATAGCCTCGTGCCCTGGCCCTGCTCCTCAACGCTTTACTTGTCTGTCCGTGG